TATTTTCCCTTTTAACACTTATATTTGGTTTGTTACTAGAAAGCTACAACTTTTTTCTAATGCCTAATATGTACATGTAGGAGTTAGGAAAATGATGTTTGAGTTCTTTATTTACAGAAGGCGGGCCACACCCTTAACCCATCACCAAAAATAAATTCACTCAAATGTCACTTCCCCTTAGTGCCCTGTTTCCTTCTCTGAAAAAAAACCCTCTGCATTCCTGTCATGGTTGCTGGTGTGTAATTTGGAGTAACTTGCTTCAGATTTGAGATGTGAAAGATCATATTTTTAAAACAACTATTCTAATTTCAAATATTGATATTTCATTCGGTTCTATTATGGAACTATTTCCATCTCCAGATTTTCGCCAAACACTCAAAAGTGCCTATTTTCTCAAACTTTGCCTTTCTTTAAATTGTTTTAAAATGTTTTGAAAAGTTATTTTTGTAAATCTAAGAAAAGGGACAAAACCATCCAAAAAAAGACCAAAAACCTTTAACACTGCAAAAATAACTTGTAATCATATTCACGGTTACTCATAAGCCATTTTTGATTTACATTCAAAGACCGTTATCCTAAATTTCACAAGACCACCTGTATGGCGAAAAAAAAGGGTAAATAACCACGTCATACCCAAACAACTCAGACATTGTAACAAAAACGGAAACAAAATATTTAGTTTGCACTTTGTACTCTTAATAGTTCAAGAATATCATCTTTAAGAAGCCCACCAAAAAAGCAAACAAACAAGATAATTCAAGAAAAAAAATGTTTTGCAAATTTTTTTAAAATAACTTTCTTGTTTTATACCCGCTCTCCTCGGCAGGGTAGGCTGGTTCCCACCCAACAATCAGTATCAATAATGTACGGACCGGGTGCCATTCTGCTTGAAAGCTTATCTGTTTGTGCCCAAAACAAACAAACTTTTCCAGAGGGTTGCAGACAATCAAAATATTTGGTTGGAATAAGACATGTATACAATAAGTTAAACATTTACTAATACCCCCTCCCCCCCCCAACAATCAGATTTGTCGAAGAGCACAGGGAATGCAACTTTAATGTTCATTTTTTTCATTTCATCTTTGCTGCTAGCTTGGATGGCAATTCATACCCAGATGCGTCCTGCATAGGAACTCTCAGGCTCTGCATCTTTATCTTGACAGGGTGTGGAACAGCCTTGCCAATTTTGCCTCCGGATGCAGTAGGATCATTCTTGCACTCTGGGTAGGAAGCATAAGCATACTCGAGGCTTTCCTTGCACGTAGGAGAATCCTGCAGTTCCAGGTACTCAGAGGTGATAGGACCATCCCTATCCTCCTGGACCGCAGCATAAGCAGAGTCTTGCATTTCTTGGCCTTGCTCTGCCGCATCTTGGACATCATCGTACTCATGGCCTGCTTGCGTCATTTTCGGTCCCGCTGGGGGGCTTGTAGACTTCCGGCAATGTTTTCTTTGCCACACAAGCAAGATATTGAGGACAATCACTGCTACTGCTAGGACCACCACCGCCACGATCAAAACCACAGTGACTGGAGATGATTGTTCATTCTTAGGACAATTGCAAGGTGGTTCCTTGGAGGGTTTGTCTCTGAGTAACCCTGTGGATACGACACTCATTGTTGTCTGTTCCCGGTTGACTACATCAATCCTTGTGGTTGTATTACCAGACAATCCAGATGGTACACTGACAATGCAGACCAATTCAAGATTCTCCATCACTGCTATCTCCAAAGTTTGCCCATCCTCAGACACTGTGTACCTCTCTGTCGGTAGGGCGTGTCCAGTATCAGTTTTGATTACTTTCCAACTGTATTTGTTAATATTAGGCACACCCTCCCCACTGCATTGGAAAGTTGTAAAAGTCCCCTCCTCAACCCCAGATACTGCTGGTAGGATGGTGGCCTGTGGTAAGATTCTCAGCGGCATCACGGAGCAGTTACGCTGCTCATCCAAGGCAGGGGTAGTCATGACGCAAGTAAAAGTCACGCCATTGTCTCGAGCTTGTAATGGATGTCTATGAGTAATTGAATCAGTTGCCGGAACTGCCACCTGGTCATTCTCTCTATAATAAGTGATGGTTGGAACAGGTTTTCCACCTTGCGAATTACAGTAAAGAGTCACATCGTCTCCCACGGCCCTTGATTCAGGTTGTACACTGCACCACGGTGACTGTGTGGATGGTGGGACCAGAACCGTAAGCTCAGCTGTGCCAGCAATTTCTGAACTAACCCCGGGATAATTATACTGGCAAGAATACGTCCCTTCATCGGTTTCCTGTACATTTGTGATCCTCAGAGTAAACTCGTCTTGGCTCTCATTACCTATGATGGACAGACGTCGTTCCAGCTGTGTGGGTAGAGGTGGGTTTGCAATCACCGATCTATCAATGCTAAGGTATATCGAAACGCTCTGTCCTCGATAATACCAGTAGATGGTATAAATGCTTACAGTTGTCAGGTCACAAACGAAATCAACGGTGTCTCCTTCATGAACCACAGCATCCTGCGGGCCTCTTTCTAGCCGGGGTTGTGCAAGAGCATGATGACAAGCAACACTTAGGAAGAAACACAGCAGACCAGCAGACAGAATAAATCTATCAATGGGAGACATGTTGGTGGCTTCAAGCCTTCAGACACAGGCTACCTTTCCACAAAGTTAATCCAACCAATGTTTTGTCGAACTCTTTCTGTTAGCAGAGAACTGTTTCGTGATTGTAATTCAGAGCATTTTGAAACACTTAGTTTTTTTCCCCTTCTACTTCCTAGTTTGAGGAAACTATGAACCCAAAATTATCACATGATTGACACTTTTAGTTTCAGAATTACTTCCTGTTTTCTTAACACATCCTTTGAAGGACTTTTGACATTATAGATGATATAGATAAAACAGAAATGAAAAAAGAAATCCTGTGTTTACAAAAAATGAAATTTTAATTATGATACTGTTCCAACTCAAAAAGTGATTACATGTACGTACATGTAATTTACTGTGATATGGTTTATGGCTTTTGTATGCCCTGATCACGCAGTGGCATTTCCACACATTGGTAATACAAATGCTGTGGTTAAGTTATTAAAAGACTCATTCACATGTTCTCTCACAGGGATGGGTTTGCTCAGTTTCAATCAGTTCAAATTGTTACTTTTCTGTTTACTTACATTGTTCATATAAACATATTGTTTATTTTAATTGTCTAACAAGTGTATATTTTGGTGATGTAAGGAATATACGGTACATGCACCCTATATATAACAATATGTACTTGTACTGGTATGTCAGCCCCTGAACCCATGATCAGAATAACACATGACATATTCCACGTTCCTGTTTCCCTTTCTGTACTTCCTTTGCCGTTGTCTAGAGGCTGATCAGATTTGAACTATTTAAACTTTGGTTTGATGCTTCCAATGTTAAAGGTATTACTGGACAACATTTGCAAAAAAAAAAAAGAAATTAAAAAGAAACGAATAATTTGCAGATTAAAGAAAAACAATACAATAAATCTGAAGGTTATTAAAAAAACCTTTGAGCTCAGTAGATCTCATAGTTTTGTACGGAATTTTGAAAATGCATCTTCATGTTTCTCGACGCAAAGCAAGATTTCTGTTGAAAGCCCTCCCATCTAAAATATTCATTTATACTTTTTGACTTGCACCCTGTTGTGGTTAGTCTGAATATCACCCGTTATTCACGGAGCCAAGTCTCCTGTTTAACATCTGATATATCTAAGCATGCGTGACGTCATTTCATTCCGAAATCAAGACTAAGATTGTGACTGGTCAGTTTCGGTGCCGCCTCTTTGTAATACAACAACCTGTACAAAAATGTTACTAATCGTAGGCGTGATGTTTACACACGCAGGGAGCTCGAATTACGCCTAATAGAAGGTGCCTGCTGAATGGTCAGTTTCTCGAAGTGCAATCTAGTTGCATAATTAACCGCCAAATCTGTTTACGTATCATAGGCCATGGTCGGCTTCGCCGGGGCCAGGGTCTATCACATAGACTATCTTGTGATCCCAAGTATGTCATATTGCATAATATACTAAATTCAGTCACGTGGGAGCAGTAGTTTTTTAAAAAAAACTTTTTTTTTCTTGCAATAGTTTATCGTAAACATTGTCAGGTAAGGATGGAATTTCCTCTTTTCTTGAAATTGGCAGCATATGTACTAGGCACAATGATTTCACAGGATGCTTGACACTATTATCTACATGTACTTACTAAAAAGTTTTCAGTTAATTAATTAAGCAGGATATTTCATGTTTGGCAGATTCGTTTTTGAATATTCGCAAGTGGTGTCCATTACTCTCAATGTGGTGCAGCATTTTGTTTCTCCGTTTGGTATTATTTTTGACCATTTGCACCTGCAGTTTCTTTAACAGCATATCTGTCAGCCAAACTTTTTAAAAGCATATATTTTTAAAATCCTGTTATTTGAAACAGTACTTGAACATTACTTCAAATAAAATTCAGAAAGTGTGTGGGGGATGGCTGTGTGTGTGTGTGTGGGGGGGGGGGGGGGAATGGCTGGGGGGGTTGGACACCATCCACCGCCTTTTATAATAGAAATAGCCTGGGTAAGAGGCTTCAGACAGCAGGCACACGTGCGTACGCATGTCAAATGAACGCGCGCGCATTATGTCGGATGGATGCACATAGACCACGGTCGCAGCTGTGATTGGTACGCAACGGGGCAGGGATTAATGGACTGGTCTATTCTGGGAAAAGGTAAATTAATTTGTGTTCCCGTGCAATGAAAAATAACATTCTGTGCGAATATTCACGGTGTAGTAATCGCGGAACTTTTTATAATACTTCCGCGATTATACTGCACGGCAACTGGAGTAAACCCACAATTTCAGACGGTTGCAATCGATCGCCGTGAGTCCATGGGTTTTGTACACCTTCGGGTGCAAATGGCACCCTCGGCTTCGCATCAGGTGCCACTTGCACCCCCGGGTGTACAAACACCATGGACCCCATCACAACAGGCAACATTAATGAAAGATATAACTTACCTTGTAGCAGAGTCATTTGAAACGACTTCTTGTGTATCAGAACCAGATGATCTGGCAAGTAAAGAACAAAAACCAACTGTAAGGCAAAAAAAAAAAAGATAAGTCGGTCTCTGGTCAGCGCGCGCGTCGATTTTAATCATGCGCGTCAATCTTTTTTTTTCCAAAATGTTCCGTGGTAGCTCCAACAGCGCCCTCTATTGCCGCACCTCCTCAATTTTTTTTACCAAATAGCACCAAGGAATGGGAAATTGCACCAAGGCAAATGATCGAGAGCACCAAGGCAAATTATGGAGGACACCAATGTACATGAGAACACCAAAAAAGCAAAACAGTACCCCACCTTGTCTGTACAATCCAAGCTTGAAGGAAAAAAAAAAAAAAAAAAAAAAAAAAACACGCGTCGCTGCGTCAATTCCGGAACTTTGGTCTGACCAGAGACCGAGTATTTTTTTTTTTTGGCCTAATAACAAGTTAATGTTGTACAGTAGAGCCTCACTATAAACTAACATGACGGAGTTCATACAATTTGTCAGATGCTTTTCTAGATGCTCTGTGGTGCAATTTGAGGCATTTCCTGGTCGCCTTCCCCTAAATTTTTGAGCAAAAGTATAACAAAACCATGAGGGTCATCAAAAGTGGAAATTGTTGGCTGTGATTTTTTAATACATAATTTCTAAGCAGTTTATTCAAACACTTTGAACCCCCCCTCAGCGTACAGGCCTAATCTTGTTGAAATAAGGTTTTATTCATAATTTTGAAACAGGCCAGTTTCTGCCACTGTTGCACAGTGCAACACAGAAGCTAGGGAAATGCATATATGCAGATAATGGCCAAGATTGCATGCTTTGAACAGTACCTCCAAATAGTCTGTTGGTAATCAGCCCCCTCCCCCTTTTCGTTTTTGATTTTCCAGCGGTCGCTTGACGAGCAAAACAATTCCTGGATACCTTTCAGAGGGTATATCGGTATCATGTTGTGACACCAGCCCCCCCCCCCCCAATCAAATCAGTTTTACTATACGCCCCGATCAATACAGCAGAATGTATACACTGTGTAATCCTGTTGTGGGCTCATGTAGTCTACTGAACTAGTATTAAGGTAGAGGGAGGGCGGGGGCATGTGGAGCAGGATGGTGGAGGGGGGTGGAGGGGGGCCGGGGGAGGGGGGCTGGGGGGAGAATACCTGATATTCTCGGCAGAGGCTGATTGTGTTTGTTCTTGACTCCCTGCCTGATGGTAGAGGTAGAGGGGGTTAGGCAAGGGGAGTAGGATGGTGGGGGGGGGGGGGGGGGGGAGAACTACCTGATATTTTCTGCAGAGGCTGATTGTATTTGTTCTTGACTCCCTGCCTGATGGTAGAGGTAGAGGGGGCGGGACAAGGGGAGTAGGATGGTGGGGGGGAGAACTACCTGATATTTTCTGCAGAGGCTGATTGTGTTTGTTCTTGACTCCCTGCCTGATGGTAGAGGTAGAGGGGGCGGGGCAAGGGGAGTAGGATGGTGGGGGGGGGGGAGAACTACCAAATATTCTCTGCAGAGGCTGATTGTGTTTGTTCTTGACTCCCTGCCTGATGGTAGAGGTAGAGGGGGCAGGGCAAGGGGAGTAGGATGGTGGGGGGGGGGGGGGGGGAGAACTACCTGATATTCTCTGCAGAGGCTGATTGTGTTTGTTCTTGATCCGTGCCTGATGGTAGAGGTAGAGAGAGCGGGGCAATGGGAGTAGGATGGGGGGGGGGGGGGGGGGGGCGGGGAGAGGAATACCTGATATTCTCGGCAGAGGCTGATTGTGTTTGTTCTTGACTCCCTGCCTGATGGTAGAGGTAGAGGGGGCGGGGCAAGGGGAGTAGGATGGGGGGGGGGGGGGGGGGAACTACCTGATATTCTCTGCAGAGGCTGATTGTGTTTGTTCTTGACTCCCTGCCTGATGGTAAAGGTAGAGGGGGCGGGACAAGGGGAGTAGGATAGTGGGGGGGGGGGGGAGAACTACCTGATATTTTCTGCAGAGGCTGATTGTGTTTGTTCTTGACTCTCTGTCTGATGGTAGAGAGGGCGGGACAAGGGGAGTAGGATGGTGGGGGGGGGGGGGGGGAGAACTACCTGATATTTTCTGCAGAGGCTGATTGTGTTTGTTCTTGGCTCCCTGCCCGATGGTAGAGGTAGAAGGGGTGGGGCAAGGGGAGTAGGATGGTGGGGGGGGGGGGGGGGGAGAACTACCTGACATTCTCTGCAGAGGCTGATTGTGTTTGTTCTGGACTCCCTGCCCGATGGTAGAGGTAGAGGGGGTGGGGCAAGGGGAGTAGGATGGTTGGGGGGGAGAACTACCTGATATTTTCTGCAGAGGCTGATTGTGTTTGTTCTTGGCTCCCTGCCCGATGGTAGAGGTAGAGGGGGTGGGGCAAGGGGAGTAGGATGGTGGGGGGGGGGGGGAGAACTACCTGACATTCTCTGCAGAGGCTGATTGTGTTTGTTCTTGACTCCCTGTCTGATGGGCAGCTTCAGCAAGCAACTGTTGGTTGGCATGAATCGTCATCCGTCTTCGGGTGAAAAAAAAAAGAGTTAATATATCTTACCAATTTTTAATATATATCTTACCAATTTTCATGAAGGCTCATATTCAGCGTACAGAGGGACTATAACATTGACAGAGTCACAAATATTCACTAAGGAGGCATTGCCATTATTGATTGAGCTGAAAACAAGATTTTGAAAGATGTACAACCCTTATCTGAAAGTGTGCTTATTTATTTTGATAAAACTAATTTAAAAAACGTCCTATTTTACATCTGAGTTGCATTATTAATAAATGATATCCAGTGACTTTCATTTTTGGGGAGGGCTGGCCACAAAAGCCACCAGAATCCATGCAATTTCATAAAATTAGAAATCATCATTCCACAAAAACACTGGAATATGAAATATTTTGTAAAAAAAACCTGATGATATAGTATTTGCATCGATTAGTAACAATGATGTTTTGTTTCCATAACCTTCCCCACATTTGGTTTTTGTATTTTTAAAATAAAAACCAAACAACAACATGTAAGGATTAATAATTACAGTTCATTAAATAATTACAGTGGGTAGAGCAAATGTGCATAGACCGTGTACAATCATGATCTATATATAGTCAATCATTTTCAACTTTGATGAAGAAACAATTCTAAGAAAAATATCTGCAACTAGACAATTTGTTATAACTACGATTCAGAAGTTGGTCCCTTCAGTACTGCAGCCGGTTTCACAAAGCAGTGTAATGCCATGCAAAGGAACTATGCGACAAATTTATTACACAGCTGCGCAATAAAGTTGCGATCGCTTTCATGAAACTTGGCGCAGCTGCGCAACGTTTTAAGTAATCTAAACATCTTGGACGTGGATAAGAACATCATTTATGACAGCTGTATGTGCATGATTTTGTTTGATCATGAAAGAGCTGTTAAATCACCACCGCCCGCCATTCAGAAAATATTTTGTCTGACTTTCTTCGGAATCATGCAGCAACTCAAAATAGCAAATCTTTTACTTCAAACACTACCTTGATAAGTTGTGCAATAACAGACTCCTCAACAATCCCCATTTGTTGGTAAAATAGGTAATTTTCATTCACTACGCCACAACTTACGCCACTTAAAATTATTGCGCAAGTTACGCCACAATTTGTTGCCCAAGTCGCGGACTTATGCACTATGAAACATTCGTGAAATTGTCATAACTTAAATGTTGTGCAGCTTGCGCCATAATTTGTGCGCAAGTGGACTTATGCCATTGCGTAAAGTTTCGTAAAATCGGCTGCTGATTGTTTGCCTTGTTCTCTACCAACAGAGCTACAAATGTCGGGCCTTTTTTTCCTCAAGTTGATGGCAAGGGAACAAAACCAGACAAAACATATTCACCTTGCCTTCAGCTTCTGGTCTTGCCTGGTCAGTTCCTCGTTGAACTTCTCAGCATTCCGTGCGATCTGCCTGGTCTCGACATGACCCTTCACCTCCTCAAAAAGGTCGTTACGGATGGACTGGAAATTGTTCACTAATTAAATAAAAATTTAAAAAATCAGATCAATAAAAACACAATGTAATTGTACAATGAGCCTGCATGCATGTTTTAAGGGAACAATTCGATCATTTGTGTATTAGTCTGGTACCAGCTGAACTGCAGTATGATCAAACTGAATATCTTGTTGGTATTTCTACGGGTTGTGGGTTTGAGCCGAGCCTGTTGGGCTTTGATCCTTGTGGCTGTGTCCTTGCAATTGGGTCATTCTATAAATTTGGGGTCCACTTCTTTTCCCGTCCCTGTTACATCTGACATCTATGATTTTATAATTCTGATGCACTCCTTAATGCAGTGGTCCTCCAAGAGTGATTATGAATAGCAAACTACCTACCCAACAAATAAACAATCATTTGAAGTCATTCTTAATGATACTTGAATGGCAAATTACAAAGTACCAAGGTAACAGGGACGGGAAAAATGTCACACTCTGGACCCTAAATTTATAGAATGACCCAATTGCACTGGTCATTTGGTAACTGCAGCATTGCCAGTACCTTCTCCCCCTCCCCCATTATGGGTACCAGATGGTGAAGGGGGTTAAAATTGCAGCACCGGGCTTTGTATTCCCAATACAGATGGGATGGATTCGTGATTTCCTTAATGAAAACAATGAGCAGGCAGGGGTAGTAATGACTCAGCTCGCATCTTGAACAACAAAATTTATAGGTATAGAGGAATCCGGCGACCAGAATTTGAAGCTTTTACTGAGGTGGTGTCACGCTCACGCGCATATTTCGGGCGTTCTTAAAGATGAGGCGCGTGCATTTGGCTTTCCTATTGGTTGAAAGAGCCCGGAGCACGTGCGCCCAACCCGAGCGCGACTCACGCGAACTAAGCTTGCACCATTGTAGAAAATGGCTGCCGCCGGATTTGTCTACAAAAAAATTACTTCATGTTTTCTGCAAATCAACAATTGCATTAGGAGCACATAGGCCTGCGACAGCAAGTTGATTTCCTTTCTTCCTTTTTTGACAAATGAGGATGTTGGAAGACATGTCTATGAATATCAATTGGCACACCCATTTGAATTTTTTTCACCTTCCACTGAGGTTTGTTCAAAGTTATGCTACATGTATGAATATTCATTAGGCACAGTTATTTGAATTTTGATTAATGTTTACCAATGAGGGTGATCACGGGTATGCTATGAATATGCATATTGCACAGCATTGTAAATTTTATGTATTAATTTTGTTTTGCCCACCCATGATTCCGACGAAGATGTTGCGGAAGGTGAAGGAACCAATGCAGATCCATAGCATGATGTAAAATGTCGTGAAGAATCGGTCGGCGACCTTCCACATGTCCATCATAACCTTGTACCACTGGTCCAGGGTGAAGAGCTGGAACAGCGTGATCAGTGCACGGGTGATACTACTGCAGGTTACCAGGGAAACCAAAACGACAGAAATATGAATATAAAGAATTTTATAACACACCTCCATTACGTTGTTCCTGATTCTATGGCCTTATTGGCTGAAACATGGTCACATTGGATCCACTATGTGGGCTATAGCATTGAAGTTTGCAACGCACATGAATTATACGTAGATGTGCAAGTTAAGGCCGGTTTATACTTGGCGCTAAAGCGAATGTGAAATCGTTACATCACAGCACGTATTCGCACTGCGAATTCCCAAAAGTTGAACACATTTCAACTTCGGTGAAATTCACTGCGAATGTTCCCCGACATCACATTCGCTTCGCATTTGTATGAAGTATGAACCGGCCTTTACAGTAAAAAAAGAAAGAAAAGAGGTAAATTTTGTCACGAGCCAATGTGGCCCATCAGGCCGGCGTTTATCTCCGGTTTCAGTAGCATGAAACGACTGAGAATATTTCTAGCCCCCCCTCCCCCCAGATGGGATGCTTGTCCATCGTAGGTTACTCCCCAGCTAATTCCGGTACCCATTTATACTTCTAGGTGGAGAGAGGCAAGTGGGGGTGAAGTGGCTTGCCCAAGGACACAACATATGACCAGCAGCTGGATTCGAAACCCCTGACCCTCTGATCATGAGTCAAGAACTGTAACCACTAGGCCACACTCCCCAAATGGCCTTTACAATGCCCAGTGGAATGTGGAGGATTTCATGGCTCATCATAACATGAAAAATTGTACTTCGTGGATTGTGGTGTTATAAAACACATTGACCGGCACTATTTAATACCTGAAGCTGTCCTTGTATTGCAAATCTTCGCGATCAGATCTGGTGTAACTGTCGAAGAAAATGACTCCGGCAATGGCAAAGATGTAGGCAAAGAGTAGAAGCAGCAGCATGATAAATGTCATCGCCTGGCAATGGAGTGGGAAAAAACTCAATTACGTTGAAAGCTATTTACGTCAATTTTTACAAATGCCAATGGCAGAATTACCCACGGCTCAACCAATGGGTCAATCAATGGTGGGACTATCTGTTCCCATGACTGAAACCACAGTGGATCCCACAGCAGATTTTAAAATGTACCCTCAACCACACAAGATGCAGCTCATAGTCACAGTGATTAGGCTCTGATTGTGGCACATGGCTGGCACCATGGCTAAACCCCATAGTTGAACTAACATCTAATGCACATCTCATCTTGATAGGCTCCGATTGCTGCCCATGGCTGGCACCATGAATGGGCCCCAAAGCTTGATACTAGAACCCATGCTTGATGAAGCTCTTCTTGATGGCTGATTGTGGCACTTTGTCGGCACCAGGGATGGACCCCATAGCTGCAGCCCATGTATGATATAGTTCATCTTAAAGCCTCCAATTGTGGCCCGCATGGCTGGCACTACAGTTGGACCCCATACCTAAACCCATGCCTGATGCAGCTCAAGGCTCTGATCGGGCCCTTGGCTGGCACCGTGGCTTGACCCCATAGCTGAACCCACACAGCTACGAAGCTCACCTTGAAGGCTTTTGTGATAGCAAGAGCAATCAGCCTGGCCTGCTGGAACCGAGACACCATCTTGAGCGAGCGAAGGATGCGAAAGACTCGCAGGTTCTTCACAATGACTCGAAGCTCCTTCAGGTCGCCCACTGTGAGCACAATGATCTCTGGGACAAACGACTAGGGAGAAATAAAAGCCAAGCTTCAAAAATTTCCTAAAGCAATTGCAAGTTTTCATAAACCAGATTTTTCAAAATCAATCATAAAAAAGTACATAAGTTTTGGAAGAGCCTCCAAGTGCATCGTAGAACTTAACCAGTTCGCGCCGGGATTTTTTTGACAAGACTGGAACGAGGCGCGGGATTAATTTTTACTCGACTTCAAGCCATCACCCTCGGGCATCACACTGATATTTCCGGCCTCACTCGCTACAAGCAGGTCGCTGATAGAAATTTCCGGCCTCGCTCCCTGAGTGTCTGTCATCCGTTCCAAATACCACAAAAACCTTTGCATGTATACACGTCATCCATTGCAAACTGGTTAACCCTCTGGACTGCTGAACATTATAGGGTGTTTAGAAAATACTAATATTTGTCCAATAGGTGAAGGAACAAACATTACAATAAAAAAACCTACAAAATAGTTTATGTTTTTCATCTATTATTGCCTAAAGAACAAGGTGACACAAATGCGCCAATAAAAATATTTGAGTCTATCTAGAAATTTATGGTTAACTTTTAGTCATGCAAAAACTTGCTCCAAATAAACTTCCCATGAAAAAAACAAAATTAAAGTTATTTACATGTTTATATAACACCCAAATAAATCCTTGTCATTTGATTGGAGGATTGAAGGTCACGCGGCATTCATAAATGTCATAACCATGCATTTTTTGTTCAATTCACCATGCATTTTCGTCCGATCCCTTTTGATCTATTGCACGTCGCGCACGCTAAGAACGCGCGGCCCAGTGCTATACGATCCTTGCGCTATATTTAGACCTTATCATCTGTTATAGCAGTACAAAACTTGCCTTTGAAGTTGATGCAGTTGACTTGATGATTTTAAGAACTTATAACGTTAAATTTTCATTAATGTCAATGATTTGATTTTTAAACCTTTTAGTCTTGAACAAGCTGAAAAAAGAAGTGAACATGATACAATTTTGTGAGTTTTGTGTGTTCTTATTTATTTATTTATTTATTTTTTATTTTAACTGGGTAGCCCATCCACTGATCTCCCATGGGTCCCAGTAAAGAGAAGACAATGTGAAGAAATTGCAGTTTAAGAGGTGGGAGGAAAAGCCCAGAAGAGTATTCTGAGGAAAACCCACGGAATCAGGTAGGGACCGAAAACCCAATCCACATATTGACCCAGGCGGGATTCGAACCCGGGTCACAGCGGTGGAAGGCGAGGAAAGTACCGCTACGCCAACCTGACTCCCCTTAAAGTTATTAAAGTTTTATCCTCCAATCGAATAACAAAGATCTACTTGGATGTTATATAAAACAAATAATTGATGTTTAACATTCGTGCAGTGGTGAGAATATTTTCATTCGTTGAAAGATGGAATGTTCCATTCAACGAGGCAAAGCCGAGTTGAATGGATGATTCAATCTTTCAACTCATGAAAATATTCCCACCATTGCACTCATAAACATTCATTATTTGTATAATATCCTCTTGATCGCTGCAATCCAAAGAAAATCTTCCTTACCCCGACAGTCACAAAGAAGTCAAAGATGTTCCAGCCGTTCTTCCAGAAGGAGACAAAGTCATCCATCCACTTCAGGAGGATCTCCACCATGAAGAGAAATAAAGAGCAGTAGTCAAAGATTTCCAGGGCCTGCTTCAGGCCAGCAAGGTTCGGGTTGCTGTCCCCCGACACCTCTAAGAGAAAAAAAGACAAGGCAATTAACAACAATAATACTGGTACCAACTGGGCACTAAAGTTGTGCATCAGGCTGGGTCGCTGACCAGGCCAAACCGACCTGAAACATTATAGCTATAAACCGAATCCGAACCGAATCCGATCTGACCTCTCCAATCTGACCCAAACCAACCCATCAAATATTCAAGCAAAAACCGACCCGAAGCTGAACTGAAACCGAACTGACAGAATCGAGTACGGGCCAAGTCCAACATTTTTTTAGTACTGATAGTCGAGTACCGGCCGAGTACCTGTGTGTACTCGAGTAATACTCGAATACGAGTACTCCAACACTGCTGTACGGTACGGTGAAGACTCATAACGTTACCTAACGTCCTACACGTTATAGATTGTGCGTGATGTACCCTAAGCCATATATGCACATTCCCGCAGTGGGTTTATGTTGGTTGTATCGGGCACAGTAACGCAGTTCAATAATATTGCACTGCATGGATTTGCGAACCGTTTTGGATTTTTTTGGGTTTATATTATTACTTTGTTTTTGTTTTTCACAAGGTGTCTTAAGCAACCCGACCCGAAAATCACAAACGCAAAACCAAAACCGACCGACCTGACTGAAATGATGGAAAAACCGACCCGACTTGACCCGACCTGAAGTCGGTTTCGGTTTCGGGTCGGATTCGGGTCGGATTCACAAATTACTTTGGTGGGACTCGAAACCCACGACCTCCTGCTGACGTCTAACCAATCGACCACCGAGCTTGCCGGGGTCGGCCGGCTGGATCAATCTGATGTAACAGTGGGCACCGCGTACCCAAATTGTTCACATATATTTTTATTATAAAAATAATAAATGTTTATTAGTGCAATGGTAAGAATAACTTCGTGAGGTGACAGATGAAATAATCCATTTCACGAGGCGAAGCTGAGTGGAATGGAACATTTTGTCTGTCTCTGAATGAAATTATTCTTACCATTGCACGAATGTGAAACATTCATTATTTGTTTTATACAACACCTGAATGAATCCTCGTCATCTGATATTGTGTGCCGCGTTTTCTCTTCTCAGTCCTGAGTAAAGTCGTGACAAGAAGCTGTTCAGTTGTGGTGAATCAGTCTAATGCTTCAACAGATGTTCCTGTATGTTTTGCAAATTTGTCTAATCGTTTGGCAGCGTATTTTATTTGCTTTTTTGTGTCAGCATCACCTACAAGTTTTGATATTTCATCTTCTATTTGGAGAACAAACGGTGTTTGTAACAGTGTTTGTAATGAAACGTCCGCATTTTGTGAAATAAATTCGTGTAACAGCGCCATCACCGGCAGCACTGAAACCGTGTAATGGAAGTTCTTTTCACCGTGCAATAGAACTTCCATTGCACTTTGCGCTGCGCCCCGGGCGCGCGCCATGCGTTTGGACAAATAACTCAATGACATGTGATCAACGATCCACCAATCAGATGACGCGGATTTATGCAGGTGTTGTATAAAAACATTTATACAACACCTGAATAAATCCCTGTCATCTGATTGGTGGATCGTTGATCACATGTCATTGAATTATTCGTACCAACGCACGGCGGGCGCGCAGCGCACAGTGCAATGGAAGTTCTATTGCACGGTGAATAGAACTTCCATTGCACGGTGTCACTGCTGCTGGTGGTGGTGCTGTTTCAAATCGAGATATATTGAATATGATTATTCTCAACCTGTTGAACAGTTTGCATTTATATAAACTTGATGAACTTGTCGAACTTTTCAACAGTTTTAAACCTGAATAAATTGGCTATTAAAAGTCAACCAATCAGATGACGAGGATTTATTCAGGTGTTATATAAAACAAATAATGAATGTTTCACGTTCGTGCAATGGAAAGAATAATTTCATTCGGTGACAGATGAAATGTTCCATTCCACTCGGCTTGGAACATTTCATCTGTCACCTCATGAAATTATTCTTACCATTGCACTCACAAACATTCATTATTTGTATAATATACTCAGTGTTGTTCCGAGTGATTGTGAGCAAAATTCACAAGCTACTCGGGTGGGACTTGATGAAGGGCAAAACCCAATATTGATTTCACGTCACCCTGATACAAAAATCGTAAACAAATTTGTAAAGTCCTGGAGACAGGTTTGGCAATACATTCTATTGGGCAAATATTTTAAGTAGCATTCTCTGGTTTGACAAAATTCATGTGACACACACATACGTGCGCCGGTATGTATTTCTTTACCTGATTGTATTCCCAGTGCAATGGAATTTGAGAGAATCAGGAAAAGCATGAAATACTGAAAAATGGAACCTCGGGCAAGTTAAGGACATTTTGAGTTTCATGAAAGTCCCTGTAAAATAAAATACACAAGAAAGAACAGAGATACATGTACAGGCATCAGAAAATGAAAGTTCCCCTTTCCCTATCCAACTAGACTTGAGGACAATTTCAATAGGCAGTTGTGTTTTGGCTGCGGCGCTATGTATTAGGCTTATTATGCTGGGCTTGTACAACCTTCCAGTGTTAGTGCACACTAGCTTATCCCCTGAATTGTTGCAACGGGAGACCATTGCGAGGGACATTCGAACGCACTGCTGAGGGCGGCTGATATGCCGATAAAAAATGACGCTACGCACCATATGTACGCTGGACTCGAATCAGGAATCACAGTGTTTCCATCCGTTCACCCCCCCCCCACCGCAAAAAAACCCACAAAAAACCCTACAAACAAACACACAAAAACATAAACATAAACAAACAAAAAAAAATCAAATTTTCAAATAAGGGAAACTGACTAGGTACATCATAATAATTAGTCCAACAAAGAAATTAGCTGGAGCGGGTTTGAACCTTCAACCCCTGGATAGCCGTTTCGGTGCAGTTCGCCTTGAATAAAGACATTGACAAAATGGAGAACTGCCAACATACATGTAGGGCTGGATTGCCCAGTTGGTAGAGCACCGGAACAGTAATCTGGAGATCACACGTTCAAACTCTGTTCTACTCAATTTCTGTTTTCAACTTAAAAAAAAAAAGAAACAAAACAAAACAAAAAACAGTCAGCAGGGATTTTAAGACTGTATATGAAATTGGCGGCCAAGAAATTGGCGGCCAAACTCGCTATTATTTAGTTTCTGAAGTGTATTTTGACATACATTTGCATATCTACCGTACATGTACATACACGTTTGTTTATGGTGTAAATCGAGGATTTTCTATTGTGTTTCTTCCCCTTTCCTTTGTTTGTACTCGAACCTTTTTGCAACAGCTCTCATTGGATTTTGTACACGTTTTCTAATCGAGGTTGTCCACGATTTGGTTCCTGTCCTTGATTCACTGATGATGTTGCACGTGTGTGTCCTCAATTTACACCATAAACAAACGCATCCACCTTTTAAGAGTCTCATCAAAGCCTGTGCAGCATCTAGATGAGGGACTGGTGAGCAGTGCTACTAACAGTGGACAATTAGGCCAAAAAAAGAAAGTCTCCGGTTTCTGGTATGGAGCTTGCCCAAAAAGTGGTGCGGCGATGCGGCTTTTTGTTTTTTTTACCTGATTTTTTTGCTTCAAATGTCGGCTGATGACTGCAAATGGTGCCGACTAAACTTAGTGCAAATATATGGGAGTCCAGAGAGGCCACATAAAGCTTATTCTCGACCATAACCCAATCTAAAAACACGTTAAAATTGTGCAGCAGCAGGATTCCAGTCAAACCAGTGAGTTTGGCGGTTTTGAGACATCATCTTTCATTAAAAAAAAAAACGTTTTCATTTTGCCGACGCGCATGGTTACGGCGACGCGCGCGCATACCAGAAACCGGAGACTTTTTTTTTTTGGCCTTAACCCTAACTCCCTAGGGGGTGTGCAAAATTATATTGAAATTGGAGGATTCAGGACTGTACTCTACTTATGCTTTCTTTACACACAAGCAATTTTGATTTAGTGCGGGCGAAAAGACATCTGCCTTGATGTAAGTTGGCATTGATGGTCCTTTGAACTGCTCCACAGTGGGCAGCTCGATGGTTTTCTGAGGAAGCGCATCTTTGTCTCTCAGTGTCCTTGGCCAGAAATCAGAGTGTAATAAAAAAAACACAACCTGCCACAAAAGGATACTCTCCAAGACAAAGTGAGCCCAAATGTTGAGGGGTGGGTTCTTGGAGTTCTTGTTGCGGACGCGGTTCTTGCGCCGGTCAGCCTTGGTGACCTTGCCCACCTCGTCCTTGCTGGAGTAGACCTGGAACTTGACCAGTCCGGCCGGGTTATCCAGCATCATTTTCTGCACCTGCAGTTTATCTGGCCGGCCAAAATGGACAGAAGAGATTGATGAGATGATCAGAGAGATATTTGGTTGGAACACCTCGCTTGGACAGATTATGAACATAAGTCCTAGTGGGTGAATTTTTTTTTTAATGTTAGGCCAAAAAAAAAAAAAATTTGGTCTCTGGTCAGACCAAAGTTCCCGAATTGACGCGGTCACGCGGCTTCTTTTTTTTTCTTTTCTTCAAGCTTGGATTGTACAGACAAGGTGGGTACTATTTTGCTTTTTTGGTGTCCTCATGTACATTGGTGTCCTCCATAATTTGCCTTGGTGCTTTCGATCATTTGCCTTGGTGCAATTTCCCATTCCTTGGTGCTCTTTGGTAAAAAAAATTTGAGGAGGTGCGGAAATAGAGGGCGCTGTTGGAGCTACCGCGGAACATTTTGGAAAAAAAAAAGATCGACGCGCATGATTAAAATCGACGCGCGCGCTGACCAGAGACCGACTAATTTTTTTTTTGGCCTTAGGGTGTCTTTTTTTTATTTCTATGGTTCTCATATTTTTTGCCTCTGCAGTACTACGTTCGGTCGGTTAAAAACCCAAAATTAAGTCGAGGACAAAACTACTGGCATGCCCAGTCGTTGTTGTATAACAAAACTCTACATTTGAATTGACCATCAAACATTTAGTCCTGATTTGGGAATGAAATGACATCACGATTTAGTAAAGTCGACTCTGATACCCAGACTAACCTCTCCTGTGGCTCTGCTTGTATTCTACTGGATCATTCAGCATGTAATTTGGCAACAAAATCAAGAATAATGCCAGTTCTTTTGCGAATTTGTAAGGCCATGTCAAGTTTGTGAGCTGGGAATTCACAAGAGTTAAACACATTTCAAATTGGGAGAACTCCACTACAAAATAATTTTTTATGACGTCAAATTTGCTTCATATTCGCATCCGCATCAAGTAGGAACCAACTATATAACAGCTCACAGGATCGTTTGCATTTACCCAAAAAATAACCTACCGAATTATTATCAAAAAAATTACTTGGATCGTACTAATACTAAACCCCCCGTAAAATGATTCCATCTGACTTACTGTCATTTAGAAGAAATCAAGAACTGTAGGCGATTTCCAAAGGTCAGTCAATTGACTCATCTTTGGAAACAAAGAGTTATACAGACAAAATCATGTGTCGTGACTAAAAGGTTGTGCATGTGGTTTTTCACCATTATCTTTAAAAGCTTCATATTACACTGCGCTGAAATTCAACAGGTTTATAGGTCTTGAACTGTCTTCTTTGGATTTTGAGTGTTAATTGTTATTACTGGAAAGACGAAATGTATGAAAAGCAAATGATCATATGCCTTTAAGTCAGACTCTCAAGTACACAAGTAGCGAGAGTCTCACAGTTTCAGACTAAAATGGACCCACCAGTGAAATCCTTGGAGTAGAACTTGGGTGCATCTGACTGTCCCTGGACGTCCAGGCTGTCAAGAAGGTGAAAATCCTCGATGAGTTTAGAGCGGAAGATCTCGGCTTGGGGCGTCAGCTCTTCAAACAGCTTGTTGGCAATACCGCTCTCGTCCATCGTCAGCTCTCCTGGTCAATTCTCTTCAGCGATTGTGCAGTTAGGTGCCCTGTTCCTTCAAGAGAACAAAACCAGGATTTTTTTCCAGAGATTCCTGAACTAGCTTGCAATGACAAATTCCAATAAGGTGGTTGTAGATTATAGAGGGCATAGATTTGTTCAACAATAAGGTGTGTCACGGACACGGTACTAGAACACGCCTTGCTAGACGTGGGCGCATTTTGAAATGACCGCATGATGACTTGCAACTGGAAGCGCCAAAGTTTTCCATTGACGATGCGTACACAGCAATGCATGTAAAATTGTCCCGCGGGCAAGATGGTGTACATTACTATGAAAAACACCCTTTTTTTCAAACACCCTTCTAGCTAAATAATGGAGTGTCCAGCTCACGAGTAAGATGTAAACAAGATGCCCTGTAACCAAGATGGTGCATCTTACCGTGATGGCGCATATTCAGTGATGGTGCATATTAACGTTAAACATGCTTATTACTAGTATACATGTATTATGCGCCTACAAATTGCCGTGGTTCTCGTACTAAAATTTTATAGCATACTTTGGCCCAGGCCCATACATAAATTATAGCAATGAAAACAAATCTGAATAGGCCCTATACTATAGACTAGTGATACTGATAGAAAAAGAAACATAAGTTATTATCCCCAAAACATCATTTATCCATCATCATCATGCATTGTCCATGTTGTCATGGACTCCATGATTTATTGTTTCCCACTCCCCTTGAATCTTCAAATCCTGGTTGAACTTAAAAAGTTGAAGCAAACATTTACAATGATGTTCCATTTTTTTTTCATCAGGACAGAAGATACTCACGTAGTTCATGGCCTATGAATATTCCGATCCGTGGATGGACTGCATTGTAGTACAAAGTGTATACAATAATAATTGACAGAACGGAAACCACTGAGTGCATACCGCATGCGCGCAATATTTTCGAAAAGTTCGAATAGGCGCGCGCCCTCCAGTTGAACAATCATAATCATTGTTAGTCTTATTCCTGAGAAAACGAGTGTTCTAACTCCTTTGTACAACGCATGATCGGTTAAAATTTCACCAACAAGATTCACTTTCACCGATGAGGTAAACAGATGAATTTATGATGTCTTGTCGCGTGCCACGTGCGCGCGTGCATGCACAAATCATGGTTAAAAAGACCGCCATCTGTTGACATGATTTGCTCGAGCACGCAAAATGCACAAAAGAAGACAAAGAAAGGACTATGAAAAGTCCATTAGGGATTTCCCCAGAATTTCCCATCCGGCGTGAGGCGAATTTAGCATTTATTTATTATTCAGAACGTGTAGTTCGTGACATTTAGTCTTGCCACTTTTCTCGGCAATTTATCCACCATGTGTGTCCACACTGAATGTTCCCTGCTAGTTTAACGCACTTAATTGTACTATGAGTTATTTTTTTGTAAATTTTGCAACAATAAGTCGACAGTCGAGGAAAATCAAAGATTACCGTATATGTGTTAAAAAAAACCCCGCTAACTCAACTGGGGTCATCTTTTGAAGGTCAGTCACGCATCGTGTAACGTACATGTAACATGTACATGTAATATGCGGCCTGAACGCGTGACGTGAATGAACTATTGTGAAAATGCTTCCGGAATTCAAAGCAACATCTAGTTATCTGTAGCCTGTAAATCTATGTTTGCAAACGACACGAATGTGTCCAGTGAGGAAGTAACTCGACAGTTTTGGTGAGGTCTTATCGATAATTACGATGACGTTTAACTGTAAGACTCTTAACTTTTTCTTTTCTTTAGTCTTTGACTAGTCTAAAAAATAATTAAATAAGTCAGGGCTGAACATGGCATGATCCGGGTCAAGTGAGTGTATTGTAGATAATAATATTAGACTTCGTAAGATAACAACTTTACTTATGCTTGGAATTGTATCGATTGTGTTCATTCGCAGCCAGCTTTGATGAATGTTTTGTTGTTTTTCAAATAAAGAATATATTGGGCTATATATAAGTTAACCTGTGTGATCAGTCGATTGTGCTGCGCTATCGGCCGATCCTGACGGATATCGGACTTGACTTAAAATCCTTCAGAGCCATGAATTAGAAAGAAAAGGGTGTTTCACTGGTGGCAGCGCGATCGACCGATAGGCGATAGCGTCATGATGGATTCGATAGCGCAGCGTGATTGACCGATCGTGCACATCGATCGTGCACATCAAGTCGACCGATCACGTGCAACAAATACATAAATAATATTGAGACTTAACTTCTTAAGACTAAGAGGTGTCCTAATTTTTCTTTCAAAATATTTGAATCAAAATTAGGCAGTAACCGTTAGTTTGCCGGATATGCACTGGACATGCGCAGTTACTGTTTTTTTATACTTTAAAACATTTTCCGGTGACAAATTTTAGTCTGGCTCCATGCCAATATTATCGTGCTATTTTTGTATTTACAAGATGGGAATCAGACCATTTTATAATTTCGGACTTTATTTCCCTTTAAAAAAAAATCCTCCAGAGCCACAAATCTGAAAAAGAAAAAGTAATACTCTGCAATAAAATGTTTGAGACATTAAAATAATAAAAGAAGAATATTCTTATTTATTTGGGGATGGGAAAAAACCCTTGGAATTGTGGCGGGCATCAGGATTCGAACTCGGTACATCCCACTTACTGGAGCCATTGCTTAACCACTGCACCGACTGTGCTATACAACTTTTGGTGGGAATTTAATACATATTATAATTCAGCCCTATCTTAAAGAGTACAGCGCCCTCTGTTGATATGGATTGCCGCCGGCAAACCTTTAGTAAACGTTAGTTTGCCGGCGTTACCTCCGGCAAAATATCCACTACCAAATCATGGCATCCGTAACAGCACTTTCAATTGCTAATGCTACATGTACTTTACAGCATTGCCAAAACAAAAAAAGTTGCGAATCCTTAATAATATCAGAACTCAATAACTGCCTTCTAACCAGAGCACATTCGAAACTCGATTGGTTTAATTTTTGTATGAGATCATGTTTGTTTCAAAACAGAGAGGTCCTGAAGTTCTTTGAATAGACGTGTGCCTTGCTCCCACACCAGCAAGCACAATGGACCTAGATCAGGAGATCACTAAAATACCGTACCCTACGCTTCTAAAACTCTCACAACACCTTGATGTCGGGAACAATGACATGAACTGGAGGGCCTTGATTGCCAACATTCCGGACCAGATATATGAGTAAGTCTTACCCCCATACCCAATCCCAAACGCTACCCCAAACCCTATCCCGAACCCCAACCCTGTCCCCCCCTTACAACCAGAGTTGTAATTGAGTCCGTTGCAAGACAATCAAGAGTCAACCATTCTCAAATTACAAGCTATTTCAATGAAATATGCGACAAAAGGCATTCCTCTGTCATTGTTTATCTGCTGTTTCTGTGCGGCTATGGAACGTGTTCCTGATGGGCTCGAATCAGTCGCACTTCACCTGTGTGTAAAATAATGACTTGGTGCTCGCATCCGGATCATCTTCTTTCATTGTGAATCGTCTTGAGCATGCATGGTTGACATGAGCATGCTACAGATTATTCTGTGACAAGAATGCACTTGTTCCACGGTAATCACTTGATTTCTCAGTTTTGTGACCCGAGTATGACTTTTGTACTTGACATGCTTGATGCCGTAGGTTCTGTCACAGCGCAAGCAATTCACAGGTCGACCTGAGGTCGGCTTTAAATGTTTGTTCATCCACTAAAAAAGTTCTTAAAGATTGGCACATCGCAAATACTGGGACCACATGTGTACCATGGTCACCACACTCCCTCATAGTACAGTCTTCACAATTTTCCTATCAACAGTGACACTCAGATAGAAACGTTTGCCCTAGCGGTCCACGAGTACTACGGCAGCCCTGCCATGTCACTACTGCGGAATCTCGGCGACAGGATGCGCACCGTGCGACAGCTGATCTCCTACCTGGAGAAGATGTCGCACGAGAAGTGTCTGTGTCTGCTGAAGTTGCCGGGTAAGAACTAGTCAGGATATCCTGAAATTAAACTTAGAATCCCTGCGATCATAGTGATTTTTCAAAACTTGTTGTTAAAATGAATTTTCAAGGAATATGATGTCCTAGAATAAATTAATTGGTCTCTCAGCATTTAAAGGCAATGATTCCTTTAAAAAAAAAAGAGCTTTCAACGTTGCACTTGTGTCACACTGGTCAGTGGAGCTGAATTTAGATCTTGATCTGTGTTTGATCTGTGCAGTACACGTATACACACTAAAGTAGTACGCTTGTTAACCCTAACCCTGCTGAATCCAACAGGATCCAACTATGTCATATACCCGATGGAGCCTGTTGGATTGAGCAGTAAACCCCTTGTGTACATTCCTCATACAAAATGTTGGATTCAACAGGCAACTGAACCGCATTATAATGCCATGTTGAACTCCGTTGGATTCAGCAGACAACTGAAAATAAGGCACGTACTAGTGGATTGAGCAGGAAACTTCGGTTGGACTCTGTTGGATTTAGCAGGGTAGTCCTGAGGAACATCTGGGGTTTAGGCACCTGTGCACTGTAGACATGACATTCATTAGAACATTCAGGGCTGGGTTGTTTATGGCAGTGTGTGTTGTTAATATTGACTTCAGTCCGACTTGAGTCAGTTTAAGTCTAATAGCACTGCTCCTAATACAAAAGCAGAATTGAAAAAAAAAAAAAACTTAGAGTGGATCAATTGATTTTTTCATCGTCACATTAGAAGGTTCAAAACTTTTGTTTAAGAGTGGCACACACAAAAAGCATTGGGACTTTTCCTTTCATAAAGATTTGTTTGTTTTATTATTATTGATTCAATGTGTGGTAACTTTGACTGACTTAATTCCACACTCTCGGATTCCACACTCACTGTCTGTTGGTAGGAGGCAGAAAAGTACTTCTTCACATACAATTTGCTTCTGTATGCAGTGAGCTTCATGAAAGAAAAGAAGAATTGTCAACAATGTTGTACATGTAGTCAGGTCCATCACAAGTCCATCACAAGTCCATCACAAGTCCATAACAAGTCCAGCACAAGTCCATCACAAGTCCATCACAAGTCCATCACAAGTCCATCACAAGTCCATCACAAGTCCATCACAAGTCCATCACAAGTCCATCACAAGTCCATCACAAGTCCATCACAAGTCCATCACAAGTCCATCACAAGTCCATCACAAGTCCATCACAAGTCCATCACAAGTCCATCACAAGTCCATCACAAGTCCTTCACAAGTCCATCACAAGTCCATCACAAGTCGTTCAATCCCAAGTCAACCGTAACGAAAGCATGTTGCACTCTCAGTTGTGATGTGCAGGGAGATGTTGACGTGTCCTTGGAAGTCTGGACAAAGATACCTGTCGGTCCTGTCCAGTATTTTCTTGCATTGTAGATGTAGATAGATGTAGGTCCCTTTGCTAATGTTCAACCCGTTCCTTGTGACTGGACTAATGAAAAGACTTGTGACTGGACTTTAAAGGAGCCATGACTGGGCTTGTAGAAGGAATGAATGACCTCTTCATTAATCGTTTGAAAACTTGTCCTCCGCAGAAAGAATCAGACTTTTGCAAGTTCCCTTGTCACAGACAGTCCAGGCAGGTCCGCAGTCCCAGGCTGTGCTCGCCTGTAACGCCAAGGGGTTCCCCTTCCCTCACTACTGCTGGTACCGGGCCTATGCCGAGACCAACGGAGACCGGAAAGACGTCAAACTGGAAGAGGTCCAAAACGAAACCGACAGGTATGGATGGAATCTTCTATGGACTAGTGCTGCAACTGATCCTCAAAGTTCGGTTTGGTTCGGTTTGGTTGCGGTTCAAATTGATCAACACGTGGCGTGCGCGGCAAGGCCAGGGAGATGGGCCGCGCTGTGTGAATTACATGCAAAGAGCACGCTTTTCATTGGGAGAATCGCAGGTGCGAACAATTTTTTCAAAGCGTATCAGCCCGATATCCTATTGCATGCCTGGCTAGAACGCTGCAAATAATGAAGATGAATGCAGTGACTTGTCAACACGGTAAATTCAATCATCCTTGCACTTTAATTTTGCCCCTTCATTGCAAGCATGCGCATTCCTAGCGCTAGCAACAAATACTTGCCGAACTCTTCCGAACTGACATTTCGGTTCGGTTTGGTTCAGGTTCGGTTCGGAAGGCCAAGTTTGGCTATGTTTAGTTTGGTTCGGCGGTTCGGCTGCAGCACTACTATGGACCCATGTATACGTTTACTGTTATTTTCTATTAGTAGTTCGTGAAATGGTTGTACATGTAAGCTTACATTTGAGAATGTATTTCAGTGAGGGTGCACCTTGTCTACCCTAATCTGACGGTGGATGTTATATTGGTTTATTGGGCTGTACATTTTCCGAATAATTTAGTATTCGATTACTTGAAACTGCATTTGACCGAATATTCGGATGGTCGAAACTGCAACTTTGTGCCACGTTGATCATAAGTTGCTCTCAGAGCGCACAAGTTAAATTTGCTTTTATTTTTGGGACTCGAGTCTTATTAGCCTTCCTCGAGTCGAGTCAAGTCATTCTGATGAGGGACTGGAGTCGAGTTGAGTCATTTGCTCGCAGTGACTTGAGTCGAGTTGAGTCATTTTTTCTTAGGGACTCGAGTCGAGTCACCAAAAATTGTGACTCGAGTCGAGTCATTGACTCGAGTCATTACAACTCTGTAGTTAGGTTCTGAAATATGGAGATCTCAGCTCACACATTTCAGAGGGCTTGGCACTTGATCTACAGAAAATCTTTCTCAGAGTTTGTAAAGAATATATTTGTTTTCACTTGTTGTTTCTGTTTTTCTGCTGAAAGGGTCCTAAGAATTAGTCCTGTTTGGGAGAAGCACAGCGGTGCTTACTGCTGCAAAGTTTACCATACCATAAATGGAGCCATGAAAGAAGTATTCACAGACTGGGCATACCTGGAGGTATGCCCAGCCAGCGAAGGTATGTAGTGTCTTAAGAAAAAAGACTCCGAAATTCGGTCAAACGTTGTCATAATGAAGGTATTTCATGTGAATTCATATACATCTTTGCATGTAAACAGTACAAAGATGAGAAATGGTTTTTGAAGGCAGGTGGCCTTCACTATTGGCACATGTTGACCCCATTGAAGGGTACCTATGCACCGAGTCTGTAGTTCCATGTAAAAGTTAAAAGAAAAAAAATAGTGTACTGCAAACATTTGCATCTGAAGATCAGTCTTAGGGAAACTTGTAACAGACAATTCAACGCAGTGTACAACTTTGGCCTGATGCGATACATTTTCACTGAGAAGTGAGCAATGTCACCATTCTTAAGGTTTACTTCAATCCTTCACTTTAAAAAAAAAACAATGTTCAAATAAACCACCACGGGAAACTGACTAGATGCATGAAATGTTTTTTTTTTTCAAAGTTGAACAAAGAAATTGCCTCGAGCGGGATCAAACCTGCAACCTCGGGATTGCTGTTCCAGTGCTCTACCAACGGAGCCATCTGATTGGGGTACCCCCAACATAGGGCTGTATAGCTCAGTTGATAGAGCACAAAACGGCAGTCGGGCAGTTGGCAGGTTCAAGCCCCCCGCTCCAGTCAATTTCTTTATTCAAATATGAAGGGAGAAAAAAACAGTAAGTTGGTATTTTGTTGTTTTTTGGGTTATGTTTGGTAAAAACAGAGGACAGTTATTTCTTGGACGAGGATGCCGAACAAATGTTGAAACCTCAGATTGTCCAGCAGCCACCGGTGTCTCTCTCAGTTCGACCGGGCAAGCCCATCAAGGTCACTTGCCTGGCCACCGGTTGCCCGACCCCGAAGTACCAGTGGTACCGGTACGGCTACTCGTGCAGAGACAGTCCGCTGGAGCCACACGCACTGAGGGACCAGACTGACAAGACACTCTATGTAGGTTTAGTGAGGATTAGCTATTGGTTATTTCGTGGTAGAGTCTGGGTCCCAGTTCTAAATAGGAAAAAACGAAAATTTTAATTTTCAAAACAAATGTAAAATGCAGCTTGTGCCAAGCGTAGGATTTATGTCACAAATCTGTTGTACGGCTGTGTAGTAAACTTAAGATTTTTTCACGAAACTTACCATAACTACGCAATGTTTTAAACTAATTCAAACATCTTGGATGAGGATGATAACTGACCTTCTACAATATCTGTTTGTGTACGATTCCTTTTCGATCACAAAACAGTAATTGAATCACCTCCGCCCGCTATTTTAGAAAGAATCATTGGCTGCCTTTCTTCAGAATCATGTGGAAACTCTTACAGTTTAGTCATGGGTAAAATAGAAATTCAATTACTTTGAAAACAAGGCCGTGAGTTTCTTGTATCAACCTGGACAATGACAGGCTCCACACAAACTACGATTTTTCAGTAAAATAGTCAGTTTTTAGTTGCTACCGTATGCCACAACCTACGCGTCCTAAAATGATTGCCAAAGTTGCGTCATAATTTGTCGCGTACCACGTACATGTGCACGGTGCAAGTTGTGAAATGTGTCATAGCTGAAATGTTGAGCATCACATGTCCTTTACAAGACCCATCAAAAGTAAATCACAAGTCCTCCATTAAGAGTATGAATATTAGCAAAGGAATGATTCTGTCACAGTTATTTTGAATAGCTTGTGACTTGACTTGGGGACTGGCCAGGGATGACTTGTGATGAACTTGTGATAGACTTGTAATGGATCACAAAGTATAGTTAGTAATACCATGCAACAATGAAGACTACATGTAAGACAACATTTCGTATACAAAACTCACAAAATTGCCAAGGTACAGGAGGAACGTTTATTCGATTCTCATTTTTTGCCTTCTTCGTCTGTTTTGCGCAGTGGGCCCAATCGACTACCGGGGACCAGGGAAAATACTGCTGCCGAGTGTGGAACAAGGCTGGCTGTGCCACGAGCATCACAGTCAGCATTAATGTGGGTGAGTGGAGACCGGCCAACCAAATTGAGATTTTCATGGTGGTAATAAAAAAGTTGTGTTTTTTTTTCTAGTGTCGGAAGCTAACAGAACTCAACCCATCAAACCCCAACATCATGTTTTGTTGGAATCTGTCAGGATGGGTACAGTACCTCTAAACTGACAGTCTTTTACATTGGGTTGGCACACCTCCAGAATCTAAGTCAGAAATATGTGTATGCAGTTTCCCATTTGGTGTTGGAAATTGCCAGGATGGGTATGGTTCCTAGTAAATCATGCTAGGGAGTTAGGGTTAAGGACAGTTCTTACTACATCCAAAAGAGGAGCAAGTTTCATAATTGGCATTTAAAAAAAAAAGTGCTCTCCCAAACCACAGCCTTTTCACAACATGCAGGATTTTACACAGTTTCAATACTGTACACATCACTGAAATTGATTAAGGCACCGAAATTGGGCACAGTGTCCAAAAATGTTGTTGTGATCAGGTGACAATTGTGCTGTGATGTGTGACTGAAATTAAATTAAACTCACAGGGGTTCAGGCCAAGGATAAGAGACACATGTATCTGCACAATCAAACAATTTCAAACTTGACTTCATGGTTTTGTAGTTATTTCAAAAACAGTCATACGTACACTTTTTGGGGGACATACTGTATGGTCCATTTCATGTGTGCCAGTTGGCCCTGAACTCATTGACATGTATTGTAGTGAAATGCCTGACTTTACCATTTTCTTTTTGTCCTTGTTTAGATGCCAGACTTGCTGAGTCGTATCCCGGTAAGTGCATTTGGGTAGATTTCAGGTTTCTTGAATAAAATGGCATTTTTTTTCTCACGATGGCAGATTTTCCAAGATGGCAGAATTTTTCCAATTTCTTACTCTTTTGCCGATACAAAATTGTATACCCAAAGGTTAAGCCTTTCTACATATAGCTACTATTTAGTGGAAACAAATACAAAGACAATATACATGTGTTGACAATATAGGCCTATGTGCAAAATATATTTCGAATGTATGAATTTAAAAAAAAAGAAAAAAAGGGGCGGGTGGGAAAAAAGGAGAGCGTACTAGGAGCATTTCACAGAATCAAAGAGAGTATTTCATTATATTGTGGCAGTTTTGTTTTTCAATGTTTTTGCAATGTTCATTACATTCAAATGCAATGTAAAAAGTTTAATGAGAAAAAATAGGTGACCGGTAGAATTTGTCAAGTGCAGTTTGAAAATTCTTTGCAACTGACACTCAAGGTATTTAGTTCATTGTAATTGTGACATAAAGTTTTGTTCTAATTGTTTTGACAGATAAGATTGAGGTTGTGCGCCATCCCCAGAGTATATCCTGCCGCATCGGGGAGCCGCAGATCCTAGCATGCCACGCGGTTGTCTCTCAGGGAACACTGTACTACCAGTGGTACCTCAACCACCAGGAAATTCCAAGTAAATGAACAATAACATTTAATAACATGTATGGTAACGGATGTTTTAAAGTGTACATATCCACCCAAAAAAGGTGCTCAGGGCATGTTACATCATTTTCATTGCCCCTGCTCATTGGGCCAATGAAAGATTCCTTATTATATCAGCTCCCTGGGGAGTATACAGCTTGATGCTGCCATTTCGGCAATGCAGCTAAAATCAACCACAATAAACAATTCTGCCCTCGGCCATTTACTCCTGGGTGGGGAGAAGCAATGAGTGACAAAGTGCCTTGCCCAAGGGCACACGCACCATAACCCCAGGCAGGACTTGAACCCACAACCTGCAGAATTACCTACAAATAAGTACAGACCATGAATTCAGTGCTCCGTACCACGGGGCCACGGCACTCCACAGTAATGATAGTGGATTTATAAAGTGCACATATCCATTATTGGTGTGGTACATCATTAGCACCCCTGCTCATCAAGCCAATGAAAAAAACACGTTCTGAAGATAATTTCTGCTGCCGGGGCTGGGATGGCCATTGAATCAGTGAGTAGACAGCTTGATGCTGCCATAAAGGTGCAAACGATGTAACAAAACAGGACAGCAATATCTTTGCCCTCACACATGTTACCCATTTACTCCCGGTCTTAGAGATGTAGTGATGATAAAGTATCTTGCCCATGGACATGGGCTTGATTCAAACCCACACTCTACAGAACTACCCTCAAGGTCCTGCGTTCAATGTATCAGACCAAGAAAATTAAGCAACTTGACTAGAGTCAATTTTTCTTGTTTAAAGAGACCATTCTTGTTTTGGTTTAACTAAGAGTAGATGTGAGTGAACTTTGTTTCATCTTAGGAATTTTTGATGGAGTTCAAACATCATAAATGATTAGAATAGTTGATAATGTCTTCATGTAACTGTTCAAAATTTGAAATTTTGAATTTTAAAATGAAAAAAAGGCTTTGAGTTTAGAATATTACAGTGTTTCCATCGTCAATACATTTTTTTGAGCTTCCACAAGGTACTCTCTGTCATATGATTTTTTCCCCAATTTACTAGTCTGGCATGTAAGAGATTATTTCAACATTGCCATTATCAATGTTTTTTTTTTTTTTTTTTTTCAGAAGCCACGCAGCCCGAACTTCATTTTCTTCAGGTTAAGCCGGAAGACCACGGCGTATACCAATGTCGCGTGTACAACGAGTACGCCTGCGTCTTCTCCAACGAAGCCATGCTTGACGTGATAGGTGGCATGATCGCGCCCACCTCCAACTGCCAATTCTACGGTAAGAGACACAGACAGACAAGCAAACAAACAAACAAACAACCCAACAAACACCCTAGCACACATCATATCTAGGAACGTGCATGATCACTAGTGGGCACCACAGTTGTGGCTGTGCTATTGTGGCGGCTTTGTTTACAGTGAGCTAACGCTGTTACAGCAAAGACATACATGGGAGGATGTCCCACAAGTACTAGTGCACTCAGCAGGTAAATTTGCAATCATGGAACATGCGCTACATGTACATATTGCTTGCCCTGATTTGTGACTTGGTACAAGGAAGAGAAGCATTAACATCAATATATTTGGGAGAAAAAATCACCCAACTCCCTGATAGGATCATTTGTAATTACCCTGAAAAGCACCTACCAACTCAATGACAGAAACTTTTCTCAAAGTGAACATAGGACTGGTATCAAATATCCTGTGAAATTATTCCGCCGGAAATGGTATCGTTTGGAAGAAAACTAACATTGAAGGTGGTTTCAAAAATGGTTGTCTTCAAACACAATTTTTGTTACATGCATTAGCAATGGATCCAGTTACAAGATCCCCTTTTCTCAGTTTTCAAAATAAATGTATAGTCTCCTCTGAGGTGAAACTTTATTGTTATGCACCCTACTTTAAATTCTCAGCAATTGTGTTGCTTCAAACCAGAAAAAAAAAATATGCGCCAAAGTATGTTTTTCAGAGGGGCTTGGGATTATGTTAGTACTTTTTCAATGATTAAAAGCTCATAACACAAACGAACCTTAATGTACACAATTCCTAGGGTTGTCTAAGGGGGCGTGGCTAACTCGCAAACGGCGATTTCAGAATGGTAGCTTATACCCTAGGAGCATTTTGGCATTGGCACAATTTACTCGGTTCTGAATGGCAACTTGTAGGGATGTAGGGAAAATATCCATTCGCGAAATATTGTGCTTATATTTATGCTCTTCAATGGGCCATGTAAGGGGAGAATGCAAAATTAAACAGGCGGTTACTCAAGGTTTACCTAGAGGTTTTACAAGGTTTTATGGGGTTTTGCTAGGTTTTATGGAGTTTTGTCTTGCTAGGTTTTATGGAGTTTTGTCTTGCGAGGTTTTATGGAGTTTTGCGAGGTTTCTTGGGTTTTATGGGGTTTGCGAGGTTTTATGGGGTTTGTGAGGTTTTATGGGTTTTGCAAGGTTTTATGGGGTTTTGCGATGTGTTATGGAGTTTTGTAATGTTTTATGGTGCTTTACAAAGTTTTATGGGGTTTTGTAAGGTTTTATGGGTTATTGCGGTTCAACTTCGAGTTGCCATTTTTGTTTAATTTTCATAGATGTAGACAGAGATTTGTTATTACGAGCTTGTTGAAAATATTTTCTTTCTGGGTATTTTTTTGTGTAGCTACGGACAAAGTGGCATTGCTGATCGGTAACCTGGACTATCGCTCGGCCGGGCAGCTCAAGGCACCTGAGGTCGACGTGGAGGAACTGACCAAGGTCCTGTCTGAGCTGGAATTCAAGGTGGTGTCGCTGCTGGACCTGAACCTGCAAGAGATGATTTTTGCCATAAAAGCCTTCTGCGACCTGCTTAACTCTGGAGTTTACGGTACATATCGAGGAGCTTTTGAAAGAATTCATAATTCTGGTGTCGGCCCAAAAAAGCAGTTATGCAAAATGGTACAGTGGAACGCCGGGATCCAAACAAATTGTTCGTAATAGCAATCGTTCGATATAGCGATTTTAAGGTGGCGATGCTCCGGTACTCACTTTTAAATAAAAAGCACTCTTCAGAACTTCAACCTGCATGCCCTGGTACATTGTACATGTAATACTGAAAGACGACTTTGAACTCATGCAGACAATTGAATCATGTAATTACACAATTTTTGAGCTTACTACATACGGCAGTAGGTGGCTTTCCCCTTCTATTCCTTGGGGAATGAGAGCCACTTGTCACTTTCTGGTAATGTATTTCAACAACAGTGTTCAGTATGTTTTGTACACAAAAATAGGGAGCCAAAGACGATGTTCGGTATAGCCGAATATTCGGTTTAGCGGTGTTCAGTATAGTGACGTTCCACTGTACCTTCGGATGACATCCTTGTATCTACGGCTAATCCTGCTTTGAAACAGACAAATGGCACAAATATGTGAAGCAATCCGGCCTCTTTCAATCAAACTATACACAACTACGCGGTACATCATCAGGGGAGAGGGGGAAAGTTGACTATTTACTACGCATTTCACTGACGCGTAGTAATTTTATCCATGCCGTGTACACATTATTATTATTATTATTATTATTAATGGTTTATTATATTAAACTTTCACGGCCATAAGGCCGAATTGCAGTTTAATTTACACACATTAAAAATCGTTATATATTAAAATTACAGAGAATTACATCGTGTAAAAGATACATTAAAAAGGTAAATCACAACAAAATACACACCCAATCAATACCCAACTTACTTCATGTAATAAGTTAACCAGAAACTGTGACCAACAACGAGTTCCTTCATCAACTCAGGAAAAAGAGGTCACATATCTTTGTTAATCAGATCAGTTAAGTAGGGAGTAGAGCTGCATTTGTACCTGTTAGTCCTACAGCGTATTGTGCTGAGATGATCATTGTTCCTTAACCCATTGTTCCTAATCGGGGGCAGCCAGTCTCTGAATTTGTGGGAAGTGAGTAGTGATTTGCAAGTTGTGTATGGCATCACTAGACCACACAAACAAATGACCTATCCGATGGGTTGACTGCATCAGCGCACTTGCGAAAAATCTCATAAAGTGACCGATCTTTGACTGTTAGGCCGTTCCGCACCATTTATACGTAAGCGCCATTTCTTGTCTTTCCCACCCGAAGGCCTGTTTTACTTCAGTGGCCACGGCTTCGAGACAGACGGACAAAGTTACCTCGTGCCCGTGGACGCTCGGACGGGCTACTCAACGACGGAGTGTATGTGCGACCAGCAAGTCCTAGATCTCATGCAGTACAGGAATACCGCCCTCAATGTCCTGCTGCTAGACATATGCCGGAAAGCGTACGTATCATTGTCTTTGCTTTTGTTTGTTTTTCACATTCATACAAAACTTTGTACAGTGCTGGAGTATCATACCTGTTCCCTGACCTTAGAACTTGACTTGGGGAGAGATATGGAACAACCAATTTTTTATTGCCCCTGTTTCGCTGAACTTTTCTGTGTTGAAAAGTTTTGAAATAGTATTGGCCCCAGACTGGGCACTTTTTTTGTCAGGGTCCAAACAATTTGGAATCTATTGTATTTGGATCTTTCTGCAGGAATTTACATTTAGGTGCTCACATAATTATCATTAATAATTACTACCCCCGCTCATCGAGTCTATAAAAAAATAGTATAGACCATCTCAACTCCCTGGAGAGTTTCCAAGTCAGTGTTGCCATATCTGCCCCGTCCTTGGTTGGGAGTTAAGCAATTAGAGCAAAGTAAACTGCTCAAGGACATGCTCCTCAACCCCACTGGCTGGACTCAATTCCCCAATCTGCAGACTAAACCCACAAATTTCAAGTTTGATAGTTCAGACTGTGGGGCCAGAGCAACAAACAGCACTGGATCACAGTTCAGTTTTTTGGGGGGATAATTAAGAATGACGCAATTGCAGTTGAATCTAAAATTGTTATCGTTTCAGCAATGACGACAAGGATGAGGCACCAGCCAAATTCCAACCCAAAGTCAAGGGCAACACAGTGTTTGGCTATGCTGCGTAAGTACAGTGTCCAAAACTGTTGTTTTGGCACACACCATGGCTGTGGTTTCACCGTTGAAATGATAAAACATGGTTTAGTGATTGGGGTTTTTGACTAGTGGTCATAGAAACGGCACTTCATATACACAATCTGGTGGCCCTTTGCTGTGTCCCCAGGCAAGCCACTTTACTCTGAATCGGCTGATTTTTGACAACTGATGACTAAAGACTGAAAACGTGAGACAGATGATCATTAATTGTTGGTTGTCAGTTGTTGATAGTCAGTCATAAATCGTCAGTCATCAATTGTCAATCGTCAATGATCAATAATTGATTATCGATTGTCAATCATCGATCATCAATCATCATATACTAATCATTGGTCATCAGTCATCAATCATCGATTGTTGATCATCAGTCCATCAATCAGTGATCATTATTCATCAAATGGTAATCATCTATCATCAATTATCAATCATCAATCACACATCATCGATTATCGATTATCAGTCGTCAATCATTGATCATCAGTTATCAAATACCAATCATCTATTGTCAATCGTCAATCGGCAATCATCAATCGCCGATTGTCGATTGTTGATCATCAATCATCAATCATCAATCACACATCATTAATCATCGATTATCGATTATCAGTCGTCAATCATTGATCATCAGTTATCAAATACCAATCATCTATTGTCAATCATCAATTGGCAATCATCAATCGGCGATTGTCGATCGTTGATCATCAATCATCAATCATCAAATACCATCAATTATCAATCATAGATCATCAATCGCTGATCATAGATTGTGGATCTTTAATTGCAATTGTCAATCGACAATCATCGATCAACGATCATTGATTGTCAATTGTCAATAATTGTTTTACCAATCAGCTGTCATTTTACTCAGGTACTCTAATGAACCTTAACAAAAATTTAAAACCAACAGGCAGACCAACACTCAGGCCTGGGAGGTGGACGGCCAGCCCTCTGGCATCTTCACCAAGTACCTGATCAAGAGAATCAGACAGGCCAAGAAGATCACTCACGTCCTGGAAGACGTCATGGAAGGTAGATCCTGTCTCCTCATCGCTTTACATCATTTGGGCCCCGTGCGTGAACAATAGAGGGGGACTATCACCTTCAAGAGCCCCATGAATGGGAACACGTCGCGTGCGCATACCAGTGTGTATTTGCCTGCGATTGGGGACCCCCTATTGTCCCTATTGCCCCTTGCACTCTAACTTTTTAGGAAGACCTCCCATATGTTTTGTACACATCGCCAAATTGGGGACCTTCAGGAATCGAGGACCCTATTGTCTTCTATTGTTCAACGTCCCTTATTGAATGCAGAAACAAACTCCCACAGGTTCGTCATGTATAGTGCAAAGTACACACAGCTAATATCTATTGTAAATGTGCACCAAGCCCTGGCGTCTTTGCGTGAGCATCAGACAATGTGTTGGAATGTCTCTTCTAGTGGTCTCTCCTGACTCTAAACCCTAAGCACAGATAACATTGAAAAAGTAAACATGAGCCTTTTTTTATACTTCAGTAGGTTAAAAAAAATCCCAAATTTGCAACGGTGCAGAAATATCAGATTAAGTACTTTTTCGTTGTATTCACTAGATGTACACCATGACCATTGCGGTTACGGCAGGCAGTACCCATCTCTGTCACATGACCTGAACGAGGCCCGCTCGCTTCGAGATCCCATCAACCCCAGCGGTCATACTCAGGAGATCAACGCACGAAGCAAGATGTGGGCAGAAGCCCATCGTAAGTTTTGTTAAAATACTATATTTTTTGAATAGGTGGCACCATGCTTGCACACTGGTGGTACACGCACATTCAATGTTCCTACAACCAATAGAGTTTTCAAATTACATCATGAAAGCTTGCCATGCAATAGACGCCTGCCGTGCGAGCCTCTGTTCCATAGACTGTTCTCCAGCATGCAAAGTCTTTTTAATATTCCCATGCAATTTCTGCACACAGTTCTTCCAAAGAACCCGATATGGATGAAGTTTGGGCATGACGTCATGGTGGGCATCGATTTAGCCACGCGCTTTTCCAACGTCATGCTGATGCACACCTACATCCCTCCAAACTGCATGGGTGAGGCCACCAATTGCCACGTCAAACTGGAGAATTTCAGCCCGGTATGGTTTGACCTTTGTTTATTAGTTGTCTGCAAAATGTGTCCAGAAATTGGCTGAAAGCCAGTACCTCCTGTAAATCTAACTATATCTCATAATAGAGTCACAGTGTTCGAGGTCTCGAGGCCAGCCTCGGCCTCGAGGCTGATTTTCATGGCCTCGGCCTTGGCCTCGGAGCCTTCTGACCTCGACGAATCTTATTGGCCTCGGAGGTTATGGCCTCGACTACAACACTGTAGAGTCATGAGCAAAAGACAACATTTTAACTAGTCAACTCAAAACCATGTGCCAGCCTATCACATTCTGGTATAATAATTTGAATCAGAACATTTTCAGTGACAGTTTGTGCACAGTTAAAGTTCGTCACTGCAAAACTTATGCCTCATTTGCAAATTATTTTGAAAGTGGTAATATTGCATTTGATTTCCCATCTTCCCGAGCTTAAAAATTAATGCCAACTGAATACATAAATAGCATTATCCATTCTCATTTGTCTTATTCAGGAACTCGACATTAACATGCAGCAGCATGATGTTGGCTTTGTAAGTACAAAGAATTTCCAGTTACTGTTAAATTGATTTTAAAAAGTACATATTTATTCCCATTCATAAATATCTTTTCGGTCCAAATGTGGTTAAGCCAGCCAGTGGTTTATCGAACGTTTGAAACCACCCATGTGACGGGCTCTCGACCAATAGGAATGGGTAAACTGTCTTAGGTATTTATGAATAAATAGTAAAAGAACACACTGGCGTTTCTCAGTCAGCTGTACACAGTATGCTGGCTCTAAAAAGGAAACATTGGAATACATTTTCTAAGGTGTATGACACATCAATAAACACTGCATCTTTTTTATGTTTTGGAATTGCGGTTACCATTCCAGACATAAAATAACGGTTAACATATCCTGGAGGTTTAAACATCTCAGGGGATCGTGTGGCAAAACAGAGGATCCTATGGCAAAACAGGTAATCCTGTGACAAAACAGGGGATTCTGTGGCAAAACAGGGGATCCTGCGGCAAAACAGGGGATTCTGTGACAAAACGGGATTCTGTGGCAAAACAGGGGATCCTGCAGCAAAACAGGGGATCCTGCGGCAAAACAGGGGATCCTGTGGCAAAACAGGGGATCCTGTGGCAAAACAGGGAACCCTGTGGCAAAACAGGGGATTCTGTGGCAAAACAGGGGATCCTGCGGCAAAACAGAGGATCCTGTGGCAAAACAGGGGATTCTGTGACAAAACAGGGGATCCTGCGGCAAAACAGAGGATCCTGTGGCAAAACAGGGGATCCTGTGGCAAAACAGGGAACCCTGTGGCAAAACAGGGGATTCTGTGGCAAAACAGGGGATCCTGCGGCAAAACGGGGGATCCTGCGGCAAAACGGGGGATCCTGCGGCAAAACGGGGGATCCTGCGGCAAAACAGGGGATTCTGTGACAAAACGATATTCTGTGGCAAAACAGGGGATCCTGCGGCAAAACAGGGGATTCTTTGACAAAACAGGGGATCTTGTGGCAAAACAGGGGATCCTGTGACGAAACAGGGGATCCTGCGGCAAAACACAGGATCCCATAGGTGCCAACTGTTACGAATTTTTCGTAATTATTACGAATTGTTTGTTAAATTACGAAAATACGATATGCCACTAAAACATTACGATTTTCCCATTTTCTACCTAACGAAAAAAAAAATACTTGTAAAGTATCGTTTTTGACCGAAAACTTCTGGCGAAATGTCATGATAATGGATGGACTGGTGACAAGTCTAATAAGAATGCAGTCAAGCACCTGATGGACATCAATGCAGTGTGCGCAGTGGAGTACTTGAGGACCAGACTAAAACTATTTTTCAATGGTGTGTCATTTGTGTGCTGCATCTCGTGGATGTGTGGTTGTGTGTACTGTATGTGAATTGTGAGTACTTTTCAGTGACGATCGTGAGCACATTTGGTCGCTTTTTGCTGGGATGAGTCTATCAGTGCGAGATTTTAATCATGGAATTTAATAAGATTATGGTTGGAATAATTGGTAATAGAGTTTGAGTTTGTCACAACGTCCAGAAAAGATAAATCAGCATGCGTTTGCAAGGTATGTTGGCAGGATATTTCTATTGCATACGGTGGCCCTAAATCAACGTGTGTAAACACATTGATACGAACTCGAAACTCCACATCGATAGCATGCATCTCAAAAAAAAAATGCGCACATGTTATTATTGTTATTATTTATTTGACTTCAACAAAAAAATACAGACATTGAAGCAAAATTAATTTTAAAAAAATAATAATAATAATTTAAAAAAAAAAAATTTTAATTATTTTTTTAAATTATCTTTTGGCCTACAGTACATTATTATTCACAACAAGAAGGGTATGCACATGTATGTGTACATGTAAACCATGTATCTGTACTCGCTGTTGGTAAAGCTTTTGATAAAACGAGCAGTTGAAAATGACCGCGCAGGTTAATTACTAATTGGGATTTTGAAAAGTTGGCAGCTATGGGATCCTGTGGCAAAACAGGTGATCCTGTGGAAAAACAGAGGATCCTGTTGCAAAACGGGTGATCCTGTGGTAAAACGGGGGATCCTGCGGCAAAACAGGGCATCATGCGGCAAAACAGGGGACCCTGTGGTAAAACGGGGGATCCTGTGGCAAAACAGGGGATCCTGCGGCAAAACAGGGGATCCTGCGGCAAAACAGGGGATCCTGCGGCAAAACAGGGGACCCTGTGGCAAAACAGGGGATCCTGTGGCAAAACAGGGGATCCTGCGGCAAAACAGGGGATCCTGCGGCAAAACAGAGGATCCTGTTGCAAAACGGGTGATCCTGTGGTAAAACGGGGGATCCTGCGGCAAAACAGGGCATCATGCGGCAAAACAGGGGACCCTGCGGCAAAACAGGGGATCCTGTGGCAAAACAGGGGATCCTGTGGCAAAACAGAGGATCCTGTGGCAAAACAGGGGATCCTGTGGCAAAACAGAGGATCCTGTTGCAAAACAGGGGATCCTGGGGCAAAACAGGGGATCCTGTGGTAAAACAGGGGATCCTGTGGCAAAACAGGTGGTCAGCAAACCTACTACCTGTGTTTTGCACGTGCAAATGTTAGTCTGTCTATATATCAATACAATACGTTTTTTTTTTTTAATGTGGCCGTCCTTTTTCTTTTTAAAGGGGGAGTACCCCTCACAGACAATTGTGAAGATGATAGTTACCACAGTACGTAACCTGCAAAGGTTAAGGGTATGTATTTTCATTTGTTAATTCTGTGATTATGTCATTGATTTTTCATTTCCCCCCAATCTCACCCATGGGCCTGGCAATAACACGTGTTTATGGGACGTGACAAAAGGTATTTCCATCTATAGACGCATTATAAAGTATATTGGCCTATTGACACGCTTGTTAACCCATGCACAACACAGAAAAAACATACACAATAATCGCAGGTTGGTTTTTAATGTCATGTTCTCTGTGTCCATGGCAGGGTGACTTGGAGTGTACGGTGACCGTGGAAGGCATGTACCGGGGAAAGCCCTTCAAGGAGACCTTACCATTATTCATTCACAAGCCCTTGGTGTCCAAGTTGTGGCAGACCAAGCACTACGCAATACCCAGTGAGGATAGTTGCCCGGACTCATCTACAAGCACAGAATGACTGGGCACTGACCCTCCTTCGCCCTTCACCCATCTTCTCATTCCCACTTTCCCCACCCCTACCTCCACCCAACACCCCTACCTCCACCCAACACCCCCATCCCTACCGACACCTCTCCCCCAACTTCTCACCTCCCCCACCCCAACCCGCAGGTGCCAATTTCATGGAACTGCTTAACAGTTGACAAAAAAGTTGTGCCAACTAGAGCAGAAAATGTGTTAACTTAATCTTCATGTTGTTTGTTACTCAGTCAAAATTTTGTCCGCTTCCCCTGATATACATTTGTACACAGACTAGTTAAAAAAACAGTCAGATCACATTCCTGTAACTTTTCAAATTCCATCAAATGACAAAAGAGGTCATTGGTAGGTACATATCTGGCATATCAATCATCTCCAGTCAAAGCATGACTATATTAAATTAACAAGGGAATTCTTAAAGCTACAGTCCATCATTTGCAGCTATCCAAAAAGTAACTGACGTATTTATTATTGTTGAGAGCATACTTGGTTAAAAGATAGTAATGGCACTAAACTCCCTGTGAAATTATTCTTTCTGGCATGCGGTCATTTTGAAGAACACAATCAAAGGTCATGTCCAAAGATGCGTCTAAATACCCAATTTTGGAAATTTCCATGAGTACTTCGTTTTTTAATTCGGCAAAGCCGTAAATGGGTGCGCACAAGCGCTGACACGACGCACATGCGCGCACATGCGCGTGACATCGCGTAGCTGCAATCAGGTGAATGACAACGTGTACAGGACGCTGATTTCGGGTGCAATTCAAAACCTAACTCGGCACTTATTGAATGGAAATCGAGATCCTAGAATATTGTTTTCTTGGAATGTACAGCATTCACTGAGCTGAAACTTCATCAGGTTAGTTGTAAAGCACCCTTTAGATTTTGAGCCCATTTTTTGCTTCATATGAAAAAATGCACAAATGACAAATGATATACTTAATAAGCAATGCATTTGAACGTCTCCCCCAACTCGCCCTTTCGTACCTTTGAGTGGGTACTACATGTGCACGGAATCCAAAGTGTTTCCTAACTTTGTGACATTGGCCAGAATCGTGACTGTAAATGCACATACAGGTTAATAGATGGCAAAGATGAAAAGAGTGTAGAAGACCTTGTTTGAGATTGTTTGTTAAATATCACTATAGTCAATTTCTTTATTTAACATACTATTGACTGATAGAATATTGATTTTTTGGTTAAATCATATTTTAAGATATTCAATTTCAAGTACTCAGCAGATCTGTATATATATACACAAACTTAAGCTTTAATTTTGTCGTTTTCCGGCTTGGCTAAATTTTTAAGTGCGGTTTGCAAGCACAGCCAACGTGGTCGTAGTTTTGATGAGAGCAGTCATTTTAAAAATCTTTTTATTCCTTTTTTTTGTTCAATCTTGTTTAGTGTTGTAATTTTCGCTAAATTAGAGTACTGGAATTCTTCATCAAAATGTAACATTATCAACAATATTTTACATTCGTATAATATAATATCATCATAGATATGTAGAGTGGAGTTTCACCAAGTTTTTGTTTTTAGTATTCAGTTTGTTTTGTAATATTAATCGTGTTTGCCTTTTGGGGGGGGCAAGGCTAGCTCAGTTAAGTTTCACAACGTATACATGCATTTCTTGGATATTGATCATGCATTTATCAGTTTGTACAGAATATATTTTCACCATTTTAGTTCGGTCCATTTATAGTACATATTAAAATCCAGTTGTTGTTCTGACCTGGCAGTTGCTGATTACACAATAAAAACACTAGCCATAAATTTGTTACATAGTCTGTGGGTAATTCTGCAGGTTGTGGGTTTGAGTCCAGCCTGGGGTTATGGAGTGCATGTCCTTGGGCAAGACACTTTATCATCAATTGCTTCTCTCCACCCAGGAGTAAATGGGTACAGTGTACTTGTACAGGGTAGAGATGGTTACTGTAACTTGTTTTAGCTGCTTTGTCAAAAAAATGGGAGCTGAGCAGGGGTAATAATGATGTACATGTAGTGCCTTCAGCGTACATGCTCTTTGTGCCAACAAAATAAATTTGCAAGGCAACTGGGCCTGGTCCTTTGAGAAACATTGCTTTTACCAAATATATGAGCTTTGCATTAATGAAGCAAAGCAAAATGTCCAAATTAACTGTGTATCATTTGTAATAAAGCAACCAATACATGAACCGCAATAACATAATTGCCAAGACCGTTCCTTTAGTTGTCATATAATTTTCCCTAAAGAGAACAATGTTACTATCTATGCGTTTCTCTCCAGTTTCAGTGGCATGATGATGAAACGTGACTGAGAATATTTCTATTTCCCCGGATTGGATGCCAGTCCGTTTCTCTCCAGCTAATGCCGGTACCCGTTTGTACTCCTGGGTAGAAAGAGGCAGGTGAACGTGAAGTGGCATGCCCAAGGACACAACATACGGCCAGCAGCTGTAAATTGAAGCCCTTACCCCCTGATCAGTAGTCAAGAACCCGAACCTAAGCCACACTTCCTAAATGTGACTGGTGACATACTCTGGGGTCCTTCATAGACCAATTTGTCTAAGGACAATCAATCATTATCAACACAATCTCCACATTGGTGGTTTGGAATGACCAACCTTTTTAATCTGAAAAGAAACAGAGCTCCTTTTTTAAGGACACATTCGTTCAAGGCATATAAGTAACAAAAATATAGTTAACGAAAACACTGGTGCTGGCACAACTTCTAAATATTGGTAAAACTTGGGTCTCTTAACATTTTAAATGATCTAAAAGTGGTGGGCAGCCATGTTAGTCAGGCAGAACGAATAGAAAAGTAAGGTAGCACTTTAAATGACTAACTAGAGTGAAAGTGTGCATAAGCTTTTGTAGCTACAACTACTTCATTAGGGGCCAATTTCACGGCGCTGCTAAGCACAACAATTTGCTTAGCACAAAAAAGTCTGGCTTATAAAAGCAGGTTACCAGCCAAAACTCCACGTGACGTATGTTGCTCATGATTAGTATTCAACTGTTGTTTGCTTAGCATGAAAATCACATGGAGTTTTGGCTGATAACCTGCTTTTATAAGCCAGACTTTTTTTGTGCTAAGCAAATTTTTGTGCTTAACAGCGCTGTGAAATTGGGCCCTGCAGATGCAATGAAAAAGGACATCATCATACACGATGACGAATCAATGATGAAAGTGTGCTTATTATGCTCACATGTAGTTACTCATTTCAACTGCTACTTTCCTTTTTCAATTTAAATGATAAAGACTAAAATAAAAACCAAAATACTTCGGACTGAAGATGTCAACACTTCAGACAGTTCTGAGAAAAAGCATGGCATTTGTGCACAAGTATGGTGATACTTGAGTGCCATTTCTGCTGCTTGCCCAGCAAGGTGAATTTTCTCTGGAAATAGTTTATTGTTTTTGTGTACATTTGAATGTACATGTAAGGCCACAAAAAAAATAAGTCGGTCTCTGGTCAGCGCACGCGTCGATTTTAATCATGCATGTCAATCTCTTTTTTTCCAAAATGTTCCGCTGTAGCTCCAACAGCGCCCTCTATTGCCGCACCTCCTCAATTTTTTTTTATCAAAGAGCACCAAGGAATGGGAAATTGCACCAAGGCAAATGATCGAGAGCACCAAGGCAAATTATGGAGGACACCAATGTACATGAGGACACCAAAAAAGCAAAATAGTACCCCACCTTGTCTGTACAATCCAAGCTTGAAGAAAAAAAAAAAAAGCAAGCCACATCCCCGCGTCAATTCCGGAACTTTGGTCTGACCAGAGACCGAATATTTTTTTGGGGGGCCTAATATTGGTTATGTGTACTCATCACAGAAGCGCACACGATGCGTCCTTTTTTTACATTTGGGTTGCCATGAGTAGGCCACTGTTCCTGCAGAGTCAATAAATTGACTTCAGTTCAACTGCACGGCACACAAAGTTCAAATGCACTGTTCAGTTCCTTCACACTTACGGTACATGCCCACTGTTACAAAAATATGTACACAAGCTAATGGGCCTGGAAGTGTGATAGTTAATAAATACTGACTGCTTCGGGTGGCCTAGCCTCCCGAGGTGATCCATATAGCATTTTGTTTTCCTGAGGCGTTGCCAACAGAATGCAATGTTTTATTGATAACCAGGGAGGCTAGTTTTATCACATGAGTTGAAGCAGTCAATATTTGTTTTATAACGCCTCACCCACAGATTCCGCTTGATTTTAAAGGGACACTAGGTCATGGAACAGCCCAATTGGGCTACAAAACGCACTTTGAACGAGATGATAATAATCGGAAATAACTTTTAAGAGTACGATATAAACGTCCACACAACTATCCTTTCAAAACTGGACGTTTTTGTGTTATTCCTGTATTATGCGTGCGAGAACGAATTTCGGGGTCCACTTTTGCGACCCCATAAATTCGAGCTGTTTGGATGCTAGTTGTGATTTCATTCGTATGCGTAAAGTGTTCGCCTTTTGCGGACGTTGAAGAAACCACAATTTTTTGCATTGGTGATTGGTCACCGCGCGCTGTTCCCGAGACACACAACGTGTATAGCGTACATGAGAACGACACGAAAAACGTATTCGTACTCCGTCATGTCCAATGTAAACAAACAGGTTTTTTCCGTCTTTTCTCGGGAACAGTAAGACATTAGGTTGGTTTCCTTTCAACCAGATGTTTGAAATAGGCTAAGTAAACAATCCAAAACATAACATTTTCGGGGATTTCAGGACCTAGTGCCCCTTTAAGAGATAACTGATTAATTTAATTAAAATCTAAGTAAAATGTACTTCTATTTCAAAATGAAGTTAGTTGAAACTTTTACTTTCATTTTTCCTAATTACCCCTTACTGGAATGTTTGAACTCAACTCAGCGCGTGGGAACGATACACGCAATGCGCACACATGTACGCACACCTCTGGTTGCTATGCATGACCATACCAGGTCATGGGGAACACAATCTTTCCAATGAGAACCCAAAGAAATTTGAGGTCACCCGAGTAGTGGCATAGTCTAGCCCATCACTAGTTCCCGTTAGTTATCACAAATTAATCCCAGTCCCAATTCAACTCACAAGCTATTCCAATGAGCTTTGACAAAGGCATTCCTTTGTTACTGTGCATCCACTGTTACTCGTGAAGGGACTCGTGATTTACTTGTGACTGGAGTTGTGATGGACATGCATGACATGTGATGGACGCAACTAAATCCCTGCATCTGAGCCCATGATAAAGACGATGGGAATAAGAGAACGTGGGTGTCAAGACAGCACCCTCTTGTGGCTCCTGTCAGTTGCTACGTGATGCCCTTAGCAGTCTCGCCACCAAACCCATTAAAAATAACCAGTGTAGAAAATATTGGAGTTTGTATAAAACAAATAAGGTTTTTTTTTTTTTTTAATTCAAACCTCGGCTTTGCCGCCAATTTCGGCTTCACCTCTGGTTTCACAAACATTTAGCATCTATAGACCATTATCATGTTGCAGCCTTCTTAATTTTTCCCAATTAAATCAATGTAACCAAAGAGCGAGGCTGGAAGGAAAATAGTCTGCTTCCTTATGCACAAAAATATTATCATTCAGTGCTGTTATTGGTCTACAGGGAACATGACTGAAATGGTGGCGGCATGATAAAGGTCTATTCGCTCTTTTCACACTTCCGCCATGGGCATGCAGAGCCTCGATCTTGAAACTTTACACAACAGATATAGCCGGTTCAGTGATTCCCGTGTCGGGGTTCAGATCACTGAACCGCCTATTTTTATTGTGTAAAGTTGCCAGATCGAGGCTGTGCATGCCCAATGGCGGAGTGTGAAAAGAGCAAATTGCGAAAACCAAATGGGAGTAACTCTAAACTTGACCTCATATTATAGGACTTTAAGCACAACATGGACCAATAACGAGCTGGAAACCCCCAAAGTCAATCTCCTTGAAGCCAAAGCTGAGACAAAGCCGAGTTTTTCATAAAACCTCGGCAATGTCAACGGTATTTCAGTGGTATCCTGCAGAGGGAAGTCAAGGTCAAAGTTCATCGTGATCATTTTCTGAGTTCTCCCCACTGTTGTACATCCTTACTAATCCCGGGGCTTGCGTCTCGATGTCTTTCATATTGCAAGAGTAGACCTCGTCCAAGTCGACTTGATTGTTCTTGTCTCGGTCTAAGATCGTAAACATCTGCAAGTGGGAATTGAGAACCAGGAGAAAGGTCTTACTTGTATTGAGGTTAGGAGAAATTATGCTTTATTTCATTGGTTAGATTCGATGCACAGAACGCTGTTAGGGAATAAAACCACCAATCATGTATTGACAAGGTTTTCTTATTCACGCGTGTGAAAGTCTACATAATTACTTGCTGTTTCATGAGAGGGTACTATTTGGGTACAAATGGAAAGAAAAGGTATTGCACAAGTTTAACTGATTGTACCCAACTGGTTGAAAACAGTCACTTGATTGATTTTGACTGAAAGGACTAATCGGTACAGAATGTATGTTTGCATAGGAGTGTTAATATTCAGCAAATGTCACATCTATCCACTATGGTTAAGAGGCTAAATAGATGTAGAATATAGTCTGTGGTGCAGACAGTGCATGCTCTCACTAAGTTGGAGAGCTAAGGAGTATATTCATAATAGAATTAAAACCACAGTCAACTGCAAGCTGGACTGGTATTACAACAATCATAATTTCCTAGTAAAAAAAAAAAGAGTTCAAACTCACTTTTAATGATTCTTGGTCCATTATTTCAAATTCGTCGGCAAGTTTCGGAAGGTCTTGAATTTTAAGAACCGATTCTTCAAGTTCATCAATGAAGTTTGCTATTTCACCTCTGAAATTGAAAAAAAAATGGAGAAAACATTGGAAAACAGAAGCAGCCTTGACCGTTTAGTACAATTTAAAAACACATTGCACACTGACTATTAAAACTACAAATGAAAAACAGTTTACGGATTATAACACTGTCAAAGATCCTACCTAATTCAAACACAAAGTACACCAGAGTTCAGGTCAAGTTCACTTTATATATAACATCACAAGCTCATCACAAGTCAAATCGCAAGCTCATCACAAGTCTGATCACAAGCCCAACACAAGTCCACCACAAGCCAAATCACAAGCTCATCACAAGTCAAATCACAAGCTCATCACAAGTCAAATCACAAGCTCATCACAAGTCAAATCACAAGCTCATCACAAGTCAAATCACAAGCTCATCACAAGTCAAATCACAAGCTCATCACAAGTCAAATCACAAGTCAAATCACAAGCTCATCACAAGTCAAATCACAAGCTCATCACAAGTCAAATCACAAGCTCATCACAAGTCAAATCACAAGCTCATTACAAGTCAAATCACAAGCTCATCACAAGTACGATCACAAGCCAATCAGAAACAGAATCACAAGCTCATCACAAGTCAAGCACAAGTAAGGTCACAAGAATAGGGGACACATGACCAAGAACAAAAGATACCATTGTCACAGGTCACTTTCACAGCTTGTGATCCCGTTTGTGACCGAATGGCTTGTTGTGATAAACTTGTGAGGGACTTGTAAGAACTTGATTACACGTCTGCTTTGCATGGGTCATGTCGCATATATCAAGTACAAGAACGGACACAATTAACAGATGATGAACAATGACTATGGCAGTACATGTATCACACGTCCCACCTGAGTTGTTCCAAGTCGGAGGTCAGCTGAAACTGGCCCAGCGGCTCAAATTCGGGCAGCTGGCCCTTGGCCATGCAGTCGTTGTAGTTGAAGCGCAAGAGATGCACAAACCATATGTTGATGGCTAGGCTGCGGCCTGCCGCAGACCGGACTTGGTGGAACCATCTGCGATTGAGGGATTCCACAGGTTAAACAAAGTTTGGGTACAAATATAAAATATAATAAAAATGTGGTGTTTATATAGCACTCTATCCCAAAGGCATGAACGGTCTCTAAGCGCTTCACAATTATTACCCCTGTTCATCAGGCCAGTAGACCAGGTTTTAGCAGCAGCTTGAGAACAGCGCAATTAGTCTCTACCTTCACAGGTGCCCATTTATACTCCTGGGTGGAGAGAGGCAATTGTAGTGAAGTGTCTCGCCCAAGAAAACAAGTACCATGTTCCCCGTCAGAGTTTGAATAACCCATTTATAACAGCACGTGAGTCGGACACCGTAACAATTGGACCACAGCACATCAAAAAGGTTTGAACTTATACTGAAGGAAACAAAAAAAACTGTACCTGTAGGGAATGAAGAAACAATCGCCTGGCTGCATGGTGACGTTATACCACGGCACCTGGCCAAGCCCTGGATATTCATACATGTCAACATGATCCACGTCCACACTGCTAAAGGAGCCGTCTGGATGGTCCATAAAGACACTGTTCTTCTCATTCTGTGAAAACACAAGAGCCATTACAAACGTCTGACCGGAACAGCAATGTCAATTCTGGGCTGTCATAGTACACTACCCATACAAAAATGGATCCCTCCTGCCTGTCCATCAATGCGCATTGACGAATTAGATCAGGGTCCATTTCATGGCACTGCGTAGCAGTTAGCAGAAAACTTGTGCTTACTACAGCAAAAACTTGTGCTAACGTTAAGCACTATTTCAAGGCATGGATGTGCTAACAGTTGCGCGCCCATGGAGATTTCTATTGTTACATCACTGATTTACAAATGTAAGCAACTTTTTCCTCTAGGGTTAAGGGTGCCTTTTGCTGTGCTTACTGTCTCTATGAAATAGACAGAGGCTGTGTTAGCAGAAAATCCTGTTTTTAATAGCACCATGAAATAAGGCCCTGGACTTTTTGTCAGGTAACCATGGTTGCTTGGGCAAACTCTGGCTATGGCTGGATTTAACACATGGGTCTGTGTAGTTTCCAGTCGTAGCCAAGTATTTCGGACACAGCTTTTGTCACCAGCAGTGTGAGAAACGTAAATGTACGCAAAGCAAAGGTGGGAAGGGTTAACATGGCCAAATCGGGAACGGTCTATCTGACTTGGCAAATCTGTTTCTGTTCAGACAAAATATGGTCAACGGTGGTGATATCGGATCTTTCTTTCACCCTCTCTCCTTGTGTTTCAAGAGGTTCACGAATCATCAAATAAACAAACCAGTGGCAATCGCATTTTTTTTCAATTTTCAATCTGTTTAGGACTGAACAGAGAAAATGCTTAGAATGTTATTGCAATCGCAGGTAAACAGCTACACTAACTCAGCCATCGAGTCCTACGTTTGCAGTCTCCAAACCTGCATGCGCACTGGCTATAGGGGCTTTTGACTGGTGCCCCCCGAGACTGCCAACATGGGGATGGATGGCTCAGTTGGTAGAGCACTAAAACGGCAATCCGGAGGTTGCAGGATAGAATCCAGCCCCACTCACCATCTTTGTACGATCAAATATTGAAATGTTTGTTGACATCTGCTCAGAGAGAAGATTAGGGAATCTGTCATCTCTTGATCAACACCCTGACAGAGTGATATCAAGTCCAAAAAAAATCATTGTTCTCATCACAGCAGATGAAGAAAACATTAAGTTTCATGGGGGGGGGGGAGACAAACCCAAGTCCAATTATGATTGCAGTGCTTGCCTTTATCCCCCGATAAAGGGATAAAGTGCTGACTCTGGGTCACTGGCTATAAAAAAATGAGACATTGGAGTTCACCAACGCCCATCAATCAGTGGGGATCGGGAAAGAATGTCGCAACCTGACGCTTCTTCAGTGGTTGTGTACAAAGTCTATGGAGAGTCAAGAACATTTTGTAAGTATTTCCTAACAAAAACTGGAAATGTTTCTCAGTCTCAGATTCTTGTCTTACCATCATTTTTGCAATGACTGACCTTTATTGAGATGATACATGCATATATGAAGAAAAAAGCAGCATCAGGTTGCAACATTCTTTCCGGGGTTCATACACATTACCTTGTCTACTAGGAAGAACTCCTTCTGTCCGTCCATTACACAGTTGATGTTGTCCACCGCATCAAAGTGTAAGACTGACTTGGTGTTGCCGCTGCTGAACCATATGACAGCATCCTGTAGGCGCTCCGTGAAACCGCCACACAGGAGGCATCTCAGCAGTTCTACCTCGTCTTAAGCAGCAAGGTGAGAGAACAAGGGGCAATCATTTTGTAGCCTAGGAAAGAGTGGTAGTCAGGTTGGCGTAGCAGTACTTTCCTCGCCTTCCACCGCTGTGACCTGGGTTCGAATCCTGCCTGGGCCAATATGTGGATTGGGTTTTCAGTCCCTACCTGATTACGTAGGTTTTTCCCAGAATATTCTTCTGGGCTTTTCCTCCCGCCTCTAAAACTGTAACTTCTTCTCATTGTCTTCTCTCCACAGGTTTCTTCAGGCTTGCGAGCTACAGTGCCTAGGGCGCTTTTGAGGAATCCTTGGTTTCATTACCAGAAATGATTAATAATAATAATAATAATAATCATGTGATGGAGGGCCACTCAGATTATAGTGAAGTGAAGAATTGGGTGGAGTCTGAGAGAAGACTAAAATGATGAGAGTTTATTCACCTTGTACACATGTACAAAATGTACTTTGCTCTGTTAAATATATAAAAAACGACAGTCAGTTCGGGCATAAGTCGCCCAGGCTGATTAACCCTCACCCAAATGTGGTCGAAATAAAACACCAGCAAGGCTGGTAGTATGACGAGGTGTACTTTGCAAATGCTAACACTCAGAGTTGAATAAAAATGAAGGTGTGGTCACTCTGCTCAAGAGCAAGTGGATGAGTGCCCCAAGCAATGCCTTGCTGCAACATGCAAGTTTGCCATGCAGCACGCAATGCAGCTCAAAAGAATGCAAAGTAACAATACACTAGAATTTCAGATGTGCTGGAATGTGCCTGTTGAAAGCAGTTAGTTATGTCAGAAAGTGCTTGCTAGATGCAACAATGTAAGCAAACAAGCGAGGGCTTCACTACAGAGGGAGCTACATTTTATCTTTGAATAACGGCTCATCCTAATGTTTAGCCTATGTGGTAGTCATATTACGATTCCAGTGGAATCTCGGTAAGTAAAAAACCTCAGAGAAATTGGCTCCAATTTTGCGTCATGCACTAACTAATTGACTGACAACATATTTTACCTGCCATTTCTGTAGGCACGCTGGCTACCATGTAGATATCCCCTTGTTGGTACTCTTCTACGAACTCATCAAGTCGCATGGTCCACAGACCCCGGGAACGATTCTCCTTCTTTCCTTCTTCAACTTCAACTTCCAGATCTCCAAACTGAGTCCTGATAAGGCAAAAAAAAAAAATATTCCGTCTCTGGTCAGACCAAAGTTCCGGAATTGACGCGGCCACGCGGCTTTTTTTTTTTTCCTTTTTTTTTTTCTTCAAGCTTGGATTGTACAGACAAGGTGGGGTACTATTTTGCTTTTTTGGTGTCCTCATGTACATTGGTGTCCTCCATAATTTGCCTTGGTGCTTTCGATCATTTGCCTTGGTGCGATTTCCCATTCCTTGGTGCTCTTTGGTAAAAAAAATTGAGGAGGTGCGGAAATAGAGGGCGCTGTTGGAGTTACCGCGGAACATTTTGGGAAAAAAAAGATCGACACGCATGATTAAAATCGACGCGCGCGCTGACCAGAGACCGACTTATTTTTTTTTTGGCCTAACAAAGGTTTTTTGGTCAAACATGTATAACTTTTCCTTTGTTTTTGAAAGGCATGCACATACGCCCTAAAGTATGATGTACATGTAGCAAAGATAATTTGTCTAGTTATTTATATTGGGCTTTGGCCTTCGCGGACAGATTTATAAACACTGGGATTTATTGTCAGTGCTGTCCGAGGGTTTGCGAGGAAGAAATTCATTGTTTACTTGGATGGGAGTGGTCAAGTCCCACCCGAATATATACATTATAAATTTACAAAGTGTTAGTATTTTACTAAGCCTTTTCGCATGTCAACACACATGCCTACATGTATCATGATTCACGATTAAGACCCCGTTCCCACTTGATCCACCAATTGGGGTATCTGATCCACCTTTTGCCAAATTGCCGGATCAGATCCCCCAATTGGTGGATCAGATCCGGCAATTGTGTGTAGTGGGAACGCTAACCGTTATAAGGTGGATCAGGATCAGATCCACCTTTTCTGATCCACCTCTGGACCAGGATACAGATCCCCCAATTGGTGGATCAGATCCGGCAATTGCCGGATCACGATCAGATGGGAACGCAAAAGGTGGATCTGATCCGGCAATTTGACCTGTTAACATCCGCCCGGTGCACGAGTGGCGCGAAAATGTTGCGGTCTCATAACGAAGAAACACGTTTTCAGGCGTGTAGCTCATGTGAACATTTCCAGCGTATACAACATGCACAATAAACAACCGCTGAACTACGGGCTAGCACCGCGCATGCAAAAGCGCACGTGGTATCCTAAAACTACACTTATAGGCCTTATTTTTGTTGCGTGTTCGTCCATTACTAAACCTTTTTCATTCCTGAAATTTTACTTATTTTTCCATCCATTAATGACTCTGAGTCCGCACTCACCAAAAGACTTCACTTTGGCACAGAATCATGGAAAAGCTTACGAGTATGCGATTAGAATAGTGCCGATAACGCGGTACGTACGGAGGTGACAAATCTGAAGTATTGATTATAGAAAATTGGAAAATGATGTCGTAGTACATCATGTGACCGTTTCTAACCAATGAGAAGCTTCAGAACCAGGGAATCCCTTATCGATGCATTGGTTTCTGCCGTGATGTCACACAATGAGCGACTCTGTTGGATTTCACCTGTTAATTTATGCACGCACGGATCCTCTACGGATCCGTGATTTATGTTGGTGAATTCGCGTAATTTTTGTCTGTAAATTCTGATAGTGCTGTTTGAAAACTGACCCATCCTGGCCTAGCATGCAACCATGCAACAATGGCACTCCCACAGAGCGCGCGTAATTCCGAACTCAGTGACCTTTCGGACCCAACATTTCCGTACGAAAAGGTGGATCAAGCATAAGTGGGAACGCGACTTGCGGTTTCGTTGCGGTAAGATAACGATCACACCAAAATGCCGGATCTTGATCCACCTTTTTCCAATTCAAGTGGGAACGCGGTGTTAGTTTTGAGAGATAAACATCAGTTCGCCATAGCGTGAAAAATCACAGGGGGCCGGGGGGGGGGGGGGGGGGGGGTACCAACTTAATAACAGAAAAGTTCTTGTTTTCAAGTAAAAGGAAATTTTTTGATAATTTTTTCACAGCACCATGATTTACATGTACAATGTTACCCCTAGAACTATGGGTATTACACGTAATACCCATAGATGGGCATATCAACGCCAACATGCTGTATACTCTACGAATAATATGGAAGTGAGTTTTGGATCTCCAAACTGAGTCCTAATAACAATTTTTTTGTCAAACATGTCATGTCAAATAGCAACATGTAGGCCTATAACTTTTCCTTTGTATTGAAAGCTTTTCCTTTTTATTTGAAAGGCATGCTTTAAATAGCTATCTACAGTTTAGTATGACGTAGCAAAGATCTTTTGTCTCATCATATGACATTTTATATCAGGCTTTGCCCTTCGCGGATATATATATTATAAACACTATGATTTAAAGTCAGTATTGTCTGAGGGTTTGCGAGAAAAAAATCTCAGATGGGAGTAGTCAATTTATTTATAAATTTACAAAGTGTAAAAATATTCAACACGCATGCATACATCATGATTCACGATTTAGTTTTGAGAGAAAAAACATCAGTTCGCCATAGCATGGAAAATCATGGGGGGGGGGGGGGGTACCAACAAAATAACAGACAAGTTCTTGTTTTCATGCAATTTTTTGATTTTTCTTTTACGGCACCATGATTTACATGTACAATCATGACAATGTAAGATATGCTTAGTATGCTCCAACTTTTGAGCGAACAAACGTTTCCATCTTCTTATTTATTAAATAACAAATTGCAGAATGCTGATCAGTTACCATGTCCGCCATAAACATAAAATTGTGTGTGTTCATCTGCTTAGTTTTTTCCCGAAACTAAATCGTCGAATCTGAAGTGATCGCGTGTAGTTGAAGTTTGGAAAAGGCTTTAAAAAATGTAAAATACAGAGTTAAAAATACGTTGGTGAAAAGGCAAAAATCTTAACATCTGCCCAACACAAATTCCACTTGTCTTACTGCCCGTTTTAGGCTACAAAAGTCACTTGACATTGTTTTCTGGCAATAAATTATGGTGGAAAGGGTAAAACTAATGGCAATTTCATAATTTCCTTTAGTTTAAAACATGCACTGCGTACCTTCCTTCCTCCATGCTTAAAATGATCTCCTTGAGTTAATGAAATTAAGTTCATAGATGAACTAAATTTGTTAATAATGGTTAAGATCCCACAACAGTTAAATACAAAAAAAGGTTCCAAGGCCAAATCACATTTTTCATATTTTGTAGCTGAATTACAAAAAGAGCATGGAGGAAAAAAAGTAAACACATTCATCACTCCACAAAATACCTCAAGTATTCATCATTCCAAAGTCGGAAAGTCTTCATATTTCTTGCAGCTCCTTTCATCAACAACGGCCGCCCCTTTCGCACATAATCTTCGAAGAAAACTCCGGGCTCGGGAACAACATCCACCGTGTCGACGCCGGGCTCGGCCACCCGGTGCCACCCGAGCGGTTTCAGGTGACCCGCTGGTGGTAGCTCGGCGTGCTCGGTGCTCGAAAACGCCAACAAATACACCACAAAAACAACAACGTTGAATGACAAAAATACGCCGGGAATCGCCCCAGTTGATGAGCGCATTGTCCATTCACGTATATTCATTCTTTCTTTGGATTTGGTAACGAAAGTAAGGTAGAATTTTGTACATTTTTCACACGGAATTGCAGACGACTATCAACCCACGGCAGCCGCATTATGTACTAAAGCATTGTGGGTATCCAAGTGCATTATGGGTGTCACGTGACACCTGACGCGGTAGTAGATGGACAACTTCACCGAGCGAGCTGCATTCTAAAGTCTGCATTTTCATTGTGTAAAAACCAAGTTAATCCTCAATTATTTAATTCCGATTCTTCATTATATAGGTCAGGTAAGAATTGTATGCATCCTCTCAATCTGAAAATGTTCCATTATCTAATGAAGTTGTATAGTTCCTAGCTGTGCTTTTGTGCATGATAAAATTGAGTGACACAGTATATAAATCATCACTGATCATAGCTTGCACAAAAAAAATGCATTGTGGGAGTAGCCTAATCAGAAATAAATAAAAGATCATGGCAATGGTACTTTTTTTGTATATTTCACATTAATGCGCTTGCACAGTTTTGTTTGACAATTAGGCCTAATTTGGCGTAATTATTATTCGTGCTGAATTCACGCTGAATTCACACATGTTTATTCTGTTATATAAAGTGAAGGAAATCAGTCCCAAACAGCAGTGCAGCATGTATCGATCATGGGCGTCGCCAGGATTTTTTTCTAGAGGGAGGCAAAGCCCATATTTCTCAAAAAAAATACCCTATTTTCCAACATTTCCCTGATTTTGATTGATCATTTTTTTGTGGGTTGGCAGGGACATTTGCCCCCCCCCCCCAACCCATTAAATTAACAACAATATGATTTTGTGCCTCTTCTTTTTTTTCCTTTCTCGTTTTCTCTTTTTCTCTTTTGTTTTGGTGCTCAAGTCCAGGGGGGGGGGGGGGGGGGCAAGTACCCCACCCCCTTGCCTGCCCCCCTTGCAACGCCCATGGTATCGATCAATCATTGTGAACCTGCCAGTCCCCGAATGTTTTCGCTATTCCTGCCAACTCTCACGCATTGAGCGCGTGAGCCTCAAACGTAATTATTCCCACGCTCTCACGCCCGCATTGGATTTCTTACGCTAACTGATAACGTAGGCCTATGTTCCTCAATACTTCCCCAACCGTAACCCTATAACCATGGTCTGATCGAGTGTCACCCGTTATCCACGGATCAAGAGCCAATTAAGTCTCCTGTATGTCAAATCATGCAGAATGTATGCGATCTCGAGCCTCAGCCAATCGGAGTCAAGTTTACTAAATCGTGACGTCATTCCATTCCCAAATCAGGACTTAAGGTATGTTGGTCAATTCGAGTGCAGTGTTTTGTAACAACAGCCATCAGGCACGTATCGCGTAACATAATAAAGAGCATGTGACCTAAGGCTATAATGACGCTAGGCTATAATGACGCGACAACGGTGAATGACCGTTAGCGTTAAAATAGAAAGCACCTGCGGATTGGTCAAAATCTAGAGGTCAAGATGGCTTTCGCCATGATGGTCTAGTACAGGGTCTTACTGGGTCTAGTCATACATCAAATTTTACGATCCGAACGCGTACATGTATACATGTTCCTGTAGCATATAGTGAGCTAGAAGATGTATTCGAGATTACATGTAGATAAATGTGGGACTTGCCAACATGGAGATTGTGAATACAGTCGACTCTCCTTATAACAAACTCGTTCGGACCTAGCCAAATTGTTTGTTATATCAGAATTTTGTATTAAGAGGAACATCAGTCCCATTCATTGTGCACATAAATGCACAGTCCGGACCAAGGCTTTATGTTTGTTATAACCAGAATTTTGTATTAACAGAGTTTGTACTAACGAGAGTCGACTGTATAAGGAATTTAAGACTGGCTCATGAAACCAGTCAGTACGAGTACTAGTAGAATATCAGCAGATATGTCTTGTACCTAGACTATTCTCCTGTACATTCCCTCCATAGTTCATATTTTTTGTTGGACATGTGCCAGCCAGTCTGATCTTGTGGTTCAGAGATAAAGGTTGTTGGTGGGCACAAGGTTGAAGAATACTAAATTTTCAGTGAGAATAAACCTAGCTGTTGAAATTAAATCCAGACCTAGGTACAGTGTAGCTATAACTGTGTCTGTTTTAGACTTAATTGGCATCCTGTGTAGGATAAAGGTGAGTATATATTGCCTGCAGCCTTGTGTCATTAATTCTTTTGGGTTTACACTGAAACCTCAAATTTTACAGCATATTTTAGGCCACATCACTGGCAATTGGAAGACTCCAGCTGGATATGGGCGATTAATGTTCAAAGATCATGCCATTTTTGTTGTGGTCATGTACAATCACAGGGGGTAGGGCCTATTTCAACAGAGTTTTATGTTCAGGTTACAATGGCATTCTGGAATAATGTATGGCTCAACATGTTCAAGTTCTGCTTGTTTCAGAGAATATCAAATCATGCAGGGCCTACATTAATTAGCCCCATAAATGTGGCCAATTTACTGGACTACCTCCGTAAATAAAGGCCACGCTTTATTCCACCCTGTACAAAAACATGTAGAACTTTGTCAAATTTTGATTTTCACATTTAGGCTTAGTTTGTAGTTTATTTTTGCTTTAGAAGCATATATACTCACCCTCTTTATCCTGTTTATAGGTTAATCAGAAAGTGCTGCCTTTTTCAGATGTCTCTTTTTCGTGAAATTTCCAGATTGGTTTGCACACGTTTGCGTATCAAAATTTCAATATGAAATTTCACGAAAATTAAGATTTTAAGATTTGTGTTAGTAATGTGTTGTACACGACCCATCTGAGTGACTTGACCTTTAGAGAACATGCATCAAGGCACCATGAAGATGGGCTGTATTCATGTAAATCGATGTTAAATTTCCTCTCGTATCTAATTGAGCTGCCCTGTCTGAAGGCAATGGTAATTTAAAGGTTATAATCTCTGTAACAAAATTTTGTTATAACACAAAATTGTTACTTGTCATTGCAAATAAGACAGATAAAATGTTGTTATATTCTCAGTTTGAACTAAGAAATTTGAGCTGGCTTTATATGCAACAGTATTGGCTATATTTTATACACACAAGTGAGAAAATTGGGAATTTGGTTGAGGCTGTTTGTATCATGAGAGCCTTATATTGAATACAGTCTCTTTGGTTTAATTGTGGATGGAGCCTGAATTGTGCACCAAATATAACAATTAGTGGTTCATTGTGGATCAGGGTGCCACATCTTGCTAATGTACATGTACTGTACTGTACATGATGGACTGGTTATATTCCATGCATACACTCGCAGCCATTGTGGCAGCCTATAGCTTAAGCTTCCTTTGTTTGTGAAACTGCCATTGCCCCACAGTACTTTGTTCAGTTATAGCAAGCTACATGTACATGTATGTACATGCATGTCTGCTCTTACAGACCATATGTACATAGTCAATTCTGCCTGGTTGTTTGTCTCGTTTTCAACTATACTCTGTTTCAGTGCTGTTTTAGCTATGTATACACATATAGCTGATGCTTTAAGCTGTATTCATGTCATGGCTATAATTTATAATGTAAACTTTTTGTTTTCGTTGCATGCAGGAAATCCAGCAATAACCTGCAATTCATGGTTTGATCACCATCAACTTGACTGGATTGATTGTAGAAGTTGGCCTGAGGTGGGTATCAAATACATGTATGTCCAAATCTGTAACAGCCTCGTTGATCGATCTATAGCCTACATTTGGATTGAAGTTGATTGAGGAATTAGAACATGTGTCAAAAACTGATTGCCAAGAGCATATGCATGTACTCAGTGAATGTACAATGTAATATGTATGGCAATCAAACCATGCACATATAATCCAACTTGTAATTTAAGCCATGATCTGATATATGCCACATAATAGAGTTTATTTTTCAAAAACATATATTGGCTGGCCTACCACATGTACATGTTTTGTACATGTGTGGCATATGGTTTGAGAAACATGTTTTATTGACAAAAGTATTGTAAAGGCTTTTTTTTTTACTAGCTACTGCATAGATATTGTACAACTGTCTACATGAAGCAGCCATATTGTTGATGACCCTTTGACCTTTCAGGGTGATATCTGTGCATACTGCATGTATGATATGAATGCAGATATCGCAACTGGTGGAAATGAGTCAGTGCAAACGAAGGCTGCAGCATGGGCTTGCATGCAGCCAGACATTGACTCTTATTCAGAGGAAAGGCTCATAAAAAATGGATTCATGCTAGCACAATTTTACTCCTGGGTGGAGAGACGCAATAAGTCATAAACCTTGATACAAATGCAAGGTTTGTGGTAACACCCTGCAGTGTTTCTTCTGCCCATTCAAACGTGAGGTGGCCCACCTCGCTACTTTCAGTGACCACCTCGCTCAATTTTTGCCAATATCACCACCTCGCTGTGAAGATTGGCAAAAAAGGAAATATCAATTGAAAAATTTTCATTTTGTGTAATATATGATCATTTTCCTTTACCTCCATGTATCAAGAACTCACAATTTCGATGTGTTTTTTTAATCATCGCGCATTTTTGTGAGCGCTGCATTCTTTTCAGTTTGCAGACTGTAAATTTCGTTTCAATCATCAACTTGAATTACCACCTCGCTCAGTTCATTAGCCAGGGGAAACACTGACACCCTGTGATGAGTAATATCGCTTTTGAGTTGTGTGGTTTTGAGATGAGCCAGTGTGGTTCTGAGAAAAAGTTGATGTTTGGAACGGTGTGCTCTGTTTGTCATCAGGAGACTGTTGTACTCTTGCTGCATGCAGTTGTTTAGCAAGAGTACGGCAATCTCCTAATGACGAACAGAGTACAGTGCTCAAAATGACAATTAACAACTGGTTCTTCTCATAACCACACAACTCATTATATGAGACGCATTTTATTATTCACATGGTGTTACATCAAACCTTCCATTCAATTGTTCATGTCCGCCATGCAAACTTTTAAGTCTCATTTATCATAAAGCTGTTGTGCAATCCCAACATTAAACAATGTTAAGACTGAAGTTTGTTAATGTTGTGTATTATAGTTTTATTTGTCATCCACAACTGATTTTGAAAAGCATTTTGTGATGCACGCGCTGTTTGCTGGATTGTAAATAAATAAATGTTTGGAACTGAAAATGAACTGAATGAGTCTCCCTTCATCGAATGTCACATTTTGCATTAAATTTTATATAAATGAACTACTTGTACAGTACATATACAGTACATAGTGTATATTTTTGTACATTCTACATGTACACTGAAAGTTCTGTTATTTGCACAAAATAATTGAATGAATCAGTATAGCTCATTGTGTATTAAGGGGATGGCTGTTAGCAGCAGAAATTCACTCATTTGTTATGGTGGTCGTCTACTAACCCCTTGTAATTTATACTTTCTATTGTACATGCACTTGTACATTTATGCTTTACAATGTAGGTAACAAGTCTGTTTGGTCAAATGTGAAGAACAAAAAATATAAAGATAGAACAGTGATCACCGATAAAATGGAGCCAAATTTTTGGATGGTTGTCCGTCGTCAGAGCTGCATGGACAGCAATTACCACGTCAAGCTGGAATGCAGTAAATTCCACGATGATATTGTATGGAGTCAGCATATACGAGCTTGAAGATGATACGTTGCTCCACGCGTTTGCTTTCCTTGTTGGTCCCATGGCCAGCCCTGATGAAGGACACTAGAAAGGCCCTACCGTCCAAACATTTAGCTCCATTTCATCAGTGAGCTCTGCTTTATCTTTATTATTTTTGCTTCACAATATAAACTGTACATGTACATGTATGTACACATGTACATTTGCGTTACAGCTAGGTACGCACCTTTGAGCAAAAGCTGTTTCTTTTTTCCAAGCACATGCGCCCAGTTTCTCTGGTGTATGACCCAAAACCACAGTTCATAGAATTTTAAGCTAAGGCCAAAAAGAAAAATAGTTCTGCTTCCGACTATGGCATTAGAAAAAAAAAATTTGGCCAATTTTGTGTGTGTACGATCCTATGAAGGCATCTGTATTTAGTCAAGGGTACACATGTAAAAGGTAAAAATTGATGGTTTTGGGTGTTTTTTCCTCATTTTTCCAATAAAAAAATTAGGGTACGGGCTCTCAGAATAGGGTAGGTAGGGAAACCGGAAGCAGAACTATTTATTTTTGGCCTAAGTAGACAAGCTCTCCTATGCAAATGTACAATACATTGCATGTACGTGTTCATGTTGATCAGCTGTCAGCTCTTGAAAAGGTTGTGTACTGGCAATCAAACATATGCATATATACATGTATGAACATTAAGTGATATCATTGTGTTTTCTAATTTGTAAAGGAATAATCTCTTTTTCAGATTTTGCAGCATGGAGGACACAGCCCCTGATTTCCAAGATCTTCTTGCTGCTTTTGACATCCCAGACATGAGGGTCAAGATCAGTGAAGTTCGCTCCTTGGCCCCTGTCTCAACCTCTTCCCCCAATTCGACCACAAAGACGGTCACCACAAGCTCTTCAGCCACTGCTGCCAGCGTGAAACAAGAGCCAGGCTCATCAGGCGATGGCGATCAGACTCCCTGGCAGGATGCTGGCTTAGTTGACGGTAGGGCACAGGAGACAGAAGAAATGCAAGGGGTTCAAGCTCAAACCTCCCAGGAGGGGGACCTGCCATTTGAGAGTCCCTTAGCTGTTACGGGGCTGGAGACCGGTGCCCAGACCCTCCTGAATGGGCCAGTCACAAATGGCAACACCATGGGCAGTGTTGCAATGCCACATTTAGAGACACCCCCATCGTACCAGCACGCAAAAGTCTTCTCATCCACGCTCATGGCAAATTCCTGGGCAACTGCAGTCTCTGGAAATACAAACCCGCCAGTAAGCGTGGCTCCCAAACAAGCCAAAACAGACAAGCCCTCATTAGTGTTGGTTTCCCAGGTGAGAGGCACCAGACCGATTTCTTCTGCAGCAAGCACCAGGCCATCAGGTGTCATCACATCTCCCATCACCGTGTCTGTAAATGCAAATATGGTGAACAACAACAAGCACTCTAAGGCCCCTCCGTTGTTAATGGGCAATAACGTCCAATCTGCAGTCAATAGGGGCAAAACCTCTACAATAATCGTGGACCTTTCCAAATCCACTCAGGGACTTCAACCAATCACAGGATACCAGATATCGCAGGTCTCGGCTAAGGATCTTCTGAAGCGCATGAACCCTATCCCAAAGTTTGTGCCCAGTCCCAATTTCAACCAACCCAGGGCAGTGGTAGGGGTTAGAGATGCCAACTCTGTCAAGAAGAGGTACCCATGTGAGGAATGCGGGGACATCTTTCTGATCGAGTCCAGCCTGAAGTTACACATGGAGCGCCACAGTGTGCACATTGCCTTCAAATGCGTCCTTTGTGTCGGCAGCCGGTGCCTGGTATTCTACAACAAGTGTAGCTTCCATGCACATCTGCGTTATCACGGTCAACAAAACAAGGTGAAGATCAACTTTAACAGCGCATACATGAATGCCACAGTCTCCTCTCTGACGTACTCCAGGCCCTCGACCCCGGTGATTGTTTCGGTGTCAGATGCCATTAAGGTCTCTCGTGAAAGTGAGTCAATCAAAAGTAGCACTCCTGACAACCTACATGTAACCTTGTCGACCAAGGAAACGGAACCAACCAGGATAGCACAACCAACTAGCAAATCTGGCGGTGCCACTATTCTTGTAAGATCTGCTCCGGACGAATTAGGCATCAATGCTTGCCCGGTATGCTTAATAAGATTCACCTCCGAGTCAGCCCTTCAGTCCCACATGCAGCGCTACCTGCCAAACCAGGATGTAATATGTGATGCCTGCAAGATGACCCTTCCCAACAGGTGCCAGCTGAGGCTGCACAGCATCATGCACAGCAGCCTAACTGGCAAGTGGACATGCCCTGAATGTGCCAGACCTATTTCTTTGCTGAAAGCCTTCCACAACCACATATCCAACAACTGCATGCACTGGTACCGACAGGTGCGCGTGCAGTGCAAGCTGTGCTCCAGAATGGTCGGCGACTATGTCCAGCACTTAGACAAGGGGCATGAGATGCTGTTCTACAGGTGCGTGTCCTGCTCCATGGCATTCAAGAATCTCCCTGCTCTGAAAGACCATAGTGAACGGAAGCACAAGGTCCAGCCTGGTGCTCCTCTCTGCCGCATCATCTCCAAATGTCCCTTCTGCGAGACAGTCTTCATGCAGAAGCCGCTGCTGTTGGCTCACATAAAGATGCACATCCAGCAGGATGGAGCTGCCAAGAGCAGAGCCTGGGTCTACTGCTGTCCAAAGTGCTCCACCACCTTCAGCCACTTGACCAACTTCAGGAAGCACATGATCACGTCGCACCCCACTGTGAAGCACTTCCACTGTGACTTGTGTCGTCGTAATTTTCCAAGTTATGAGGACCTGGCTTTCCACTTTGAGACTGGGAAAAAGGGTGCTGGATCGCCAGCTTCGGTTTGCCTGGCTGCAAAGCTCCGCACTTTCAAGAAAAATCAAGGTCCCATGAACATTTGTAAAACGGTCACAATAAAACTGTCGGAGGCACCCAGTACATCTAAATCAACCAACGCCACCAAGTCGCCCAATGCATCCAAATCACCCAACGCATCCAAATCACCAAACACATCCATGTCTCCTGACGATGTAAAAAAAGAGGAGGAACCCTTGGGTAAACTCTATGTTAAGAAAACCCGAACTTGTCCAGGATGTAAGAAAAGTGGCAAAGTGGTCTCCTTTTCAAAAGGGGAGGAACTCAGAGCACACATGAGCAAAGCCCATCCAGAAATGAAAATGTCTTCGATCAATCCAGAGGCATGTTTCCGATATGTGACCATCAAGCCCAAGGACGACACCAGCAAGAATGCGGATGCCACACCAAGCCCCCACACTACAGAGAGCTCCAATAAGCGGAAGAGCAGCGGAGAGATGCCATACGACAGCCCCCAGCCAAAGAAGAAGTCCAAGTTTGTCCTCCCCAGTGAGTTCACCTGCGCCAAGATGGATTGCATTTTCCAATCCAAAGACCGGACCGAGTTCAAGACCCACATTCAGAGTCACCGTCATGCCCCGTCTCTCCCCCAGTGTGAGGAGTGTGGGATGTGCTTCCGAGTGGGGGCAGCGCTCAAGAGGCATCTTTTCATCCAGCACAGCATCAGGGAATTTGACACCTACATGAGGCTGCTTCGGGGAGCTAGCCCTTCACCTCCACCAGAGGAAACCACCTCAAGCCCGAAAGCAGTACAAGAGACCTCAGAACAGGTACATGTACTGCCACCAACATCCTCAGCTGGGGTTTCAGACAAACCCACTATCCTGGAGTGTCAGGTGTGCTACAAGACATTTCAAAATGAAGGGACCCTACGCACCCACATGCGAAACCATGGCATGGCGTTTATTCGCTCAAAACGCTCTATCAGTAGTGATTAAACAAAGAGATCCCTATGGAGTGTTCCAACATATTTTGTGAAACATTTGTAAATTTTTGAGCCTTGAACCTAGCAGTGTGCATAGATGATTAGGTCAACAAAATTGATCTGACTTGAAACTGATTTTTGTTCAGTGTGGGTAGGGTTTGGCATCAATTAAGTTAGGCCAGTTTCCATTTTGCTTCTGAGGTTCAGAATATAAGAAAACTGAGCAATACAAAAAAAGAAAAGGCAATCAACTGAACTCTTTTGAACATCTTGCACGAGTGAAAATGATCCACTGCGATAGCTTCAAGGGGCCAAGACCCGGGTCTGAGTGTACTGTAGTAATTCCTCAGGCACCTTCTGGCACAACTAAACGCACAAGTTAGGGTCAGTTATGGACAGTTCATTGAGTCAGATTATTGGTCTTATTTGATTGATTTGGATTCAGTTTCCATCTCTCTTTTGGATTTGATGACGAGAAAATTATATTTGCAGAGCAACTCAATGTCATATTTTTTGAGAAGATTTATTCTATCTCACCTCCACGCAACTGGTATTCTTCTATGAAAAACACACGTTTCACCTGGAAAAAACATTCTGGAACAAAATTTCAACGCACCAATGAATGCAAAAAATCCCAACTGTAGACCGTTTTAAGCCAACCCAACCCAGGCTAACTATTTTAAGACTGTCTAACTTCTAGACCGACTGACAGTGACAGCCGCAGAGCTTTAACTGTCTAACACGGCTGGACAGCCGGTTATTGCAATCCGTCCTTGGTCAACCGGACAAGGTTTGGGGGGGAGGGGCTTAATTTTTTGAGTTAATCTGACTTTAAAAGAAAAGAATTTGTTTGGAAACTTTTGAGTTGTTTTCCTTTTTTTGGGAGGGGGGGGGGGGGCAGGGGGACCTAGTATTTTGTCGGGTGCTACAAAACAGTATTGAGCATGTTTAGGGAGCTAGATTCCCATCTGTATTAAAACCAAATGTACAGCAAGTTGGACAATAAAAAAAAATTGCATTTTGTAATATTCAACTCTGTTACTTAAATTGTACTCAAGATAATTTTGTATACACTACATCAGAAAAGTGAGCTCCAATGCAAAATACATGTAGTCTGTGCCAATGTATGTAATGCAAAGATGTACCGTGTACATGTACATGTACACGTAGATGTAGAATATAAATATGACAAATAGTCTGTTAATACATGTACATGCACGGTGACATGTACATGTACATTTAGAACAGGCAGTTGACAGGAATCACAGTTCAATTCAACCAGAGATAATTTCATTACATGTGTATATAATACTTTAGTTTTTCCGAGTGTTAGAAGAGAAAACAATGAACATGTACATGTAGTAATTAAAAAGCATTTTGTATTCAGAATTTTACTGAAGTCTGCTAACTGTAATTGTTAATCCTGTGCATTACTTTATTTTCTAAAGATTTGTACATTTCTTCGGAAACAACCATTGCTTATAATTTCCCCATTATTTTACATTAATTAACATTTAATAATTTGTAATTAATTTTCAATGTCGACTGGTTTCTGTAGAAATCCAGCAATTTTATTTGTCAAGGGAGTGAACGAGTTTTGTATTAAGTTGTATTTCGATGCGGTAGGAGCTAATTTTTAATACATTTCCACGCCAAAAAAGTTTACAAATAAGCTTACTATAAGAATTTGTTTCCATATGGATTTATGTTGTGTTGAATAATACACTGCGCTAATATTGGTCTTTTGCAGCAACAACAGAACTGGTAGAAATCTCAAAAAAGTAATGTGATGTATTTTTTGGCACACTCATTTTTTCGCACGAAACTTGTACTTTTACCATGTCGGCTGTTGAGGCCGGTTTATACTTAGCGCGAAAGCGAAGCAAACTTTGTTATGTCAACAATGAGTTCACAGTGTGTCCACCATTGTTGACGACATGAATCTCGCTTCGCATTTGCTTTCGCTTGAAGTACCGGTATGAACTGGCCTTTAAGGGGAGTGTGTAATCTTGGTCCAGTACTGGACTCTTTTGCAGCCAGTCCCGTGACAAACATGGTTAAGTTGCCGCGGCAGTGGAGGTCTCTATCAACAAGATGAATCAAATCAAGTCTTGGCAATATCGGCAGCCCTACCCGAGGAAATTCCAAGCATACATCACGTGCTATGCATTAGCTTACAATTACAGCGCGCTTGAGGTACATGTACAAATGTACATGTATGCTCAGAATTTCCCCGAGTAGCGCTGCCAATATTGCCAAGACTGGATTTGATTCATCTTGTTGATAGCGACCTGACTGGTCACATGCTGGCTGTACCGGTAAAAGAGGTATTAATTTCATCCAAATCTTGGACCAGTACTAGGGAGTATCCTGCTGTTTAAAAGGTCACAACAGTTAAAATTTAGTGTATCCGTAGAGGTTTTTCCCCCTATGTTTTCTTTATTTCTAAGAAAACAAATTTTATAAATAACAAAATTCATTTCAGCCATGTTTTTCACACAACGGCTGTTGCAAGAGTTGATGTATGAATTAAGACGAATTTAAAACTGTTAGGATAGATCTCATTAAAGATGAACTAGTGTTAGAAAATATACAGGTAATACACAAGTTACACAAGAATCAAGTGTTTCATTCGCTTCAAAAGCATGTTACTCATGAATGTAAGTAAAAGAGGGAAAAAAGGACTTTTTCTTTCCCATTAATAGTCTTAGAGTATTATAAATACAGGTATGAATGAGTTTTTTTTTCCCAGTTATGAAGTTGCAATGGAATTGATTTTCTAGAATTTCTTGAATTAAACGGTGAATAACCTAAAAGTAACCTCATAACCTTTTAAATGTTATAATAAATACCCAAGACAGTTGACCCTTTCCTATTGGTCAGAAACCGTCATGTAGGTGGTTTAAAATGGTTGATAAAACACCAACTGGCTTAAACAGTTTATTTCTGCACTATAATGCGTTCTCTGCTGTGCCTGTCAATGTCCATGACCCAATTTCACGGCGCCTTCGTCTATTTCATGGAGACCGTAAAGCCTAAGCACAGCAAAAGGCACGCTTACTTCGGAGGAAAAATTTGCTTAACTTAGTGATGTAACAATATAAATCTCCATGCACGCGCGACCATTAGCACGTCCACGCCGTGAAATAGTGCTTAAGGTTTGCAAATTTTTCTGCCATGCTAAGCACAACTTTTCTGCTGTTAAGCAGCGCCGTGAAATTGGGCCCATATAAGGACATTTTAAGCGCTATGCGCGTGAGGCACTTATACCATAGACATGGCTAATTTGTGTTCAAGATCTACTCGACAAGCTTCACTTTGTTGGGAACCACTTGCACATCTTTAAATTAAAAAAGAAATGTATAAGTGTATTTGTACACCTACATTGTAATATTTAGTTAATAGAGAATTACATTTCAGTGTTATTTTTGGTGAGATGTGGTAAAACTAATAAAGAATGAATGAATGAACATGAATTACAAAATCGTAGGAAAATTGTGAAATTTTGACTTGTTTTTGACTTTTTGACCAGAAGGTATTTATGAATGGGAATAAAACCACTTGAGCTTGGCCGATATTGACCAGTTCACGTCGGATGACGTGTACACATGCAAAGGTTTTGCGGTATTCTGAACAGATGACCGATAAACACTTGACTAGTTAGCCTGGCGCGAAGTGACTTAATAAAACAATTACAAAACCAGATAGGGGCCTGGTCCTTCAATAAAGTGTTATTTTATCTCATTTAGACTAGGGTCCTGTGGAGAAACAACTGGCTTAAATTCTGGGCTCTTTTTCCTCAACTAGAGCAGAAAACCCTGCACATACACATGGTTAGTACATGTAAATCATTTTAGCTTGCGTGCATGCATGTTCGTCGACAAGTACCGATTCTGTGCTTGAAAGGTCTGTGCCCAATTACTGTTCTATAGTTCTGCAAGCACAGAATGGTAGTCACAGGTGCAGAACTCTGTAGTTAGCAGACCCATAAAATTGGTTCTTGATGTTTCCAAGCAATCACATGTTCTTCATTCGAGAAAGTCATTTTCTCAATGGAATGTCTGAAGCACTCTTAAGTTTCAAGATGCTCAACTCCATATACAGTGAAATCTCGTTAAGTCAAAACTCAAGGGACAGGTTCAAAATTTGACTTAAGCATGGTTGTATATCATTGTTATACTACTGAAGGGAATGGATTCTTTGTTTGACTTATTAGAGTTTGACTTATCAAGAGTTCACTATATGTACGCATATACAACACCAATGGTTCATATAAGTATGACAAAAAGCATTCTGCAGATAAAACATGTTCAAAATTAAATACTTGCTCTTTAATGTATTTCAACAATCTGTGATACAGATATTCTGATAAGTTAGTATTAAATCAATTTATACAATTAAAAAAGAATCACTCATTAACTTGATCAAAACACCCTCAAAAGAATTCAGAACAGTTCTGAAATATTTAAACAATGAAAAGTTAGTATCTTAAAAGAGTATTTCAAAGTGTATTAAAATAGGAATGTTGCTTGTTTGGCGTTTTATTTGCTTTTGTGAAAATGCTGTTTGTTCTTGGGCATGAATGGAAAAGTGGTTACTAGATTCTGATTGGTCAACTATTTACCATCTGCACCGTGATTGGTGGAAGACACGTTGATTTTGGAAACGGCCAATTCAAATCGGGGCAACAACAGTCCTGAGAAAGACTACATAATCTTGCAATGGTGATTTCTGGAAACAACACGAACCTTTGGTGTATTTATAACTAATTGGGAAGTTTATATCTCTTTAAGCCAATAGTAATGGAAGATTTTGGAAAACACCAAAAAAAAAAACAAAAAAAACCCAAAACACTTGACTTTTTTAAAATTCAAAATCGTTGCATAACATTTGTCAATGAAAACATATTACATGTAAATATCCGCCATAATTAAAATATAAAATGGAACTCTGCCTAACTTTGCATCTCACACTAACGTTTCTTTATTAAAAAAAGATAAATTTACAGACTTAATAGAAAGACAAGGATATTTCATAATCAAGGTTTATAACATACAAATGCTCCTTTCCGTCACGTCAGTCATTTTGTGCCACTTGTTTCGGGCCCTCAAAGGACAAAATAGTTGCACCAATTTTCACAGTCATTCTCATTTTAGCACAAACAAAATAGTACATGTATTCATAAATCTTTTCTGCATAGCTATGGTTGGTAAAAAAAAATATTTCAAACTGAGAATTATAAATATCAGTACACATTATTAAAACTGAATTACAATCTTTGGTATGAAGTTGGATAAAAAAATCATAACAGTTTTGTTTCAATTTTTAACACTTGATTTTTTGAAATGGCATCATTACCTGAAGGTGGGACACAGTTTTTTGTTTGTTAGTGAATGGGGGCAACGTATTACGACAATTTGCAAAGTTGTTATCGAGCCACAACGCATGTCAATCACAAGTCAGGGTTACAAGTTGTACTACAATGACAAAGGATTTTGTCACATTTCATTTGAATAGTCTGTCTCTTGAAACTGAATCGCTTGATGAGACTAACTTGTGATCACTTACGAGGCCTTAATTTTAATACTATAACTTTGTTCAGCACTTTGTCGTATAAAAAAACCTACATAAATATAGACAGTCACAAAATATTTTTACGAGTGGAAGTGGCAAATGCATCACTCAAGACAACGAGTTGACTTTGCTAGGCCGTCAAAGTTCTGTCTGCAAGTCGCGGTTGTCTCCGTCCAGTGTACTGACTCGTATCATCTCCTGCGTGGTGATGCTGTACCGCTTGCCCCTGCAAATCAACCAATAAAGATCACAGGGGTACAATTTGTAGCAAAACAGAGACGTGTGGTAACGATACACATGTGCTCCCTCAACTTCGTAAAAGGTTTTTTTCCTTTTGCGCCGCTATTCTACCGATGAAGGGCGTGTTCAAGAAATGTATGAATGTAGTTCAGACTGACCGACAGACAGTGTTGTAGCCGAGTCCGTCACACGTCCCATCAAAGATAAATTTTACAACTCCCTTTCAGAACTCTAGTCGCTAGTGACAGGGGATGAACAATAACAAAGGATCGTACTTTTGCCACAGTTTGTTGAATTTCTTGTGACTTGACACGAATTTGGAGGACTTGTGATAGTCATGATAGAGTCGTTTGGGACTCGACAATTAACATTGCATGCTGTAAAGCCAAGCAGTCCAGCGGTTAACACCTCCTTTTCGTATAAATATCATGGTAGCAGATTTGTGATTGAGTTACAATGTAGTTACAGTCGTCAATCATAAGTCAATCACTAGTCAATCACTAGTCAAACACCAGTCAATCACTAGTCAATCAGAAGTCATTCACAAGTCAATCCCTAGTCAATCACCAGTCAATCACTAGTCAATCACTAGTCAAGCACAAGTCAATCACTAGTCATATCACAAGTCAATCACAAGTCAAACACTATAGTCAATCACTAGTCAAGTACATTAGTCAATAAGTCTAGCACCGGCCAATCACAAGTCAATTAGTCACAAGTCAGACCCCTTTAGATGTCAATGAATCAGTATTCCTGACATTATGGCAACAAACAACCAAACCAAGCACTAGTCAATCACTTGTCATATATCACAAGTCAATCACAAGTCAAGCACTATAGTCAATCACTAGTCAAGCATAATAGTCAATCACTAGTCAAGTACATTAGCCAATCACAAGTCAATTAGTCACAAGTCAGACCCTTTTAGAAAATGAATCAGTGTTTTAATTCTCACATTATGGCATCAAGCAACCATGAAACATACACACAAAATCACTGTTGGACTAGAACGCAACAGAAAAGGCATGTTCTTCCAGGCCACATGTACATGTAGGTAGGTCATTTCTATAAATTTCGGGTCCGAGTGCGACATTGTTTCCGTCCCCTGTTATCTTGGTACTTTGTAATTTGAAGAGCGACTTCAAAATATTGTTTGTTTGTTGGGTAGGTAGTATTTGCTATTCATAATCACTCTTAAGAGGACGACTGAATTCCGGAGTGCATCCAGAATGATAACATCCTTGATGTCACATGTAACAGGAACAGGATTAAAAAGTGGACCCCAAAATTATAGAACGAAAGTGATTACAAGGTTAAGAGCATACCTAAAGATTAAGCTAGAAACTTAAGGTCTTGAAATCTATGGTTGTGATTAAGAATGGTATTTTTTTTTCAAAGGATCACCAACCACAAAGCCAAAGCCCTCTTCAGATAAATACATTTTAAAAGAGAAGAAAGTAGTAGAAACAGGTGATTAAAGAGAGAGAGAAAAGCCATTGTCATTGGGGAGAAACTGAGAGATTGCAACACGTTTTCCAAAAAGATGAATAGAAAAGGCAAGTATGATATGAATGATGGCACGTTTGATTTGAGTGAACAATGACTAATATGACACATAAAACCAATTATTGCCCTTGGAAAAAAATGTACAAATTAAGAAAGATGAATGATTCAATGCTAAGATATGAAATATTATAAGTTATCCCGCGAGCGCGAGTGGAACACGGAATAAATGTAGTGCGTCTGTGTCCCACATATTCGGCCGAGTGGTATGTGGGACACAGACGCACTACATTTTCCGTGTTCCACAAGCGCAAGCATGATAACAAATTTATCTTCAAGCAAACTTGACGCGCAGTAAAGTTGGACCATCAATTTACACGAACCTTTTAGCGGTTTAGCGCATGCAGCTGGAATGTCGCTCGCATCTTGGAATAGTGCAACACGCAGGGTGCGATATGGACCGTGCAATACAGCCTCATATCACACTGTTGTTGCCATGGATCGATAATAAAGGTTATATATTGAAAGGTTGGGAGTTGTTGGGAAATGGACAGATTTTTCTCAATATATTATAAAGTTGTTACTGATGAAACTGGTGTTCTATCTTTGGTCAGGTCATGGGGTAGTGGGACCAATATGCAAAAAAAGTAAATGACACATCAGCAAGCAGGATCGTGAGTATTTCAAATCAACAACATACACCAGTGTGCTCCAGTGTCTTGCCAGGAATCTAAACAAAACACACACACGGCAAATGCTGGCCCGAGTTTGTAAGTGTTTTTTTCATATGCCAAAGTATCACATGTGAAGGCATTTAGCTCAAGGCGGGGATGTGTACAAATATCTGCCAAGGGGGAGGGGGGGGGGGGGGTCATGACAGCAACATGGCTGTAAATGTCTTAATATTTGAGTATGGAATGAAATTCCTTCAAGGTAATATACAACATTTTCTTTTGGTGTAATGGATGGATTTGGGGTTATAGCAAATAGGACCACTATTGTTACACTGACCCGTTTAAAGTTTTGTGTTCATAGAAAAAAAACCGAGACAAATATGCTACAGGTTCTTGTAGTCTGGTTCCCTGACCCTATTTGAGATGAAACGGAGCAACTTATAGACGCTGAGAAAATGTCAGGTCAGGGAACGAGACTAGCTGGCTTGCACCTGTGCACAGACATGTAACCGATTGCAAACATAATGTTGACTAACCATTTGGGTAAAGTAGTGCAACTATATGAAAAAAAAACCACAGTTTTTTTTTCTCCAATGATGGAAATTGATGCAAAACTTCCACTTTTCTTGAAAATGACAGCACACCAGGTATCATGATTTCACAGACTATTATCCGCTTAAAATCAAGTTTATTTTTGGATGTTTGCAAATGTTGTATATTACCTTTAAGTACGTACATGTACATTAAATGAAATGAAAGAATTTAATGCGCAATGACGTTCGAGCAGACATATGTGACCTGTTCTGTCCAAAGCAGACGCTTCTGGGCAGAGGTTGAAATTGAGATAGGGCCAAAAAACGTTGTGGGGGTGATTTTTATTGATTTTCTAATTTTTGCATATTTGTAATCCTGCACATGTCTAAAATATATTATAAAAGTATGAAACCCTAATTTGAACTCTACATATACTATTTTTGATAATTTTGATAAGGTATATCAAATAAAGAAATAACTGTTTTGTGACGTTCGTGGCCATTTTCTCCGTTTTCTACTTTTCGACACAATGAACTTCAAAATAGCATAACTCTGCCCAGGAATGACCGGTTTCAAAAATTAAACCACCTATTAAAAGGAAAAGAGCATATGTTAACAATATGTAAAAATAACATTTTCGACCTTATGCCCAGAAAAGTCTGATTTTGACAGAACAGGTCACATATAGGCTCGCCGTCAACAAGGAGCTGATACATTTGTATGTCTGCTCACTATTTTGGACACAGACAAATTCGGGCGGAATGCCACTGCACACCCACAAGGCTCCAATCAATGGAGAAACCACTGCCCCGTGACGGATTATCTGAACAATAGCTAGCACAATGCTTTCTTTCTCCATTGAAAGGGGCCTCCATGATAGGATTGATAGCATGCCGGATTGGTCTATATCAGCTCAACGTATGATGAACAAGACTGAATGAATCAAATTAGGTTTTGTCCTTCACCGACATTTTTTAAACACTGTATACTCAGTGTGTTACCTCCCGAGTGAAAGTTGGAAAAAATCACTCGGGTGGGACTTGAACCCACGACCTCCTGCTTTCTAGTGCAGATGTCTTACCACTTGACCACCGAGCTAACGGGATCGGTTGGCCGGTTCGAATCTGATGTACATAGCAGCGGGTACCGCATAAACTATTATAAGATTGAATTTTGCGTTGGATTGATATAAATCACGTCGGTGAAGGGCAAAACCTAATTTGATTTACATCACCCCGACGCAAAATTCCATCTTATAAAGACTGAATGAGTCTGCAGAACCGGAGCCTTACTTTGTATTATTTTATGGCTTTTATGCATGGAATGTTTTCGATTATGTATGGAAAGAAATAACGGAAGATTACATACATGAAGGAAGAAGAGGTACATGTATATTTAGCTGGTATCACACAATCAGGCTCAAACCAACACATGTTTTTTCTTTTCTTCAAAACTTACCACAGACATGAACTACAGTTGAGCAATTAGTCTGAGGATTTAGAAACATACAAAGGCACAGTCTGTTATTAAACAAGACAATCACAGGCAAAAACTACCATTCAATTTCACAGCAAGCCTGTGTGCATTCAACAAAAACTAACATGGCTACTTTTTAATTTAGTAACCTAGCAAATCTAGCAGTGCAGTACTATTTGGTGTTTGTACATGTATTCTAGCTACGGATTTCAAGTAACATTAGCACACAACAAGCAAAAAACAACAACAAACACACGTACACTGCTAGAAAAATGATCTTTTTATTAAGGTGTCAGCATGACCAACACATTAGGTGTCATTTGTCCATCCTAAAAAATTTCCCTCAAAAATTCCTCCAAGCCAATTATCAGAGAAAATAATGTTTCTTGTAAGGAATAATTACAGCAAACCATGAACACTACACCACTGAGAAAGCAAACCGGCGTGGTATTTTGTTTTAATCTCATAAAGTTATGAAGTGGTTTGCAGGACTGCAAAAAACTGACAACATACTTTCAGAACCTTTGTTGTAATTTACGAAAACCAATCCTGAGAACCCAAAGTTGTAACCGAGTCCATCACAAGTCAAATCACAAGAGAATCACAAGTATAGCCTTGGTCAAGGCGTTCGACAATTGATGGTCATCCACGAAGAAAACAGCAGCCGCGCACTATGCAATCACACGTACTGTACGGAGCGGCCAACCATTGATCATCGGACTCTATCGTCGAACGCCCTGGCTAGGCTATCACAAGTAAGGCCACCAGTAACAGGGGATGAAAAATTATCAATTCAGTTTCCCCCACAAGTCATTTGGGACCTCAAACTGAAGGACTTATGATCGACTTGTGAGGATTTGTGAGGACTTGGACCACACCTCTGTTAACCTACCCTCTGCTGTAGTTGGGTTTGTAGCCCGGGGGGAAATCTGGCAGCTCCTCTGGTACCGTGTCTCCCTGGCTCCCTGCCTTCTCCCCATTCACCCGCATGTCCTTGTCGTCAACCAGTGACGACATGACAACCGCGTGGTTGGGTGCGATCGGCTTGGACCACAAATGCACGACTCCCTTCTCGTTGGCGACGTCAATGTGGTTGTTGTTGATTATCACGGGGTCCCGTTTATGGACCGCGCTCCAATTTGGGATCGCAGTCTGATTGGGGTTGAATTGAGAGACAGTATCCCCATTGGGGTGACTGTAAGCGGTTGGTGCGGGTCGCAGTTTCGTGGGGTAGTTTGGACCGCCATTGTGGACAGCCTGTACCGGTACGTGGTTAGTTTCCCTGCGATTGCCGGATTGCAATCGGGCGGCATCATAGCCGCGTGTTGCCATCCTGGGCTGCTCATCCGGTCTGGTCCCGTCTGGGTAGGAGTCCAGACTGGGTCCGGCCTGGATGGGATAACCCGGGGTCAGGTGTAAAGTCGTCCTGAGGTCAGTGACTTCCCCAGAGGTCATGGGGTCAGTGCAGGAGCGATGGACGTCCACTTCTCTTCGCTGGGTCCTGACTGTGGTCCGAGGCTGACCTTCTTGCCGTGGTAAGGTTTGCCTGTTTTCAGTTAAAAATAAATGCCTTGCTTATATAAGTATAACTAACGTCTCTTTTCTTGAGCAAGCTGGTAAAACTTTTGGCAAGCTCTTAGTCAGTACTAGGCATACAGTGTCCTTAAAATTACAGTGGTGAAGGGCAAATCCTAATATTAAAAAGTACTAACACAAATTCCAACATTTCATACAGATTGCAGTATCTGCTGCTACAACAGGTTTGCACCAGCCAGCCGATCCAGGCAAGCTTGCGCGGTGCTCATTTGGACGTCTTCACCTTTAATAATCTTGATGGGTGCAGTCCAACCTGAGCAAATTTGTGATTTTTTTACTCACAACATTGAAGATAACACTAAATACAGTTATATTACATTATAGTAACATTTCTTGAGGGAAATGGGAACGGGCTGGCAGTATTGATATATAAACCTATATAGTATCAAGCTGCACCTTTTAGCCCTATAAGAGTAAGGTAAAGTTTTCTCAAAAGAACCAAAATCAGTCGAAAGACAACTATCAGTGTTTATTGCCATCATCTGTTGATGTAGCTAAACTTTGATATCTCACCTAAACCCCTCTTCGTGTTCGTTCCCAAGGCCCGAATCCTCCCTGCTGTGGGCCACACGCAGCCCTTCCATACCCAGCGTGGGGGATGGGTCTCCCCGGGGGTGTCTGTGAGGGTGTCTGTCATGGCCTTGGTGTGCATTTGTCAGCAGAGGTTCCTAGGTATGGGCAAAATTGTCAATAGGGTCATAATAATAATAATTTGGGGGCTAATTATCCTTACTCGCAGCTGAAACTGAATTGTGAAGGACGCGCCTAAAACGTGGTCCAGCCAAAGGCATTTGCCCTTTAAGGCACAATGGAGCACAGCCAGAGATCAAAAGTGTTGCGGATTTTTTGCGAAGGGAGGAAAACCAGAGTAGCCCAGCGAAAAACCCTTGTGGCACAGGAGAGAATCAACGAACAAGTTACATAGGGTCCAAGCCGGGAATCGAACCCGGGCCACAGTGGCAAGAGGCGAGCACTTAACGCACTAACCAGCCATGTTATTCTGTTCCTAATCAGCAAAAGGATGCTGGGTATCTAGTTCAGATTTGAATGAAGCGTTTTTATAAAAGGCACATTGGAACAGGCCCAATAGCACCAATTCTGGTACACATGTGGGCTTTATTAATATTTGTAAAGAACAACTCTGTAGGTACCTGGTTTCTCTTGGGCTGTTGGCGACCAAACATCCCTCCCCCTGACTGAAGGTAGCCTGAATAACTGCTACCCTTCACATCCCCGTTCTGGATAACAGCAGCCCCTCTGCTGCCAACCCCACCCCTGCTTTCCAATGGAGGGTTCCCATCGATCCCAATGGGAGTGTGTGCTGGATTCCCAAGGCGGCTCACTCCATTCGGGGAATAAGGTGGGGGCGGGGTGCCCTCTGGCACCTGAGACTTTCTTATGAGGCGATGGCTTTTGGGAGATGCATTTCTAGATCGGTGTCTGGTTGAGTGCTCACTCACGTTGCTGTAAATCAGAGGGAAAGTACGAGCAATGAAGGAAGTTTCTGTCATGTAAGAAATAAGCTTGTGCAGTATTGGATTTGGAGATCGAGTCCATGGTATCTCATCACAAAAATGTTGCGCTGAGAAACTGCAAACTAGGGAAACTGCAAACAGACGGCATGGGCAGAACTTCAAAGGCCCTGCTGGATGAATTAAGCACAAATGTCACCTTATCTATTGGTAGATACGTGACCACAAGGAATTTAAACAAGTTTTTTCGGTTGCCTTTTTTTCTCTCGGTATTTTGACATTTATTCCGTATTGTTCAGTATCAAAACGATATTGTCGGTATGTGGTATTATTGAAAAAATAGTCCAAGCCTCAAGAAATGATTCCCTGATGGTTAGAAATTCTTGAACGCTCTAAAATCCATAAAAATTAGGGGGAAAACAGCTTATTTTACTGTTTTCCAACGTCAAGTCTCGACACATTTTTCCAGGCATCGAATTAAAGCAAAAAGGAATAATTATTTCCATAAAAACTTAGGTAACCTGTCACTGAAGTCTTCATTTTTTCTACTTCTTGTCCGTGTGTGGGTGTCTTGCTTGGGACGACTGCTGTCTACTGTTCCACCGTCAAGACTGACCAAAGAAAGAAGGGAAAAGAATACGATTACTTTGGTAAGGTGACCTGCTAAGGGTTTTCCAGATTACAATAACATTTTGTACAAGCTCTATGTTCTGCACTAGGAGAAAAACTTAAGTCTGTCCTGAGCCAATGGCCAGTGTTTACCTCTGGTTTCTTTGACATGAATTGACTGAGAATATTTCTATTCCCTTGGTTGGGATGTCAGTCCATCGCAGGTTACTAGCCAGCTGATTCCCATACCCATTTATACTCCTGGGTGGAGAGAGGCAAAAGCATGGGGTAAAGTGGCTTGCCTAAGGACACAGCATATGGCCAGTGGCAGGATTTAAAACCCTGAACCTCATGAGTCACAAACCCCATCGCTAGGTCACACTCCCCACACAAGAGCATACCGATATAGCTACAAGGAAAAAGATGTTATGAAATTGCAAGCTGGAACTACTTCGTTGCTGTTTATGTTTACATTGCTGTTCATGTTTACTTACACAACGTTTGTGTAGGGAATACTGTGCCGTTCCTCCTCTGTGTACTGTCTTGGGTCGACCAGGTCCTTCTTGATATGCTTTTGGAACTCGGCATCGGTGCGATTGTTTACAAAACCCCTATGGGAGCACCAAGAGAAATTTATTCTATTCAGAACTGTCACTGAAATTGGACATAAATGTGGCCAATTTACTGGAATACCTCTGTAAATATGCCACACTGTTGCCATAGCAAGTGACAAGTATGACATTCTTTTGTTTCTAAATTTTACATTCAGACTTTGCTGCTAGTTTATTTATGTTTTGGAAGCACACTCGCATTCTTAAATACAAGCAAGGACAACAACTTGGCAGTTCCTAAGGCGTCTACTTTTCATGTAACTTCCAGAGGAAATTTTGAGGCTCACTTATTTTACACGTTTTGAGTGTAACTAAGATTCCAGCATTTTGATGCCAACCGCTCTGAACCCCATCCTAGCCAAGCCCCAGCCCCTCTGACAAGAACCACATGATTGTGTAATAAAAATCTCTTAGTGAGCCGAGCAACCTCATCCCAGAGCATGGAAAATCAATCGTCCTGTCAGCAAGACTAGTCAGGAAGCTCAATCAACGGCTGTTTGCACTCTTCTGACCACTTTACAACTTAAATTTGATACACAGCAAATAGTTGAGTGAATTTGGACTTTTACTATAACATGTCCTCCAAACTGTAGTACGGACCTGGAACCGTGAACGGAAAATGCCACACTAACGTCAAGGTTAAAAGCACACGTAGTACATGTCAGTCTGCTAGTTTCCGGTTTATTTGAACGTCTTGAAAAGAACTTGTAGCTTGAAAAATTAAAAGCAAAAAGAGAAACAAAAAACAGACAAAGTAGGGGACAATAAAAACCTACTGCCTTGAGGGATGATGATGATTATGATGATGATGATGATTTCTACTCAGATGATAAAGGGATGAGCTTTCGCTGTCAGGGTATCTACATGCAAAAAGGGAATTAAGCAGGTATGCGGGTGACAAACAAGCAGTAAGCTGGCATTTCAAAAAGCAAGCAATATTATTAGTTACATAGCATTTGTGTCTGTAGCCGATTTCTACTACAGCAAAAGAGTTGCACGAATACTTTTTGGTAAAACCACTGTCGTCACAAAGTGATACATTTTATCAGAATTAAAATCCACTTCATGTTTTTAACTTTAATTATATACACTGCAGAATTGTCCAAATACAAAGACTATGGAGTCCCTGCACAAGTAGGCCTACTAAGGCTGTGACTTTGCATTTTATTTTGTGAACATTTAGCAAATATTTTAAGAACTGTTTAAACGTTTAAATGTTTAGCCATTCACAAAGGCTGACGCATGCTCACTATGTCTGCAGACATACTGAATCAACAATGGCAGTCATTGCAAAAGTAAAATCTTAAAGGGGCACTAGGTCCTGAAATCCCCAAAAATGTTATGTTTTGGATTGTTTACTTAGCCTTATTTCAAACATCTGGTTGAAAAGAAACCAACCTAATGTCTTACCGTTCCTGAGAAAAGGCAAAAAAAAAAACCCATTTGTTTACATCAGACATGACGGAGTACGAATATGTTTTTTGTGTCGTTCTCAGTGTACGATATACACAGTTGTGCGTCTCGGGAACAGCGGTGACCAATCTCCATCAGTGCAAAAAAAGTAGTTTCTTCAACGTCCGCAAAGGCGAACACTTTACGAATGAAATCACAACTAGCATCCAAACAGCTCAAATTTATGGGGTCGCAAAAGTGGACCCCGAAATTCGTTCTCGCATGCATAATACAGGAATAACACAAAACGCCCAGTTTTGAAAGGATAGTTGTGTGCATGTTTATATCCTACTTTTAAATGTTGTTTCCGATTAACATCATCTCGTTCAAAGCGCGTTTTGTAGCCCAATTGGGCTGTTCCAGGACCTAGTGTCCCTTTAACTGCCCCGAATGTATAATCAAGTAAAGTATTGAAGTGCTTCGAAGGTTTTGCAAATTAAATAGGTTTGAAAACTTTGTTCATTATTTGTGCTTTGAAGGTTTAACTCCTAGGAAAACTGCGTGAATGTAGGTCCTTTTTATGTTATTCGGGTTTCATTTAAATGTTTTTGGAAAATTTGTAAACGAACTTTGGCATTGTTTTTGTTTAAAGGTTTGAACGTGTAAATGTCACATCCTTAAGGCCTATCCCCCTCAATGGTTAAAGAAAGTTAGGCGGGACTTGTGAAAGCATTGTCGCTGTAAGCCTGGCACTCATGCAAAGATGCTATAGGTTTGTGAAAAAAATAAATTAATTTATTCATTCATAGAATTTTTGCGTGGAGGTCATGTAAATAAAATCAGGTTTTGCCCTTCACCGACGTATAAATACTGTATACTCAGTGTGTTACCTCCCGAGTGAAAGTTCGAAAAATTCACTCGGGTGGGACTCGAACCCACGACCTCCTGCTTTCTAGTGCAGATGTCTTACTACTCGACCATCGAGCTAACGGGATCTGTTGGCTGGTTCGAACGGGATCTGTTGGCTGGTTCGAATCTGATGTACATAGCAGCGGGTACCGCATAAACTATTCATAAGATGGAATTTAATCATGCGCAGTTTGTGCAATATGGGCTAAACCCTTCACACGTGTGTCTCACACATGAGCTCTTATGAGTGGTCACAATTTGCACCATCTACTGTTCGTTCGAGGGTCCATACACTCACCCATCTTTCAGCCGCTTGACAGTAACTTCTTGGCCCTCTCTCATCTCACCCCTGACTAGTTTGTTTTCCTTGACGGCATTCCACTGGTCTTGAGAGCTAACCATCCTCTCCCGTGATCTAGGAGGAAAAAGTATGGCTTATTCAAATGTATAGGCAAATATTGTACATTAACTTCTTACTAGTCGCAAAGAGATACATGAAAAAAAGGCAGAGATTTAATTTCCATCAATCGTATAGGCTATTTGTTCAAAAGAAAAAGTGATTTTTGCAACTTAAAGGTACTTATACATTTGCAAAACATCAAAAACAAAACTACCAAATAATTATGAAATACCTTACTTGATTGTACGTGAATAATAGTCTCAAGCATCCTGTTAAATCATGGCACCTGACTTGTTGCTATTTTCAAGAAAAGTGGGATTTTTGTATCAATTTCCAACGATGGTCGGCTGACATTCGATGGAAAAAACTTTTTTCAAATACTGCCCCCAATTAACCAAATTTAGTTATTTAAGACCACTTTTTGTTTGTGAGCAGGTGCCAGCCAGCCGGTCTGGCTCCCTGACCTGACAATTCCCGGACGTCTATAAATTGCACCGTTTCGTCTGAAGTAGGGTCAAGGAACCAGATTACAAGAACACTACATTTGTCTTGGTTTTTCCAGCACCTAAGAACACAACTTTAAACAGATCAGTGTTTAATCCATTTCTGAAAAAGTACATTCAAAACTAGGTTTATAATATATCATTGTAGAAGTTTTCAACACGATTTAATTTAATTTAAATAAATAGAATTCAAACTTAAAACCAATCAATCAAGTTAAATCAAACTCAAACGCATCGACCAAATCAAAATCAGTTCAAATCAAAGTTGTGTACCTTCTCCGATGTCTCCTGCCTTCGTCATGCCTGCTGTACTCAGACTCACTGCCACTACTCACTCCTCGTGATCTGGATCTGTAAAGCCAAGCCAAAAATAAACATAATAAAAAAAGAAATTGGGTCAGGGAAGGTCAGCTATTCTCCTCTGAATGCAACAGCATTGTCTTCTTTGTTTTTATCGAAGCCGCTAGCGCTGTAATCATCTTGTGGCATGGGTGGCTTAAGAGCGTAAAGCGCTCGCCTCTCACACTGTGGCCCTGGTGCGATTCCCAGCTTGGGTCATATAGTTCTTCCTTGATTCTCTCCTGTGCCACAAGGGTTTTCTCCTGGCTCTAGAATTCTCCTCCCTCCGCAAAAATCAACACATTCAATCTTCGGTGCTCCGTGTCAGACTTGGGCCGTCAGGCGGCTGCATAAGGACCCTTTACATGCCTTCAGCTCGACCAAGTTGTAGCTGCATCGATTCTTCGCAATTCAGCTTCTCAGCTGCGAGTAAGGATGATTAGCCCACCAACTTGTGGTGAAAAATCGTCTATGCTCATTCTGCCATCAATTCCAGGCGGGCAATTGGTTCAAGGTTTATAGTGCAACATTCTCACTACTTCTCATGAATATAGCGCCCTCAACGAGCTGCGAAAACAAGGCAAATGAATTATTATCAATACCTTCGCTTTCTGTGCTGACGATGATGACGCGACTCATTGTCGCTGCCGGCATCAGAATCTACAGATCTTCGGCTTCTGTTTGAATGATAAATACAAAACAAAACAAAAAATTTTGGTGGATTTTTTTTCCCAAGCTTGTATTGTACAAACAAGGTGGGTACCATTTTGCTTTTTTGTGTCCTCATTATACATTGGTGTCCTCCATAATTTGCCTTGGTGCCCTTTATCATTTGCCTTGGTGCAATTTCCCCATTCCTTGGTGCTCCTTGGTACAAACATTTGAGGAGGCGCGGCAATAGAGGGTTGTAGCTTCCGTGTTAATTTAAAAAAAAAAAAGGTTGACGCGCATGATTAAAATCGACGCGCGCGCTGACCAGAGACCGAGTATTTTTTGGGGGGGCCTAATCCTTTAATTTAGCATAGGAACAAGTTCCAGTTCCAGCAAGTGTACTGAAACATAAGCTGGAACAGTAGAAATTTATATTGAGAAACTTGACAAAGGGGTCCGAATATTAGGGCCTTATAGATCATTGGCGGCAATCTGAATATTTGGAAAAAAAGACAGGCAGAAAATGTCCAAGAATATGCAACAGGACTTAGACTTGAGTCCTAGTCCCCTTGCTAACATTTCTTGCAAATCTCCATCAGCTGTGTGTCCAAACACTAACATTTTAAAACATTCGAAGCACATGGTCAGCACCACCTTGATACAATGGCTCGTTCATGATCATAGAAAGTCACAGTTCTAAACCAGTCAATGGAGCATAGCAGTCACATAGCTAAAGCATAACACTGCCATGTGAACAAAAATGGCAGCTTCCAGTGTCGCAAGAGTCGCTCAGGTATTAAGCAAAGAATTTGCAACGAAATTTTGAGAAATAAAGACGCAAAAAATACCTTGAAAGCAACTGGGGGGTTGGGGGGGGGGGGCAATATTTTGATATAGCTTGTACAATATGTGCAATATATTCTTGTATCCCCTCAAACTCATCCAATGTTATATACTTATTAAAGAGGTTGTGGAATGCTCGAAGACATTTCCGTCATTTTTCGGGTATATGTAGCCTAAGGTGTGATGAAATAAAAACGACTATTGTGTCTGTCATGAAATGAATACAAAAGGTACTTTTGAGAGCTGTTTTTCAGGTCCTGTTTTGACCCGAACGTGCAATTCGTGTAAAAGTCGTCGTTGGGGGCAGCAAACAAAACATAGTAAATCGTGACGTAATAAACAGGACTCCCGATGCAGCGTAGTATAAACGAGTTCTGTTTATTACGTCACGATTTACTATGTTTTGTTTGCTGCCCACAACGACTTTTACACAAATTGCACGTTCAAGTCAAAACAGGACCTGAAAAACAGCTCTCAAAGGACTTTTTGTATTCATTTCATGACAGACACAATAGTCGTTTATATTTCATCACACCTTAGGCTACATATACCCGAAAAATGACGGAAATGTCTCCGAGCATTCCACAACCTCTTTAAAAGTTCCTTTGATGGAGGGTAATGGAGTGTACATGTATGTTTATGATAAAGAAATAGATGCAACAAATGTAATACGAGGAAGGTAAAAAATATGATTCACCCAAAAAATAACATGTTATCAACAGTCCAACTGACCTCCGTTTTGCGCTGTAGGCGGCTTCTGATTCACTGTCTGATCTGTCGCCATGACGATGATGGGGGGCTGGAGACTTAGAGCGCCCCCTATGTCGGTGCTGACGGGAGGCCGAGCTGCGTACGGAAACGGGCGAGCCTCCAGCTGGTGTAAACAGACCACTAAGTAGGAAACGACGGAGAAAGAGTTGAAGAGTTTATTTCCAAAACGCATATATCCATTTGAAAAAAATTGAAACATTTGCAGTTATGAAAGCTTAAAGAATAAAAACAGCTGGTTTTTTTTAAATTCATTTTTTGCTTTCTAATTGTGTTTACATGTAACTATAAGCCATCAAAACTGAACGTCAAAAATAAGCTCTTCTTTTTTGTTGTAAAACTGGTTGCGCAGATCGTTTTATCATTTGAAGTGTGCATGCACTTTTGGCAACATGTATGCAACCTATGGGTCGAAGGAGCACTCAGTTGCCACGTAGGACTACGTGCCATTGTGGTGCACCTCAATATCTTTGTGGTCACTGAATGGGCGAGTATCTTACAATTGGGAAATAAAACTGACTTGCCGAATCAAACTCAAATTCTTGCAAAACCATTTGCCTGAACATTGTGTGCAATGAGGCCTATGAGTATGACTTACACTCTCGCTTGCTGGGAATCTTCCCAGGGAACGGAGCGAGTGCTCAAGCCAGACGTTGGGCTGTCTCGTCCACTCTGTCGATGGTGTGAGGGTAACCTACGGAGGGCAGAAAGGAAATAAAATAGGTCCAGTGTTAAACACCGGCAAAATGATCCTGAATAACTTGGGTCTGGTTTCGCCATTTCACGAAGCTCCAGTGCTTTTTGTCCTCAGTACTTGCTTAGAAAAAACAAGTCATAGGCCACATGTTGTCATGTATGGTGACTCCTGCTTGCCACTGGTTCACAGTTGACTTTGTTTGCTTAACATATGGGTCTTTCCATGAAGTTGGGAAACGCCCGTAACACTTCGAGATCAGGTATACGGGGTCACTCAATGTAAATATAAAATTGCCATCGTTAATTTTGATTGTGACTCTTCAAGAAAGTTTCGGAGCATTTGGATGTTTTTCAGCATGATATTGTTAAAGCATAGAGCAAGCAAAACAGTATAGCGATGAAACATGGACACCGCAACATTTTGACCATATATGGTAAGTATTTAAAAAAAAAAATTGCACTAGCTTTCCCCAAAGTAATTAGTTATTTCTGAAGTGTATTTCTGAAATTTAATGTGAAGTCTACATGTAAGTGCTATCCCAAGAAATGTGTTAAAGTTTCACAAAATTTCAAAGAAATTAGCATCAACTAATAGATTTATTGGGACAGCAATAAAATGTTCAATTTAAAATTCCAAAGTACATCTTTGGAATGGTCTGTTATGTTCTCGGCTATTCATTTGGGGGAAAGGTGTGCATAAAACTTTCAAATACAAACCAAATGTGGAACAATAGTGTGGAGTCTAGGTGACATCATTGAGCTTTTTTACTTAAAAATATTATGCTAAATATCACAATGCTCTGAAACATTTTCAAACCACTAGAGGAGTTAAAACAACATTCGAACATTTTAGTTACTCTGAGCAACTCCTTATACTTTATCTACAAGTATCGGTATGTCCAGATGTCACAGAAAGTTCCCCAATTTCATGGAAAGACCCATACACATTTCCTGACAACTATTTTCTGTTTGACAGTTAAAAAAGAAAATCCTGTCTTACTGACCTACTGGCTGGTTGTGGAGATAGCCTAAGGAGTACCCCATTGGGGCTTGCAGGACCATCGTCCAGAAACATGTCATCTGGCGTCGTGCCGTTCTTCAGCGAGACGTCGGTCTGGGACGGCCGCCGGTGGTACTTGCGGCTCAGGGCTCGGTTGACTTGTTGGACTGGTCGGTTCAGTGACGAAGCCGCCTCCAATGCCTCTAGTTGGGTTCTACCACTGTTGTGTGAAAGTGGAATGAGGTAAGGAACAAGTTATACCCTCTCAAAGAAGCTTTAGAGCTACATGTACCAAGTTCTGTGCTATGCGTCCCGAGGGGGTTAAAAATGCCATATCCCACATCGAAGCAGTCAACAATTGTCTTGTTATGTCGTGGCAGCAAGTCTAAAAGATAAAGGGTTGTATAAAATGTATCTTAAAGGGAATGTACATCATTGGTTTTTGCTGTAACTTTCGGAAATGAACTATTTGAGGGATTAGTATAATAGATCAAATACTGTTACACAGACATGTTTCAAGTTTTGTGTTCAAAAATACTGGGAAAACCAAGAAAAACAAACATGTTCAAGTAGTCTGGTTGCCTGACTCCACTAAAGTTGAAATGGATCAATTTATAGATGCCGGAAAATTGTAAGATAAGGGAATCAGTTTTACTGGCCTGCACTCGTTCAAGAACATGTAACCATTAGCAAACAAAATTTGGACTGACAAAAATTGGTAAATTTGAAGCAGTATTTGAAAAATAGTTAGGTTTTTCCAACGGTGGTCGGCCGACAACTGTTGGAAATTTATACAAAATACAATTTTTCTTGAAAATGACTTCACACCAGGTGCCATAATTTTACAGGATGCTTTTGACTGTCATTTATCAACATCCTAGTAAGGTATTTCGTAACAATGTGTTGGTTTTGTTTTTCGATGTTTACAAATGTTGTATATTCCCTTTAATATGCAAGAAAAAAAAATTAAATCACAGCAGTGCAACCTGTGATAACTGCAAGCTTTCCTGCTGGACATGAGACTGAGTGGTTGCAGTTCTCAGTCGCAAGGCGTGTTTTGGCCGGTCCTACATGCGTGCGCAATGCAGAGGTAATTTATATGCAATGAATTATGCAATGCAGTTCTGACGTGTCCAGGAGGTGAAAAATAACTTCTGTATCCCACATTGGCGACACACATTTTATTACCCAACTGGTTATAAGTACGGTACCATGGAAGTAATCCTGACAGAATTTTGCTGAAATTTGATGATAGAGCCATACATTTGAGGGATAATAAAGCGAAAACAAAAATTTCTTTCAGGCAAGTAGTGCAAAATTGTTGGTTCTTCAGTGTTGGCTGATTTGGCATATGTACATGTACATATGTACATGTATAATGTTGAGTCTACCATGAGGCAAATACTCTTCATCAATAAAAAACGTGCACTCACGTATGCCTGAAACTGGACTTGGTGAAGGATAACTTGCGTTGATGCAGGGGCTCATCCCCTACCTGGGGAGGCGGAAGAAAGCATGCTGCTCCACACTGCACTTCCAGAGATGCTTGCAGGCCGACTTGCTGGATAGCCTGAAGATGCACTCATCTTCTACCCCCTGGAATCAGAATGGCCCAAAAATAAAGATATCTTCCAGTTGCTCGACAAACTGACGATGCACTACGTGTACGCTTCCACCCCCTGGAATGCAAATGCCCCCAAATCAACCATGATGTGGCATGACTGTAAACCTGCTCAACAACCTGTAGATGCAACTGTTTTCCCTTCCCCTGGAATCAGAATAGCCAAACAATATTGAATAATAAAAAAGTAATGTCTAAAAACTGAGAACACATTCATCTTTCATCTCAACTCCCTGCTTAATAAATATAAGGTCAAGGTTTTAGCCTGATCAAGAAAAAAGTTTATAGATAAAACTCCCCAACAATATTTCAAGATTAATGGCATTTGTCATCAGAATCACTCTAAGACTTTTAACCACGGCCAAGAATTATTGCACTAGTCTGGAAAGCCTCCTCTGGTAAACATTTCCCAAATCCAGTTAAGCCACAGTCGTAAATAATAGCGCCTTTCCCAAGACCTGCGGTATCCAGGTACCATTCTCTCTTCAATGGAGATGTAGAGTGTGTAATCTTCACATACTGTTACAGCTATTCCAATCAAAATTCCCAGCACTTTATGAAAACAAAGTTCTCCCAGTTAACTGGGAGAACTTTCTCAGGGAAAAAAATTCTCAGGGAAATATCAGGTAAAACTGCAGTTTTACCTGATATTTCCCTGAGAATTTTTTTCACAATTCTATGAAAAGTATTTTCACTGTAACAGGGTTGCTGGGAAGTCAAGAGGTGGTACAGCTAGCACAGCCAATTGTTACTGTCTGTAGAGGTGTGTAGCCTAATTAATATTCACAATGCATAAACACTAAATGTATCCATCATAGCCAGTCAGTCAATGGACACATCTTGGACACATGGCACAAGAACGCAGACACGCCAAACTGGCGAAAAACCTTTCCCTCCTGGGTCACTGTGTTGAGTTTCCCATTGAGTTTTGGCGTTTTTCTCAAATTTCCTGAGTATTCCCTAACTGGAAAAATGGAAACTCATTTTCAAGGTTTCCCCTTTTTTCAAGATTGGCTGGGAACCCTGACAATCGTCCTGAGGATGGTGACTGCAGAAGTTTCAAATATCTGGGAGCAATTGGTGGTTTTTAAAAATTAATATCATGCATGGGAGGGTGCAATGGCGCGAGGCCATGCCATGCCTCCCTCAAAAATCTGAGCAACTGTACTAAAGGCGAGGACTTGTTTTAACATGTATCCAATTTTCAAGCATGTACATGTATGTACTTGTTTTTTTTTTTACTTATCAGGAATTTTACTTTAAAGACCCCATGTACATGTAATGTAGAATGCACCTCGTGTCTCATTTAATCATATTTTCAATTTTCATCTTGCCATTTTCAAGGGTACGGTAGGGTACATCGTATTTTGGTGCCTTTTTGTTTTTTTTATGCCAATGCCAATTTCCATATATTCACGAGCAAAAGTGTGATGTCATTTTAGGCAGAAACCTCAATGTTACAGCTATTTCAGCACCAAAAGTTGCCTGAATTTTGAAAACTTTGCTGCTGTAAATGTTTGTTTCTTTGGTGATTCGTTGTTGTGTAAGTACATGGCAGTAAGCCAATGAGCAAATGTTTCTCACAAATGTTTCCAATAAGCACACTTTCGGATTCGCAATTCGAACAGGAAAACCCCTAAACTGAACAGTGTCTTCCTAAAACCACATCACAGCAACAGCGCCCTCAGTGGTCAGGAAAAGAATGGAGTACTTTATAATGTTTAGATAAAGAAGTGCACTTTTTAATAACATTGCAAATACTTTTCATACATTCAAGAAGAGTAGAAATTTGCACAAAATATGTTCCTACAATGCAAGTAAAATTCATGTCATGATTTCAAAGAAAACAGTGCAGATACAGCTGCAAAAAAAATCAAAAAAAATCTGGGCCTTTGCCTTGGCTCCACAAATACATGTACACTGTACACACACTCGTCTCTGCTTCAAATCAATTTTATGAGCCAATTTGGACCCAGCACATGCTCATAAAGCCCTTAGTGTCTCAAAGGGGCCCCATAAATACACACTTACTTGCCAGTCTTCACTGACAGTGCCCATAAATTCACCCTGTCTGGTGTATGGTGTGTATGAGTATAGGACCTGTGGTATGGTATGAGGGTCACCCAGTCAACTTTATGGTGTGGTTGACAAAAACGTTGGAGGGCTGGCTATGCACAATATTCAATGGTGCTAGAAGACTGCTACTGGACTTTAATATGAACTGCAGAGACTGGGCTGTTTTCTGCATGTCGGTCGTTGTCTGTTGCGCACTCATTTCTAATTAAACTTTGCGCGTCTGATCTGTTGTCTCCAGCCAGCTCTGTCATTGGTCTCCTTGTTCAGGTCTATGCTGCCTAGGGCATAGCTGCCAACATTTCAAAATCCCAATTAGTAATCAACCCGCGCGGTCATTTTCAACTGCTCGTTTTATCAAAAGCTTCACTAACATCGAGTACAGGTACATGGTTTACATGTACACATACATGTGCATACCCTTCTTCTTGTGAATAATAACGTAATGTAGGCCAAAAGATAATTTAAAAAAAAATAATTTTTTTTTTTTTTTTTTTTTTTTTTATTAATTTTTTTTAATGTCTGTATTTGTTTGTTGGAGTCAAATAAATAATAACAATAATAAAATATGCGCATATTTTTTTGGAGATGCATGCTATCGATGTGGAGTTTCGAGTTCGTATCAATGTTTTTACACACAATGATTTAGGGCCACCGTCATGACCGTATGCAATAGAAATATCCCGCCAACATACCTTGCAAACGCATGCTGATTTATCTTTTCTGGACGTTGTGACAACTCAAACTGTAATACCAATTATTCCAACCATACTCTTATTAAATTCCATGATTAAATTGTCGCACTGATGGGTCTCAACCCGGCAAAAAGCGACCAAATGTGCTCACGATCGTCACTGAAAGTACTCACATACAGTACACACACCCACACATCCACGAGATGCACACAGATGACACACCATTGAAAAATAGTTTTGTCTGGTCCTCAAGTACTCCACTGCGCACACTGCATTGATGTCTATCAGGTGCTTGACTGCATTCTTATTAGACTTGTCACCAGTCCATCCATTATCGCGACATTTCGCCAGAAGTTTTCGGTCAAAAACGATACTTTACAAGTATTTTTTTTTTATTAGGTAGAAAATGGGAAATTCGTAATGTTTTAGTGGCAAATCGTATTTTCGTAATTTAACAAACAATTCGTAATAATTACGAAAAATTAGTAACAGTTGGCAGCTATGCTAGGGGTTTGAGGTCGTTGTTAATTGTGTCTAACCATGTTCGTTTCTTTCCCCCCTGCCGGTCTTTTCACTTTTCTTTGTATTTTGTCATGTGCAATTTTTCCCATTGCGTCTTGTGGCAGACGCAGTAGATGACCGAGCCAGCTCAATCTTCTGTTTTTGATGTTTACACTCCACAGCTTTTGGTTGGTTTTGGTGTACAGGTCTTCATTTGATATCTTTTCATACATGCATTCTCATATATGCGAAATATTGCTGTCACACTTGTACATGTACATGTACGTCGGTAACATGTCACTTACATCTTTGTCTAGAACCACCAGTGTAAACTCGGTATCTTTGAAGTGGACCTTTGAGATGCGGGGCCTGTCGAAAAAATGGTGAAGAAAGGGATTTAATTTTTTTTTTTTTTAAGTTTATGGCAATCAAAAGGGATATGTACATGAACATGTATTGCACAATAGCTCTGGAGTACATGTGCATCATGCATACGGTATGTACAAGACTTGGGACAAAATAACATAAAGCCTCATGTGATCGACATCATTCAATCTACTGAAAGAAAGCAACTCTGCCAGCTTTCGTATCCTGCAATTGCGATAATCCTGTGCTTACGACACTTTCACATACTGCACTTATAATCACAAAATCCTTAGTTTAGAGAATGTGCGCTGAAATGGTAAGCCAAAACCAATCAATAATGCTACAATGTGCATAGAGCTGTTGGCACCAAACGTTATGCAGAGATTCTGCGCTTCTGATAAGAAGACCCATAATGTTCACAGCTGCATGTATAGGGGACTGAAAAAGAACAGCGGTGACATCTGCAAGACTTTTTTTTTTACAATCATGAGTTATTGTACCAGTATTTGAATTTTGGGCGCCTTTATGCTTGCAAATTACATGTACATGGGAAAAGCATTAAATTAGAAACTTTGCGGGTAACACCATGTGGAAAGATATATCTCTTCTTGGAGGAAGTGTGGTTCTGAATAGAACCGGTTGGTTGGGTGTAGAACTCAACGTTTTGGACAGTCTGCTCTGTCCGTACTCGGGAGGTTGAAAAGGTTTACCTTGTCTGACAAAAGCTGAACCAAAAATATTACTTCTGGTATTTTTAAGTTATATGTAGTCCATTATCAAATGGCACCTTTAACTCAGAATATTCCTGTCGGTAATTCTTCAAAGTTAACTCAGGTGAGGAAAAACAGTCTCTTACAATCTGTGCTTGTACAATTTACGCAAATTAATGCACCAAAGTAAGGTGTTTCATCACATGTTGACTGTCACTGAAAATCTAAAAAAAAAAAATATAAAAAATTGGACGAAGGCCACTCTGAAATTATTTCCCAAACTGTTTGTTTGATTGTTTTACAACTTTGTCCAGTTTTCAGAAAAAAGCTATAAAAAAAATCATCTTTTTGCATGTACCGCTTATAAGCCCGGAAGTCTAACATTTATTTCAACGAAAACCTGATGAACACCTTCACATAAGGCATCAGATAAACAAATCTACATCAGGAACGTATACATGTACATGTACAAATGTATACTTTATCCACGTGGGAGACATCCTCATTTTTTCACTCAGGAGAGGTGCTTGCACTATTTAGTGTTTTCATCTATTGTTGCGTACGGAGAAAATCCAGGCGGTTGCACAAGCCCACTCAAGCGAAGCTAGCTAGAGACACGTGGCGGTTGATCGCAGAAGAAATGGAGTATAATCTCCAGTATGGCACAGGACAAGCCTGTTTATGGGCCATTGTGCCTGCACCATGGTAGCGCTATTCAAAAAGAGTTGATGGCTTTCTTTGATATTACCTCTTTCGAAGCAGTGGCCGATTGCCATGTCAAGGCTTATTATAACAATTTTGGTTATTTCTCGAGACACAGAATGCAATAAAGCGAAAAATGATGTTTAGAAGCGGCTGTTACACTGTTTTTTTAATTGACCTAAGTTTCATAACCGCTCAAATCTTCACCTTTTCTAAATGGATATGTTGCGTTTTGGAAATATTTGTTGGTTAGAAAGGGCTAGCGTAGTGTCCTCTTGGTACCTGACTGACTTACCGGTACTGACTTAAGGTCAGACTTGACGACACAGTGGTTGTAGACTTCTGAAGAGAGCTGTGCATTGCTATGTTTTATAGGATTAACCCTGTTATATCAACGGGTGCACCACAAGTGACATACCGTCTGTGGATTTTGTGCACACGATACATGTGGTATGGACCTAACTATATGAATGTGGACTGAATTTTGCCAGTTGTGTACACCAGATGCATGAAAAGACTTCCAGTGAATAGCCATTTTGAATCAGTTCAATAGAATATCTTGTGCTCCGGGACCTACTTACATTGTATTAAGCTTCCCTATCTAAGTCTTGCTTTTCATTTCAGTTATTTTATTACGTACCGGTACATTTCATTTCATTTTGTTAAATACAATCTGCCTTCAAGACATGGATAAGCAAGGCCGGTGTCAAACTTATGTGAACTAAATCTGTAACTGTAAACTGTTTAGACAAATAAATGTGAAAGTGTATCAAGTCTGACTTTACAGTATTGTAAAATTATGAGCTTTTTAGACAATATTTTCACATTAAGTTTTGATCGATCTATGAACTGAAAATTTCATACAGGGATGTACATGTAATTAACCTCTAAGAGAGTTTTGTAATCCTTTCTTTTTGTCAACCCCCCCCCCCCCCCCACTAAATTCTGAAGCACCTGGAAAAACCTTGAAATACCCTGGTAGAGCTTTACTAGGGCAGCGGAGTAGTAGTGCATTTGAACCCCAGGCAAAACTAGAGTTCTTTCAATAGACAACAAATAGACCCACCATTCCTTTCACAAAACCTTTCCCAATGTGGGGCAATATGATATAAAAGAGTAACCGCCAAACCACTAATTGGACATTTAGGGTTGTTGTTACATGTACTTTAGGTCAACTTTACCCCACGCAGTGGTTTGATAGGGTTTAAGGCATCAGTGGTCAGTTTCCATTCACAATATTTCTTTCTGAAATAAAGCCAACAAAAGTAACCATCCAACCACTAATTTGGTACTTACGGTACGATTAGCTTATTTACGTGGGTCAACCTCAATTTCTACCCCACTTGGTGGTTTAAGGCATCACTGGGTTTGTTTAGCTGTTGGCATATTTGAAGTTGCCCAACTCTTTGCTCTCAGCTAACTTTAATTGATAGAGAAAAGGGTCTCGGTTTAACCCTAAAGGGGGGGGGGGGGGGGGGGGGGGACAGAATCCGCCCCCCCTCAACATTTTCCGTGATAGCCTCTAAAAAATTTTTTTTCGCGACCCAAGCTGTTGACTTTTTAGCCTCGAGCTTTGCGCATCTTTTGATACCAAAAACATAAAAATCGGACCACGGTTTGCCGCGTAGCGAAAAATTGTCCGGCGCTATGCGCCGTGTAAACTGAATTTTCGCATATACGTCGTGTACACAGAGCAGAATTGCCATTCGTACATATGCATAATTAATTAGCCATAATTCCAAAACCCTTTGACCTATAGTAATGAAATTTCTTGGGTATGTTTAGGAAGAGTTGCTCTATGCATGTGCCGAGTTTCAAAATTTTTCGTCACTCGATGGCCCAGATCTTAGAGGGGGAATCCCCCCCCCCCCCCCCCCCCCCCGGCTGAGAGATGGTCAAATAACCCGGCCCCTTTAGGGTTAACTACTGTTAGTCCATCTTCATAAAGGTCACAGTATATAGTTTGTGCAAAACAGCTTTTATAACTGAACTGGACTTTTGATGACATTTACATGTTGGAAGTTGGTTTTAGTTTAAAATAACAGATTCTGAACTTCTCGGCCCTTGTAGAAGTATATCTGTACTTGTATCCAAATGTAAACAACAATTTCTGATGGCAGGGCCAACATCAGACAAGTCGAGGATTAGCTTGCTGAGTGTATCACATTGACTGTGGTCTTCAGAAGAAAATTAAGTATGGAAATGGTCACAGTATACATGTACATACATGTACCGGTACATTACGACTGCCCAAAATGTATCGCCCTTGTCTTGTCCTTTTGAATGAGATATGCTGTGGCAAAGAAAACAGTGCAGGGCTGAAAACTGATAAAAGATGACAGAGATACACATGTACCCCGTAGAGTTCTTCAGTAATACACAACCCAACCAATAAAGTTGAAAAGCCTGTTGATATACTCAAATAATGCTACAAAAATCCCACAATGGGTTTAAGTGGCACACCACATTGAAAACCCTTACCAAAAGTAACGAGCAACTTTAGTTTTGTTCTTGTAGACCACCACACCCGTCGGGGTCAGGCCGAGGTAGAACTCGATGTCATTATCCCCTAGGACGGGATGGAGGTCCACACCGTACATGTCCAGCCAACGTGCTCGCTCCAAGAAGCTTAGCTCAGCCTTAGAGGGCGCCATTCCCCTGAAAAGGAAAAATAAGAAACAAGGTGTTCAAGCACAATGATCTTTGGGGAGGGGTATGTACAGGTACATCGTACATAAATGTACAGCAGTAGTAGGGGTGTGCATTTACAGGCAATACGGGCACCGGCTACCTGATTCAGTCCTTCTGATCTGAAAGATCACAGGCGTGTGGATAAAGGTACACCTGGATGTTTTGGGTTTTGCCCATCATATCTCCCTGTCGCAAAATCCAAGTGTTCAAGATATTGATTGTAGTACCTGCTGCTTCATGTATGATTTGGACCAGCCACCTGATTCAGGCAAGCTCAGTAATAAGATGTCTGACTACAGGCCCATTCCCTGATCCGAGGCTGAGGGGGGGGGGGTGTTCAAATCCCATAATGGAACTTTTTATATGCGAGCGGAAGCGCGACACCCAATACAGCGTTGGGACTGGGCCCAAATTTTTTGGGGGGGGGGGGGATTCTACATGTGCTCCGTGGTGGAATCTGAGAGACATTTTCTGACCACTTTCCCGTGCCTTTTTGAGCCAAATTTTATCAGTGCAACATTGTGACCACATGTTTTGGCATTCCCCCTCCCCCATTTTTTTTCCTCCAGCGTATGGGCCTGGACTTAGCAAGCATGAGCCAAGTAAGTTGATTCCCCCCCCCCCCCCCCCCCCCCCCCCGAGTTCTCGTACAACACTGAGTATGCAGGAAATAAAGGTACATCATTGAAGAAAAAAACCCTGTATTTTAATTCAAATCTCCCAAACGCAAAATTCGTCCTTGTGAGCAGTAGCTCTGTTTATAGTATAAAATTACTCACTGCAATTCTATCCAATCTCAAATCAAGTGACAAGCCATTCAAGGGAACAATGGCAAAGGCATTTTAATCCCCTGGATCTTGTGACTAGAGTGTGTTTGACAATTTTACCTCCATGGTTTGACCACTTGTGATTGACTCAATTACAGAGCTCTCTGGCTAAGTGTAACATCATTATAAAGCAGGAGTTGGCAAGGTGCTGGAACTTATTGAGGGCTACTAAACCACATTGAATTGATGATGTAAATGTACAAAATAATGTACCGTTAACCTTCCACTTACAAGAAACACCTGTGAATTATCTGCTAGTGCAATCAGATGCTCCTTGCCTACCACCCCTCTGAGGTGGGAACAGCCAAGGTAATTGCATTAAGCTCACAGTAGGTGACTGGTGCCAAGGGAGCAGCTATTATTGTTAGGGGGATCAGCCTCAGCAATTTGCTTTCCCCTGGGGCGAGAACAGCCACAACACCGTAATTGAATTACTGCTAACTGCAGCAGGTGTGAACTGGCAAAAGGGCTTAAACTGTCTGTCCTCAGAGTCTGAGTTGCATTACACCAATAAAAATCCAATTAAACCACTGATAAATGGCAACACGTGAATTACTTTGGGTGATATTTTACAGTTCCGTTTACAGAGGACACTGAACCTCCATTTGATTTTCATTTTTCAGTGGGTGACAGCCAAGTTTTCAGTAATCCTCAAACCATCTGTAATTACATTGTAAACTACATGTAGCTGAAAGATATTGTCCCACAAAAAAACTAACAGTCAAGTTGGGCATGTTTTCAGAAAAGTGGGGTCAGTATTCAAAATCGTGTCTTATGTTGCTGAGTAGAATAAGTGGTCTTTCAAAATGCTTTTTCGTTGGTTTCATTAGGATGTTCTGTTTAAAGATTCAGCAATCACAAAACAGAACTTGCAAAACCACTCGAGCCACTGTTTTTATTTATCAGGTTTACAGAATACCGGGTAAGTCACACATAACTCTTGAACCGAGGACATAAATGCTTTGTGTGTTTCTCTAATTGCACTTTCTCACTTTCAAGGAAAGTGGCCCAAGACGATTTTCAACCCTTGAGTTACATTGTACATGTAGATGAAGCATATCACTTGTTCCAATGCATCGATTTGAATGAAATAAATGTTGGGTAGGTAGTTTGCTATTCATAATCACTCTTCAACTGCATTTTTAAGCAGTGCATCAGAGTTGTAAAATCATAGATATAACATGGACAGGGGAAAAAAAGGGACCCCCAAATTTATAGAATGACCCCGGAGGTACACAATTTTAAAATTGTTTCAAAGTTGAACAAAGAAATTGACTAGAGCAGGGTTTGAACCTGCAACCTCCGGATTGCCGTTGTGATGCTCTACAAACTGAGCTATATCCAGCCCTATGTTGGCGGATCCCCAATTTGTCAATATCCTTGTTCAAGGGGTGCTGGTCAAAAGCCATGAACCTGTTTAGCCTATGCCATGTAGCCAGGGATCACACCCAAAAAGTTACGATGCAAATAGCAACACCAGTAATGCTGCAAATCTGGGAAATAGCAAACAGAAATCACTCGCAGTGGATATGGCTTTTTATTATAAATGTTCAATTTTGTGGGTAATTTATTTGAAAATGTTTAATTGCTCAGCCATGGGTTACTGTTCAAAGTTAGAGCTCTCCATCCTATAGAGGGAGCCCTCCTTTAAACTTACTTGAGTTTCTGGTGTTGTTGGGTGATCTGTTCCTCCAGTTCCTCTGTCTGGTTGGGAGTGAAACGGAACTCCGAGATGTAGCCCTTGGAATGCCGACTACCGTCATAGTCTCCCAGCTCAGCTAGAACCAAAAAACCAGACAAACAGTCAGAAACTAGTTTGTTTGTAAATACTGGTAGTGCCCCCAAGCATCAAGTAATGTCATGTCCCATGAGTTATAAGTCTGGCGCCCTCATATGCTTTCCCCCGAATGGGCTCCCTATATTCTTATCTTGTTCTGTGAGTTCATATTCCACTGCTGAAGTCAATAGAGGCACTCAGGGACATTCAAGCAGCAAGTTTGCACTTCTCGTTAATTTTATCGGTGGATTCAATGCAGCTTCTCTAATCTGGACAAGTCCAACTCAACCACCTCTCAGTGACTAGAGTGTGTTTTTTGGACTGTGTACAAAGGCCGTAATATTGCACTGCACAGTCAAACAGTTCTGCTCTGTTCTCTGTGTATTCTCTCATTCATTTTTACTGATATGATCAGGCCGCGGTATGAGTTTAGACACCCCTTGTGGCTTGGAGATAAGATTGATATTAAGGGGTGGGAGTTTGTGTTTATTTTGCCATTGAACTTGTTCTTTTGAGTTCAGTTTTTGGCTGCATCACTTTAAACTGAACAGATCTTCATGTATACAATGTACAAGTAGGCCTACGTGCAGTTGCATTCATACATCAATAGGCCTACTGGAAGTATGTTACACGTACGTGTATTTAAATATATACATGTAGGTATGTACGTTAGTCTTTCAGGCGAAGTCAAGGGGGATGGTTGACATCAGTGTTGTTTTCAAGTCCATTACAAGTCCTAGAGCTTTCATAAAGCCAGCCACAAGTACAACTGGATGAACAATGACAAAGGAACATTCATGTGAATAGCTAGTGACTTGACATATTAGATTGAATGACTTGTGATGGACTTGTGATGGACAACAGTGGCACCCCTCTTTTGAAAAGGTAGCTATTTTGCCCCTCCCCAACTTTCTACCAAGCTATTTAAACCAATCGAGGGTTTACTGTCAACTTCGTTTGGATTGGAATATACATATGAGTGTATGTTTGCACTTATTTTCAGAAATATAACCTTATGCATATCAGACCTCCTTTGGTTTATTTAAAGGGTTATCGCGGCGACTTTGTACACATTGCACAACGGCCGTACGACACAGCAAGTGCTAGAGCTTTCAAATAAACCGCAATCCCACCGGACGTATGGTACCCCGTACGTACATGTAACCCTAAATAATCAAACCGTGATGCCATTCATATAAGAACATTCTTGCATTCTCTACAAAAACATGTGCAGTTTTGTGTTCCACAGCACGATATATCCCCACGTACATGTATGTGCAGCGCTCTTAGTCCACATCATTTGCAGCCAAAGGGCGTGCTTGCTTAAGAGCATTTTATTTGTCAGCATTTCAACCACTTCAAAATCGTTTAATTTTTAAACAGGCTCCGAAACATTTCCTTGTTTGAATACGAGTTCTTCAACATCACCACATTTATATAATTTTCATAAAGACTTCATTCGAGTACTTAACGTTGTAAAGCTCCAAAAAATTATTAAAGCACCCCGAAGATATAAATGGATCTGTCCCTAAAATGTTTGCAACTTGCTTAATTTCTTCCAAGAAAATCGCTATCCACAAAAAAGGGTTTTTGATGTTACTACTCGTCGCTGAAAATAGCCATCTGATTAAATTTTGGTACTAAAAAGGGATCTGTTTTTTCTTAGAAAAGGGCGCCCCCTTTTAGACGAATGTTACTGTGAATTTAGTCTATAGTACCCGGATCAGACTTACATTGTGTGGCATAGGCACACAGTTCAGCCGCGGCATGGAAGGAGCATGGCAGCCTGCCTTGCAGCATGTCCATCCGTAGCTGCAGGAAGAACTGATATCGCGTGACCTCCTCCTTGAGCTTGCATGGGTTCTCCATGTAGAACTTGACGCCAAAGTACAGAACAAAGGGCAGCCCATCTGAAGGAAAGATTGTTTTTTAATTATTTATTACTTATTTATTATATATTTCTTATTTTAACGAGGTAGCCTATTCAAGGGAATCCACTGGTCTCCCATGGGGTCCAGTAACGAGAAGACAATGTGAAGAAATTCCAGTTTTAGTGGTGGGAGGAAAACCCCAGAACTATCTGAGGGACCCCTCGGAATCAGGCAGGGACTGAAAACCCAATTCACATATTGGCCCAGGCAGGAATCAAAACCGGGTCACAGTGGTGGAAGCTGAAGAGTTACCGCTATGCCTACCTGACTCCCATCACAAAATTTGCTGGATTGAAACTTGCAATGAAAAACAAGAAGGAAAACAAATTTATATTGTAAATAGGCTGAGAGTAATATTACAGTATACATGTACACTGTACCGGTAAGTATGAAGAAAACTCAAATAAAAGAGGATCCTCTTCAGTTTCTTAAGCTCTTGATTATAAATTATTATACTTTTAGGCCAAAAAAAAATTAAGTCGGTCTCTGGTCAGCGCGCACGTCGATTTTAATCATGCGCGTCGATCTTTTTTTTTTCCAAAATGTTCCGCGGTAACTCCAACAGCGCCCTCTATTTCCGCACCTTCTCAAAAAAATTTTACCAAAGAGCACCAAGGAATGGGAAATTGCACCAAGGCAAATGATCGAAAGCACCAAGGCAAATTATGGAGGACACCAATGTACATGAGGACACCAAAAAAGCAAAATAGTACCCCACCTTGTCTGTATAATCCAAGCTTGAAGAAAAACAAAAACAAAACAAAAAAAAAGAGCCGCGTCGCCGCGTCAATTCCGGAACTTTGGTCTGACCAGAGACTGAACATTTTTTTTTTTTGGCCTTATACCCGGTACTATAATTTTGCCAATATTTTGTGAAAAAAAAAAGGAATCAAAAATGAAAAGGCTTCAAAATTGTACATGTACTGGCTACATGTATGCCTCTAGAGGCCTATTTTACTGGACCAGACACCTTTTTCACATACAAGAATATCTTTTTAAGTAAATAAAGAATGTTAAGTGAGTTTACTTACTTTTTATTTGTTTACCAATTGTTTTCACTGGGTCTAACCAATGCTGAAAAAGAAATATGAAAATGATGTATGTTAATAAGTGCACAGTGTTCGGAAATTGTATTTTGAGTAAGGACAATAATTGTTTTCAAGAATACAAATTAAACAAACTTTAAAGAGGTTGTGGAATGCTCGAAGACATTTCTGTCATTTTTCGGGTATATGTATAGCCTAAGGTGTGATGAAATAAAATTTTTTATTGTGTCTGTCATGAAATGAGTATAAAAGGTACTTTTGAGAGCTGTTTTTCAGGTCCTGTTCGACCCGAACGTGCAAATCGTGTAAAAGTCGTCGTTGGGGGCAGCAAACAAAACATAGTAAATCGTGACGTAATAAACAGGACTTGTTTATACTACGCTGCATCGGGAGTCCTGTTTATTACGTCACGATTTACTATGTTTTGTTTGCTGCCCCCAACGACGACTTTTACACGAATTGCACGTTCGGGTCGAAACAGGACCTGAAAAACAGCTCTCAAAAGTACCTTTTGTACTCATTTCATGACAGACACAATAGTCGTTTTTATTTCATCACACCTTAGGCTACATGCCGGTAGTACCCGAAAAATGACAGAAATGTCTTCGAGCATTCCACAACCTATTTAAAGTGCATTCATAATACCTGAGACAGTTTACCAATTTATACATGTAAGCAGAAGAAGAAAAAGCAGAAAAAAACTTGAGGCAAACTTAAGGCCAAATCATTGTTTGCAAGAATGCGGAAATTGTTTGCTCTGCATTTGAACATATTTAATCCCTGCCATACTTAAACTGCCATATTTTACTGAATTACGCTCCCCGGGTTTTCCCCGTGAAAAATTCTGTGTGTCCCATGTTCTGAGAATTGCTACAAGTCATGAAGTTATGAAAACAAAAAACTGACAAACAAAACTCTCTTTTCTCTACAGAGAGAGGGCTTTCCAGATATATATGCATGTACACGTACCGGAATGTATGTACCCCAGAATTTGAAATAAATAATATGTGGTCATTTATGTAGAGACTCTTAAAAAAAATTATTTAAGATTTACAAAGAAAAATGTTTGCATAAAGTAGGCCTATCTAGTTCTTTCTTCTGCCAAGAACAACATTTATGTTTTGCAAACATGTACTTACGTAATCAAATTAATCAAATAGTAATCAATTGATATGTACCGGTACTCAGACTTATGTATGAAAACTGATGTACTGATACGTGTTAAAAAATATATGAAGCTACTTACAAATATACAATACAACTGAATTAATCAAATCTCAATAGATAGGGAAAACTCAGGGGAGAAACGTGACACAGGGTGTGAACAATGTGACCTTGCTAAGGTTAGGAGACAGTGTTTATAATTCAAGGATGACTCCAACACACACACATTGTGTATTGACTCAAAACAATTACTCTCTTAAATAAATAGGCCCCTACTTGTCTGATGTATACTGACACACACTTAATATAGAATCAATTAAATACATAACTGCACCTCTCTCTGCTCTGTGTGCATTTTTCTTAGAAAATTCTGAAAATTAAACACACAGTGCACTGAGTGCAGTATTCTTGCAAAACATTTCCCATAAACAACCACAAAGTAAAACACATTTTGAAATGAGTTTTCTGTTAAAATGGATTTTCTTTTCACCAATAAGTCTATCGGTACAAGTATGGGCTGGTTTTATCACAATTAGACTTTAATTAATGTTAGCCTATCTGTGCTCTTTAGCATATTCCATTTCAAGTTTTTCTCCTACAGAATTTTCGATTTGTATGTTTTATTTCATATTTTTTTTAGTTTCCCCCTTGTTTTGGATGTTGTCAATCTTTTGAAAGATGCCTTTGTTCTGGGTTGCTTTTTTCTCTCACAACGCATAAAAGATATGCCAGGCCTGCAAATAATTCAACATTTGAAATGTAAAATTTATAACTAAACATGGTGAAGTTTTTTTCCCCTAATATTTCATTTTAAAAGTGAATAACTTTTTGAAAACAAACTCTATTTTTTGGGGTGAAACTATCGGCAGCATGGGGACAACAACTTTAAGCAACTATGTCTTTGACCATTAGGTTCCAAATAATATTTTAAAAGCCCATAGATTTGTACATAATTCCGTAAAATTTACCGTTTGATCTTGGGAGTCCAGAAACCGCAGACCAAAATAGTCCTTCTCCAGGAGATTCAACTTGTCAAAGACTTGGTCCAAAAGTTCACCCCCTCTGGTATTTCTCTGCAATGAATTTCAATAAAAAAATTATTATAGAGTGAAATCACAGTAAGAATTTGAATGATACTTTTTGTGGTAGCAAAGGACCTTATCAACTACATGACCTTACCGTTGTACCGATGCATGTACACACACTGGTACATTCCGGATCATTTACAAAGCTTATGATAGCATGCTCTCCCCAAAAGTACATTACACAAATAAATGATTTAACAGTTACCATACCAGTATGCTTTTCATTTAAGTAAACACAGTCACATGATTTAATGGACGCCAGGCAAAATTTCACAGCTCTAATACTGTGGGTCTCAGCACAGCTTTCCCCTAAAATGAACAATGCATTATACTCAAAGAAAAGATTACAACATGTACTCTGTAACTACAATGCTCACTAGGATTACCTCAAATGCACCACAAAACAGATTTGCAGTGCAACACATTTTTTTTCAGATTTATAACAATAATACACCTTGCTTGTATTTGCTCCACTTTTCAACTATTACAATGAATTTTGCGGTTTTGCCTTAGGTATACATGTACCTGTGCAAACCATTCATCTTGACCTTTTAATCAAAAGAAACCCCCAAAAATAAATCACCCTACAGATTGTGGTTGTAACTGAACAATGAAAACATGTACAAAACCTACCGGTATAGGAGAAAGTGGGGAAAGGGAAATGAAAAAAATAAATAATAACATGAATAATAACTAAAACAAAAGCTGTTCCTTAAATCCTCCAGTGCTAAAAGCTGTCTAATGTGTACCTAAAAAAAAAAACACTTCACACTTGTATAATGGAAATGTGTCAGCAGGACATTTGCACCCCGAAAATTGGGAAAATTTGCTACAGTTTGCGGGGTGACCAAGTTCAATTGGGTAGGATATCGTGTGTCAGTAAACATGGTAAAGTCAGGTGCAGCCAACACTGTAAACCAGCAGCCTGCGGGTTTACAGTGTTGGCTGCTTGGAACGTAGACTTGGCCAAAAAAGGCTGAGAAATTCCTGACTATATATATACAAACAATTTCAGTTGAACACAACATCGCCAATTTCCCCCAGATGTACAGTACACATGTACTTCACACTAGAGTATTTGAGATACCAGGCAGTCGAGCTGCAGCTAATGAAATGATGATTCATCCACACAAAGTAAACAAAGCTTTTTCATGGGGGGGGGGGGGGAGTTGATAAAATTCAACAAAGCTATTTTCTTTTGGGGGGGGGGGGGGCAGGGAGTTAATTAAAGTTTGAAAAAAATAAATAATAGCCTTATATCTCATAACACTTTTTCGATAGCTTGAGGGGGATACCAGAATATATTATTATAGCGAGTGCAATATTCTTGTATCCCTAGAAAAAGAAAAAAGCCATCCAATAATACTTTTATTACTGGTATAAGGCTGACTTGAACCGCAAGAAATACATTTCAGGACACTGTCTTTAGTTCTCAAATTTCGTCAAAATATTCTCTGCTTACCGAAGCACATTTCGTGCCGCTCGAAGCTGCCAAATGTTGTGGTTGTTGACAACAGTGCGCGCATACCATGCTGTGTGCTGCGCACTGCGCCTGCGCGTTACGCTCCGTACCACGTGTTACACTCGTGTTGAAACGTGTTGTTACACGTGTTGAAACTGTGAATTTCTACGCTCTAAATTGTGCGAGCATCGTCGAAAATGCCCAGATGACTGCAATATCAAAACTAATATTGCAGTCTGTAATAGACTGCAATGCCAAAACTAAAATTGCAGTCATCCGGGTACTTTTTAGGAAAAGATACAATACGCTGATTTATTTTTACCACTGGAAGCCTGATATAAATAATAGTTTATAATATTGTGTACTGTAAGTGTACAGAACATGTATGGTTTGCCCCCGAATTCTGCTGAAAGGCAATTCCTTTCTTTGTGTTGATTTTCACACTAAGTCACTTGCTTGCACTCATTATGATGTTGGTAAATGTATGTCAACCTCCAATTTTATTCAATACGTCTGCTTTAAAAACAGCCTTACATGTACATGTACATATGTAGCCACTGATTTCTGGTTCAAAAATGTTCCTTTTACGTTCGCTGCTTTCAGCAATTAGAACAGTGCAAATCAGTCCATTCCATTTCAATCTTTCACTCAATTTTATCACATGTACACATATCGTATATCACGCATTGATGTCGAACTAAAAAGGGCTTAAATAATGTGATCACACAAAGGACTCCATGATGACAAACTTCATTAAGAATTTGCTACTGGTTTGTTTCTTTTTAGTGCACCCAAGATACCCATATGTAGGGTTTTCTTCAAAAGTTGAATTATCTAAGTTACCGGTACAAATTAAACACAGTTACAGTGTATGAAATAATTAAACAAGTCTACAAAATATTGTACTTAACAAAAAGACTTGCTTTGGCAGTTCTTCTTCAAGGAACAGTTTAATATATGACATGGAAACAATATTGTTTGGACTGAGGAAGTACTACATGTACCGATGTACTTAAAGGTATAGTCCATCATTTGTAACTTGTGCATTTTGTTCGTTTGAAGCAACAAAGGTACTAAAAATCTGAAGAAGGGTGCTGAACAACTAACCTGATGAAGTTTCAGCTCAGCTTCAGCTGTATATTCCGAGAAAAACAGCATTCTAGGATCCAATTTCATATCAAAAGTTGCTGAATCATGTTTTGAATTGGGCCTGAATTCAGCGTCCGAGACACGTTCTCACTGAGCCAATTGCAGCTACGCGATGTCGCGCACCGATCCGACGATCGTATAGCAACCGCGCACGTGTGTGCGTAGTGCCAACGCTTGCACGTGCTTCGCCGAATAAAAAAAACGAACTACTGACGGAAATTTCCTACGGTGCGTCTTAAGATGCACCGGTAAAAAGGCCTTCTTTCGTTGATTTCTTCAAAATGACAGCTTGCCAGAAAGAATAATTTCACAGGGAGTTTAGTTCCCTTACTACATATCTTTCAACCAAGCACGTTTTTCAACAATAATTACGTCAGTTACTTTTTGGAAAGCTGCAAATGATGGACTATAGCTTTAAACCCATATGTTTTCACCTCAAGTTTCCAGCTATACTGGCTGTACACTTTGTAACTTTGCCAATAGCCTGGGGCACATAAGTTGGGTATCCTTCAAATTTAAGCGTGTGCATGCCCTAAGTGTGAAACGTTTTTGTAAATAGTCTTCATTGACAGTCAATCAATGCAAAATGCTCACAACAGAAGGCAAACATCCCCTCCCCCCCCCCCCAAAAAAAGAGACAAATGATATTTGCTTTAGGCAACGATTGTCTGCAAAGACCAGCCTGGTTGGAGAAATCTATTTTTCCCGGCCAGTGACACTTTTCCTCCAGGCACAGAAGATCAGTTATTAGGGAGGATTAGTTTTCTTTCTGCTAGTAGGTGTATTCTGGGCTTTTGAGGGATTAAGCAAATCCCTACTACAAAATGTTCCTTAAATGTTTGAGGATTAATAATTGATGAATGGGGAAACAGCACTGGGACAAAAGCCAACACTGAACAGGCATACATGTATACATGTATGCCTAGGGAAATTCCAGGCACTGCTTCTTGCATGGTATTGGTGTTACATTGTAAGACTCAAATTATGCAGGGTGGCATAATGAAGGGTGACATTGTAATGTAAGACTCAAATTGTCTTGTTAATGCAGGGTGACATGTCTTGACTCAAATTGTCTTGTTAATGCAGGGCGACATGTCTTGACTCAAATTGTCTTGTTAATGCAAGGTGACATTGTTACATTGTAAGGCTCGATTGTATTTAAAGACTCAAATTGTCTTGTTAATGCAGGGTGACATTGTAAGACTCAAAGTGTCTTGTACATTGTTGGACCCAAAATTGTCTTGTTAATGCAGGGTGAAAGTGGTTTGCTGAAAATATGGTTGCTGATATTATTCAATAATTTTTGTTCATAAATACAGTAAAGCTGTATGCAGGCCTACATGTACCGGTATGATGTTATTTTTTTTTGCCAAAAATTTGGCGGGTTCACTTGTGCGTAAAGTTAAAGCCCTTTCTCAGAGGGTTGTCACAGACATTCAAAATTGGTATAAATTTATAAACATTTTTTTGTGGGTTAAAACAAAACATACAAATTGAAAAAAATAAAAAAGCACGGGGTATGCTTCCTATAGTTCTCAATGCGAGTTCACGTGTAAGACACATGAACCCTTGGACAAGAAATAAGGAGATGTCAAAAAGGGTAATGTAGCCAAAAATCACTCTCACAGTTTAACAAATTGCTATCTACCACAGTTCATTTCTAGCAATTTTTTTTCTCTTTTTTTAAGAATCTGCCTTAAACATTTACGATGTAGTTTTCTCATGGGTGCCTCATTGTCTACATCTGTCAGTGTCGATTAAGCACGCTTGGATTCATGCAGTTATTGTGTGAGGCATGGTCTCATTTGCTCTTAGCTTTTCTTGCATGAGCAATTTAAAATCAAGGTGACCATTTCCAAAACCTTGACTTCATTTGGACAATGTCAAAGAATTGTCAGGTCAGGGAACCAGACTTTCGGAGCTGGCTTGCATCCGTTCACAGATGTGTAACTGATTGCAAACAAAATGTACACCAATTAAATTTGGTAAATTGGTGGCAGTACGGTATTTCACAAAAAGTCACTTTTTCCCAACGATGGTCGGCCAACCACCATTGGAAATTGATACAAAAATTCCACTTTTCTTGAAATTGACTGCATTAGGTGGCATTTCACAGGATGCTTGAGACTACCAGGTATTTTCACTAAAAGTCAACTAAGGTATTTTATAATATTTTTGTTCTTCATTTTTTCAATTTATGTTGCAAATACATGTATATATATACCTGGCCAAGTGATGGACTTACAGTGTACTTGATGTTTGATGAGAAATGGGTCATACACAAAATACACGTTTAACTAAAAAGAATCGCACAATATATAATGTTTTGCAACTCATCCGATAAAATGTGGCAAAAAGGGGCTACGCCATTGTGAAA